CGGGGGCTGTTCGTGGGGAGGGAGGTGGTTACTGGCCCCTCTAGCCTGTTGGTCCAGGAGCACTGCGGATACGCATGGAAAGGATGGGGCCCCCCTTTCGAGGAGGCCCGGGTGTAAACCATGACCGGCGGCTTCGATGGCCGGAGTGCAAAGTTCGGGATTGGGGTGCCATTCATGAGTGTGTATCTTCATGTGTTCACAGCCATTGTGAATGTGACTGTTTTACGTGCTCCTCAGCCGGTTCGTGTTGAACTTGTACCTCAGAAGACTGCATCATTTTAGACCTGTATATTACTGTATATAAAACAAAGCAGCTGAGTATATTCATTCTTCATTCCTTTGGACTGCCTGTCTCACCTTGTGTGTATATCGTGCAGCAGATCCCCAAGTGTGTCCATATATATATATACACCGCAAAATATGGCTGTGCAATCTTTACCATTGCGGGGCGCTGAACGTGCGGCCGTCCGGAGGTCGCTTGTGGGCCCTCCAACAGGCCGAGACCAGGACAGTCTTAACGAAGGTCTCTGCGAATGGCGCGCTTTTTTCAGCAAGTGCAAATTTTTAACCTCGCACTGCCGTGGTTTTCATTATATGCTTGTAGTGGCTTCTACTAATTGGTCGTCTACTTGTGTTTGGCTGGCAGGTGGATTCGCATGCGCCTTCATCCTAAAAGATCCACGGACTTCCGTGCGAGTACTGATATTTTTGTTGCTCTAGTAACAATGTATGCATTTTCTGATGCCCCTAGTTTTGGGTTTCTGGGTAGGAAGGAAGGAGGTATTTAAGAGAAGCTAGAGTGGGAGATCGGGTGCCTCCCAAACGGCAGGGGTTCTAGCTTGCCGTCTGGTGGAGGCCAGTCCCTGGACTTGAAATCGGCATTTTAGTAAGAGAGTTGCTTCAGTATACAAAGTCCGGGCATAGCTAGGGCTCCCTGGGCTCGTTTATGAGGCAACGAAGGAAGCTTGATCCATGAATGGATTCTAGGGAGGCAGCCTTGTTGCACCATTCACAGCGTGCCCTGTTGAATCCTACCCACGAGCATGAAGTAGGCGGCATATAGGGCGTGGCGCAGGGGCCCTGTAAAGAAAGACCAAAAGGGGTGAGCGAAGCGAAGAAGGCTGGTTGCCTCCTTTGCATCGCGCCATCCTTGCTGGCTATATATATGGTGCTTCCTTCATGCTCTTCCAGATTGAGGCGCTTTGGTACTAGCATTCATTAGTGGTATTCCCACTGCTGTTTTCAAAGGAATGGAGGGCTAAGGAAGTCAGCTGGATGGAGAGCGAGAAGGCGCCAGAGGGGTCGGGATGTTAGGGGCCGTAGAAGGCACGCTGACGTCAAAACAAGGCAGATGCTGCCTTATAGCGGCATCATAGCTGAGTCCTCGCGGCGAAGTGCATGCAACAGCCCTGATTACTTGGACGGCCTCAGCCGCCGTACAGGTAGCTGACGAGCGAGGTTGGTCAATGCCCATCATGCAGGGGTGCAGATGCCTGCTAGGTCTGTTATCCATTACGCACTGTTTGTACGGCTACGCAGCTGACCACTAACTCAATATAGGTGTCTTCAGTGCCTCCCAGGCGACCTATGTCGTTAACCGATATCCTAAAAGGTATATTTTCCTACTATTCCGAAGCGGGTTATCCATACAGGCAAGAGGTCTGTACGAAAGAAGGGTGTGTCTGCCCATGTGCGGGCCTCACAAGCAAGCAAATCGTGTCTACAAAAGAAACTCTTTATGATCATGAGAACTATACTATGAGCGTCAGCCCCTCCGCTTTACCAATTCCCTGGGCGCTCCATTTTCAATAGTATCTGCCATTGATCTTAGACGCAGCAGCCGCAACCGAGTCTCTGCCAATCTGTCTATGCCCGTCGTGCCAGTACAAACAGCCTCGGAGACACTGGCTGGCCCTGCGCTTTTCCCCTCGCCCTCTTCCTGCCCGCTCCCGCCTTCTCAACTACAATGCGTTGCATGCTTTGGTGTATCGGCAGCTCCTTCAACGCGTCAACGCCAAGGCGTGCGCTGCTGCTTGTACCTCTCCAGGACCCAAGAGAGCCATGCTGCAGCAGCACCCGAGTCTACATGGATGCAAGGCGCAGCGGAGAGGGGGTGTCGTCCCTGCGACTCCACGCGGCGAGTGCAACAGTCTGCGCTGTCTGCGCAGTCCTTCGATTGCAGCCCCCGCCGACACACACCAGGAGGAGAGCTCCCCCCCAAAAAAGCCACTCGCAAGTACAGAGCCTTCGGTACATCCAGGAGAGATGCAAGCTCAAACAAAGCGTCTGCTGCCTGCTCGGATTCCAGACAAAGAGGGGATGCGCGACCCATCGGAAACGCTGCGCTCCCCGACACCCCATCCTCGGAAATCCAAGGAGGCAGCAGCAAGGCACACAGTTTCGCACTGTCTCCAAGCTCAAGAGGGCCCTCTGGAGCGGCCAAGGAGGTGGGAGAAGACACCGCAGTCCCCCCTGCGCCTTCGGCCTGCTTTTGCTCCTGTGCGGCAATGCGCAGCAGCACGGCTCGCCAGATTTCCAAGCGTTCCCTCCGCTTCCTTCCTTCTAATGGCCTTGGTCTCTTCTTTTCCTCCAGCCCTCGCTGGTTTCCCCCCGAAAGAGGCCCCCATCGCTTGCCTGGACCCTTAGGGATTGGCTGCATGCAAAGGCGGCCCCTCCCGCCGCAACTCACTTCTCTGACGAGGGAGGCCCACCAAAGCATGAAAGGAATGGCAACTGCAGCCACGATTTTTTGCGCTGCGGCGGCCCTTTCACACTCCTTCTCTTCCCAAAGATCATCTCCTCGCCTCTCGGCACCCGAGGACGAGGACGAAGCGGCTCCTCTGCCGCTCGAAAGAGGCCTCTGCAGCAAACAGGGAGCCGCTGTCTGCAGAAGCAACAGGAAAGTACGCATCTGCAGAGCCTCCGAGAGAGGCAACGAAAGGAGCAACCTGCTGGCTGCCCAGAAAGACAGGTGCACGACGCTCGAGGGGCTGAGAGCCAACCGACGGAAGGCCGCAAAGATCTCCTTCTCATCATACTCCACGTCGTACGCATTATGTATCTGCTCGGCACGATGCCTCGTGTCGCTGCTGCTGCCCCCCAGGGGAGCTTTCCCTGAGAGGTCCTCTTCCGAACCAAGCAACGCCTCTGCAAGTTCGACTGCTGGGGAGACTCCTGAGTACAGTAGCGGACCCCCACTCACCGCGTGGCGCATGCAATACGGCTCGAGAGAAGCACAGAAAAGCCACACCGACAGTTTGGGTAACAGAGACATGCTCTGGAGCGAGTAGGAGGAAAAGCAGCAGCCCCGAAGGGCACAGTCAAGGGCAGAGGAGAGGCCCTCTCCTGACATACATGCCCAACGCATGCAGCGCAATTCCACGCAGCTTCCTGCCTCTCGCAGGAGCCCCTCTGGGGGATCTGATTCAGTGGATTCTACAGGCTGCTCGTTATTTTCCAGGCCTCTAGCGGCGGGTACACCCGAGGAGGGAGGGGCAGACGCTGCCAGTTTTCTTCGCTTCGCAATTACGGCCCTCCGGAGATCTTGGACTGTCACGCGGCCTTCACTTATGGATTTTAAAAGACGGTGTAGCACATGGGCATGGGAGCTTCTGAAGAGATCCAAGGCACCGAACTGTCGGCCGTTTTCAGCGTGTTCTTGGGGGGAGCTGCTGCCGAGCTTGTCATGAGAGGCAGACGTGCCCCGAGTGCAGCGGCCTCCGGGATCATCCATATCCCCAGGTGCTGCCAGCTGACTGGAAAGCTGCGGCTACCTTTTGTGCGTTCCCGATATAGGGGGGAAGGCAGAAGCAAGTCCGGTCGAGACAGAGGTTAGGCGGCCTTAACTGGGGAGGCAGAGACACGGAGGCGCGCGACACGTGCATGCATGGTGCATTACTGGCTCACTTAGGAAGGCCGCATGCCGAAAGAACTGGTGGACGGGTTCTGCTCTTGGCTTTGCCTGAGCCTAAGCTACCTGTGTGCCGGTCCGCCTGGCTCTTGCAGCCACAGCTATGACAGTATTACCACTCCAAAACCCATCTCTTGCAAACAAGAGGGAAGAAGATCATGCGAAAAGGGGAGCTGGAAAGGCGGGCAGCAGCTTGCGGCTTGGGGGCTGCTAGCAGGGCCGTAGCGAACAGACAGGAGAGATGAGACTCAAGAGACGCCCATACAGACCTCAAATGCGGCACGAAACAAGGCGACTAACAGAAAAGAAAGACAGGGAACATGAGCGAACCCTGTGTTATCCTTCAATGTGCTAGTGGTTCTACACAGTCTCAACCAGAGTAATCAGCGGCTGAAGCCCCAAAGACCCCTTCGCCTCTCTGCTGCACGAAATGAAAGCCAATATACTATTGCACGTTGGAATTTGAACTATATAGCTATATACCATTCGAGGGAATGGATATTCTTTCATTTCTCTTCCTTTCGCCGCCCTCATTCCTTTAAATGCTATTACTCATGAACTCACCGGATCAGCAGGAAAAATACGAAGAAATCACCGTTCATCATCCTGCTGATCGCTCGTTCCTTTAATTTGGTCGCCAAGAGTGGCGTCACTCCGACTCATGCAACCCCTCTTCTCGCCCTCTCCCTCACTCGCCGTGTCTTTCACCTTCCTGCCTTTTCCCTTTCGTATTACTCCCTCTCTTCTGCTTTCTTCCGTCCCTTACGTATTTCGCCCTCTTTTTCACTCGTTTTTAAAGCATTAAAGCCCCAGAGCCGCCTTTGCGTGGCCTTCAGGTGGGCTTTTCTGTTCCCCTTACGCCCTCAAAGAGGGCAACCGGTGCGGCCTGCAGGGAGCTGTAAGTGAAGTCTCCCTGCATGGGAGGGCAGTGAAGCTGAGAGAGGCAGGCAAAGATCCGTGTACTGGGCCTGCGCGTGCTTCAGAACCAGGAAGGAGAAGCAGGCAGGCGCTAAGGGGGAAGGCATACGCGCCGACGAACAGAAAGGCAACATAGAAGGAACTCCCTATTTTCCTCTTTCTCACACCAAAGATGAGCTATAGGAACCGTCTTTTGAACGAATTACGCGATGCTGCGCGTCAGCAAGACACCACAGTTCAGCTAAGAGCAAAGTGCGGAACAGGGGGGACTGAACTCAGGGAGTACAAATTACACATATACATGCAATACACATACATGTACGAATCTACGTGCGTGTGTTCATTTTGGATAGGCGCATATTTAGATATACATGCGTTTGTATATCACATAGTGCAACAGGATCTAATTGCGCCTGCGAATTTGCTTTGATGTGTTCTTCTCGAGAGCGTCCATTTTGCATCTGTATTATCCCAAGGACGTCATGGCTCAGTATATATATATATATATACCTAGACTGGAACGCACAAGAACTAGCTTTTCATTTACTGCAAGACTCAGATATTCTACACATGCCAGTGACTCTCTCCTTTGTCTGTTACCGCCTGGCATTTGCTTCCAGCGAAGACAATATCTTGGAGTGGACGGCTCTCATCAAGGGCCCCCGGGACTCTCCTTACCAGGTACACCTGAACCCATGCCATGGAACCCAGTCTTGCACTGTGTGGAGTAACTCGAGGAAACACTTGCTTGTTGAGGGCTATCGCAACCGCTGTACACAGACTGGACGCCACCCGCATGCACACTTCACTCCTACACTTCCAAAAGTCTGTGTGTTGTTCTACGCGCGCGCTTGGTCTGTTGACTTGTAGGACGGGACTTGGTGCCTACAGATCGTCTGTCCCCCGGCCTACCCCCTGTCTCCGCCCCGTGTTCACCTCCTTACAAAGTGTTTTCACCCAAATATCGACTTCCGGACAGGTTTGTCGGCTTTCGAGGCTCTAGAGGCGAGACGGGCAGAAGCCATGCAGACGTTCGGAAAGGACAACTGGGAGGCGTGGAAAGTGGCATGGTGGAAAGTCTGAGCCCCCCTGCAGCAGGCAGCTGAAAGAAGCATGCGGCTCCGAACACTTTGCTGGGTCTTGTCGCTTTGTATGTGTATGGGTATCTCAGGAGCAATCTGCATGGACATTTTAAATGAAGGATGCTGGACGCCAGCTTGGAACTTGCACTTTGTGTGCCTCGCAATCATCTCCTTGTTGGATAGCCCAAATGCGGACAGCCCGCTCAACTGCGATGCAGGTGACTTCCGATCGAAATACTCACACACTCTGAAGCGGTAGAACTTCAGAATCACTCCAAAGGTGGCTGTTCATCAGCTAAAGCATTTACGCACTGCAGAGCTGCGCATAAGCACTGTAGAATTGTCTACACTGTCCATGTTCGTACACTCCAGAGCTCTCTATGGACGCTTTAGAGGTTTCTAGACGCAGCAGAACTGTCCAGACACTTGAAGCTACTTCTACTCTGTAATTCTGTCTACACCTGGTTCTCCCTATTCAGGCAATTTGATCCGATCTGGAGACATGCGCGGGTTCCGATCCATGGCACGGATGTACACCAAGGAACTTGCCTGCGGCCGTGATGCCCTGAAAGGCGAGTGAGCAACACCCAGTCTGATTATTTTGAAGGAAGAACCCACAGGGGAATGAAGAAGGCACAATAATTGGCTCTACAGGCGAACGCTGGTGACAAAGGCGGTCACAGCCGCTGCATCACTGCGCAGATAGTGCCGAGATCCATTGCCATTAGTGAGTGTTTCTAGTGTGTAAATTCTACTTCATGGGTAGCTGATACTTATCTACGGGAGCCGAGTTTCTTCTTTAGCCCGGTGATTTGAAGCACGTTTGTACGTGTGTGTCGAGTGTATATGTGTGAGGTATCTGCTTTGCACGTTCTATTCATTATAGGGATATATTTAGTGCGCAGACGAGGACATCAAGATTGTTGCAATTCTATTGTCCTGCGAGGGCTGGGGTGCTTGAAGAAGACTGAAATTGCTCCTCTCCTATGCGCAGTACTTATTTGGGTTCTCGGTATTCGAGTAATCTTGCTCGAGTTACAGGGAGCACGGTTTTTCTATATTTTAGGGGAATGCGAGCATTAAGCGTTTTTTCTGACTGTTTCTACGGCGGGTGCCCAAACCCATCACTACATTATGGCCTATCATGAGCCCAATGAAAACAAGAGAGTCATTTTGCACTGAAGCGGTGTTCAGCGCCGGCAGAGTAGCACCAAAAGATTAGTATTCGCAGCATCAACGTGTGTAGGCTCTAGTAGTAGACGAGCACAGGTGAATCCTTCAGCTCTATAACCTGTCCCTCCCCAAGTGCATCTAGTCCTTTTGAGCAAGTCTCGCCCCCCTCCCTCAGTACCCAGAGGGGAACGAGGCGGAGAAGGGCCCGCATACCGTGATCCATTACTGGACTGAGCTGAAGAAAATGGTTGTGGTTTATGGTTGTTTTTCACGGGCAAACCCCGTTAGCGGTTTCCGGGAGAGGCCCTATAACGACTAGCAAGCAATGCAGCCCCACGAAGACGAGCAACGGCCTTCCTATTGGGAGGCGGCAGGACACCAATTTTGGACGGCATTTAGATTTGTTTTATTATTGCAGAAGAAGGCGAGCTGCGCTAAGAGCCACCTTGAAGTGGGTCATTCGCTGTGGGACTGGGTGTAGCTGACAGAATCAAGGAGAGAAGAGAACCCTGCAGAATAGTTTGTGCATTGTTTTTGTGATGAAATTTATGAATACATAGACCTGAATGCTGACTATTATTTCTCTTTTTAGAGGACATCGAAAAAAGGGGGAGTTTTGCGCACCTTTCCCGACCCCTGACTTGCTGAACTTTCCGGTGGTATTTTTGCTTCCTGCCATTTTTAAGGATTCAATCCTTGATCTGCCCCCTTGCCTTCCTCTTCTCCATTGTCTTTCTTCTTCTTGGCGTGCTGATTATATATGTACCCTGTATGAATAATAATGATCTCTTTCTTTCCTCTAGTGCTCCTTGTAGCAGCTGCCGCAGCAGCACCAGTGGTCCAGTGGTCACCTGTTGCCAAATACCCCAAATCACAGGAAAGCACCAGTAAACCCAAAATCGCACCACAGCAGGATATAGAGAAACTTCAGCCGCGTCCCATCCCTGAGATATGGAAATGGTGCAAGGAGGAGCCCTCTCTGATCAAAGTGCGTGAGCAAGACCATACTACCTAAAACCTTGAGCTTCGAGTTCCACGTTGACAGTCCACTCTAAAAATATTCTCTCATCCAAAGCTCTTTGGTGGCCGCTCCTCTGCTGTGAAGGGTCCCCCCGTCTCCTACACTAAGTCGACGACTCTCCATGGTTGCGCGAGGGATGCATGGCCGAACGTTCTCATGCACTCTTCTTTTGTGGTGTTTCCCTTCTTTCCAGAATGTGGAAGTTTTGTTTGAGAATTACCCGCTGGTTCCCGGGACTAATTTCAATGTCATTATTCGTGGGGATGTGCTAGAACCCCTAGACGAAGTGACGGTAAAAACGAGGATAACGGTAGGGGGCCTCCTCTCTATCGTAGATACTCAAGACCTCTGCAAAGGGCCCAAGAAGCGATGCCCGTACACTGCAGGCCACCAGGAACAGAGGCTTACATGTAAGCAAAGATGACCATCACATACTGCATCTGCCCCCCCCCTCCCCCCCTCTAAGCACAATAAAACCCTAGGCCCTTAAAGAAATCAACCACAAGTTCCCCAAGCAAGCAGACAAAGCCCAAGGAGAAGCCCCAAATTCAAAATAATCTTCGACAGAAAAATGTGCTCCTATCGCAGTCGGATTAGGCCCCTAGAGAGCTAGAAGCGGCTGGTAGGCGCTAGGTGGTTGTGTAGTTTGCTACCCGTACGCACAACTTAACCGCCTAACATGTGTGCATCCATCTCTTTGGCCTTTATTCGCGCGCAGATCCAATTACCATTACACTATTTGGGAACGTATACACGAAGGCGATCGTGAGCCAACTGGTCGACAAGCAAACGTAGCTCTTACGTCTTCTCTGAATGCCTGTGTATGTGTATGTGTTTATGTATGTATGTGTGTGTGTATGTGTGTGTATGTGTATGTATGTATGTGTATGTGTGTATGTATGTATGTATGCGTGCGTGTTTGTGTGTATTTGTATGTATGTATGTTTGTATATATGTGTATGTGTGTTTGTGTGTGTTCCCGTGCATCTTCGCATTCCTTGTCTTTGCTTCTTCACTGTATCACCGCGCATCCCCCGTCTCCCCTCCGCCTGTAGATAGCTGCGGCTGAGTTCCTACATACGCCGAGATATCTTGAGTTCCCCCTAGCCCACAAGCGCCTCTCTTTTGTGCCTCTTCCTCGAATGCGGTAGCACATCGAGCACCGCTGGCTCTGCGAGTGTTCAGCTGCAGTGTCCTCGTGAGTCAATTTTGTGAGGGCCTTTACTGTCTGCCTTCAGCTATTGGCACACAAATCACATACCTGCACCCCAGTGTGTGTGCTCCCTTCGGTTTGCCCTTTTGCGCAGATGTACGCTGGTCAGAAGCCTATTGCGTGTATCGATCTTGGGCCCCTCGTTACCAAAAGTGCAAAGGTTGTGCCTGCACTAATAAAGGTCTTGTAGTAGCTGTGTGCCCCCCGGCTTGTTTGATCGCCCTCCACCAGCAGCCCTCAAACCCTGTAGATCGCGTGCCCGCCTTTCTAAGATCCGTAGCGGTTATCGCAAGCGACTCTCTGCAAAGGTCACTCAGGCCAGCAGTGAGTGGCACCAGCACCACAATCGTAGCTACACCGGCAGCAAGAACTGGTGCCCTAGGCTATCAAGTGTCGTTTGTCTTTGATTTGTTGTGTCCAAGTGCCCGGTAGTCATCATCCGACTGGGCATTTGCTTCGCTTTTACTTTCTCTCTTTGACCGCAATATGGCACTTTGCTTGGTATACGTCGATTCGCGCTAAGTATAAGTAGTGCTTACTAGGTCCCCCCCCTGCCCCCCTTAGGGCCCTTCTTAATCTTGCTGCTGCCCGCCCCCTACGAACACAGCGATGATCTCATAGACACTCATATAGGCTGTTTATGGAGGACTCATGACAGTCACAGCACAATGTGAAGCCGGCAGAAGCCCTAAAAAAGCGTCAGCGACGGCACTAGACTGTCGGTAGCCATGCATGGGTGCCTCCTTGGGTGCTATTCGCTTGCTTGAGGACTGAATCTGCTCTCTACGGGTCCGCACTAAGGCAGCAGGCCCCCTTTTTATGCATGTGCCAAAGGTGTTGCTTCTCTCAGCTTCGCCTCTTTCCGGGTTGCGCTGCGGGCTGCAGCAACACCGCGGCACCTGAACGCCAACTGCTCCACCAACAATAATCTCTTCACCAGCCAGGGGAGGGGTAATATAGAGATTAAATTGTGCGCCTTGGAGATGCAGCTTTACTACCGTGTAGAGAGACTGCGCGATTCATTGTCCCTCGTACGGGCACCCCCGGGGCCTTCATTACTCAGACGATGGGGATCAACAAAATTCAAAGAGTGGCTTCAGGAAGTACACAGAAGGAGGTACAGCTCAAGATGACACTCAATAGAATCGCTTCCCGATACTGAAAGCCATACCAGAATAATATTGCCGCAGCAACCTCCAGTGTCGCTGCGCAGGGCCTACGGACGACGCTGCCGGAAGAAGGCCCCTACAGGCGCAGGAGCTACAAAGGGACCTTGGGATCAAGTATCTACGCTCAACGTGCATAGGAAGAATCTAAAATAGGGATGCTCACCCTCGTGCTGCCGCTGTGCACCTGCACGCGGTACTGTGCTGCATGCATGCAATCGAGATCCTGCCCAGGAAGCATCACCAACGGTCCGTTGCTTAGTGACCCGGACGAGGAATAGCTGTTCCACATATGTAGGCTTGATATTGAAGTGAATCGATGGACCGGAGGTAGATAGTGAGAACAAGAGCATGCTGTGAGGGCAGAAGCCCGGACGGATGGACTGCCGTGCACGTGCCCTTCCATGATTTGCAGATAGACGAATCAGCGGATCCAGCACAAATAAATGCAGGATAATACATAACAATTTGACTTCCTGCAGAATAGCCTGGGTGCTGTCATCCCCCGGTCCGTCTCTTCGAGCAGTGGCCTCGAACTTGAAAGGTCGCCAAGCCAGCAATCCCAGAGGACAACCGATTCCAGACAGTGTCTTTGTGGGCGCATGCATCTCTTGAATTTGATCTGAATGTAGCCTTGGTTCATGTTTCTCTCGGTAGTGGCGAGAGGAGGCACTGCTTTCGCTCATGATGTGTGACATCTCCTCTCGCGTTTTGGGGTGACCGTCCTCCATCTCAACCTGTCCTAAAAGATCTCATATTCCTCTCAGCAGTTTCGCCATAGCAGCGATCTTGAGAGTCCGCCTTAGTCCCATGACCATCCTTTTGCCACTCTTATGGGGACTTCGCCGGGCAGCAGCAGCTGGCGTCTGCGCTTCCCGCGGCGCTTCAGTCACCGCTCAGCAGGCAGGAATCTCGAGAGCCATTTCAACTGCACCGGAGCACCCGCGTCGTACTCCGGATGCATGCACATCTCAAACTGATGGGACGGACAAGGCTAGGGGTGTAAATGCCCAAAGCGTGTCCTCGGGGAGCCGCATGCAGCAAATACAGCAAGTAAAGCAGGTAGAGCAGCAGCAGCAACAGCAGGCCCCAACTGTTGCTCAAATAGAGGATGGGTATCGTTTATATAGGAATATTTTAAGGGCTAACAGAAGGGCGATCTTAAAGATCCCTGTTCGGCGCATGGCCGATGCGTTTGTAAAAAATGAATTCCGCACGCACTTGGCAGCGGCAGCAGAGGCACTGCAGGGCCTCGGCAGCAACGAATCTGAGCTGTCTGTACGTTCCACAATCTGCCAGCAGGATGCTGCCAACGACAGCCTCCCAAGTGGGCCTCAAGTAACGGACGGAGGAACGAGAGAAGAGCGGCGGCTGCTTCGGCAACCAGGGGCAGAAGAGTGGACCGAGTTAGAGACGAAAGTACAGGAAGAGGAGCGAGATATATCAAAGGCAAGGCCTGCAGCAAATATAGCAGCCTCTCTCGCAACGGTGGCCAAACAGCCCCAGTGCTCGTTCCATCAATTGAATATGTTCTTGGATGCCTGGGACGAGTACCTGCGCCATGCGAAAAGCGGGGCGTCTCCCCTGCACTTTGGCCGCTCCCTTAGACCATCACAGCGAAAGCTTTTGAGTGCAGACCAAAGAAAACAACTCACAAAGCTCAAGTGCTTAGCAGGGCCCTCCCCACTGCGGTAGGGGTACCCGAAATCTTTTTCCCTTTCCCCTTCCTTCCCTATTTCCTCCCGCAGGGGCCCTTCGCAAGGATTTTCCAATAGGCGCCTCTGTTACTTCGTTTCTGTCGAGCTGCCCTGCTGCGCGCAAATTTGTTTGCTGTTGCTGGAGTGGCGGTTCGCGGCTGTCCCGTTGGGTGCGAGGCGTCGCGTGCCAGTAGGGGTCTCGAATCCGTTGAGACAGATAACGTTGACGACGTAAAGGGAAGGAAGGTATAAGAACCAGGACAGACTTATGCAGAGAGGCAGTGCAAGATTCCTGTTGGAAGTACGAACTGGTACCTTTGCATTTGGCACTAGGCGATATCTGTCACGCGTTGCATACACAGAGACCTCATGAGCCTTCTGATCCTACTCCTCCCGCCCCAGTAGTTTCGCTTCCCCTCAGCTTTTTTTTCAGACAAACCTAATTTTGGAAAGGCTAAATACTCGGGGGACGCCGCGGAAAAAGCTCCACTTTTCATGTAGCAAGAAAAGCCCCCCAGGAGGACGAGCGCTCCGCTCCGTGCCTTCAATGACTAAACTTCATGCTGCTTCTCTGTCAACTCCGTTGGATCTGGCAGCGGTGTGTTAAATGCCTCGCATATTATGAGGAGGAAGGGTGGCGCTACTATTGAGTCCTGCCGAACAGCCGCCCGAGTCTCTGCTGCCTGGTCACACATCCAAGCCCCAGCCAGTCCCCAAAGGCGCGTATCCTTCCACACGTTAAACTTCAGTCATCCCAGGCTGCTCCTATGAACCTTTGGCCTTCTTAGCCTGGCTGCCCCTCCCGTGAGGCCGCCTGCCCAAGTGCACCGCGTAGCGGCTTCAAAGAAGGGCAGGCGGAGGGAGAAAAAAGGGGGGACTCGGCAGGGGAGGGAGGGAGCGCGCGTTAAAGGGTGGCAGAGGCAAGGCGGCAAGCGTTTAGAAGACACGCGCGAGAATTTGGATATCGCATTTGAATTTTTCCTTGAAACTAGGTTTGTCGTGCGCTAGAACTTGGGGGAGGGGTGTGACGTTCCTGGAAGGTAGAGAAAGTTGGACCATGCACGCGCTTCTTCCATCATGTCTGATTTTTTGGTTCCCTGTGGCGTCTTGCCGTTGCCCCTCTGCGGGCGCCTTTCTTCCCGTGCCGAGCCAGCGATACCTCAGATCGAAAACCTCCTCCCCCTGGAGTGCCCCGCCGCCTTCTGAACCGCTTCCTTACTCACAAAGAGTGCATGCGCAATTGCTGCTGAGGCAGTGGCTGGCCCTGTGAAGCTTCCCATTCGGGACCGCCAGCGCTTCGGGGCCCAACAAACAGTTTCTCCTCCGTTTTAAAGACACTGCATGCGATAAGCAGCCTCTCACGCGCCTTCCGCTGCGGCCCGCGTCGTCTCGCTATTGTCGGAGAGCAGACACTGCGAGGGCGTCCAGTAACAACTTCAGGTGGGCGTGTGGAAGGGCGGCAGATGCGAGGCCGCTGCCAGAAGATTCATCCCTGCAATCAGGCACAGCAGACGCGGTAGGCGGGGGGGAGGACGGTTGTTGAGCACTGCTGCCCTGTAGCTGCATCCTGAGCGCCTCCAAGACGCCTTCTGTACAAAGCTTGCTCTTGCTATCCTCGCGCAGGCCGGGGAGGCACTTCCGCAACAGATCAAGGAGAAGCGCGTTTAGTGCCGCTTGCGCCACCAACAGATTCTCCTGAGCCGATGACGAGGCGGCCGCAGGGGCCTGCGAAAGTCCCGTAGACAGCAAAGAATCCTCTCTCTGGCGCTCTCGCGTCTGCAGCATTCAACGGAACCGCGCATGCACTCAACAGAAATCAGATAAACGTGGCCTTCTCGTCTGTGCGGAGTACTAAACCGGCAAAAGATGCAGTCCAAAACCGCGTGCACGCGCACACCTAAATCTACCCAGCAAAAGCCTCTTATGTCCCTCTTTTTTTCTCTCTTTCTCTCTCTGCCTAACAGTGTCTCGCTCGACCCTTGAATCCTTTTCGCCGTCGTTCTGCTAGTTCTCGCCCTCTGTCCCTGTGTATACAGCTACCCCTCTAGCTGCACTTCTGGTTGCCACTAAAAGCCTACCTCTGAGAGCCGCGAAATGCACTGCCGCTTCCAAGCCACAGGGCCCTGCAAAGCACCTCGAATTTCAGAGAAGAACAGGCGCTGTATGTAGGTAGGTTGGCTCTAGCGTCAACCAGACAGCTTTCAATAAGGAAGAAGGCCAGCTCGCGCCGAACAGGCCAACCCTCTAGCCCACCTATTGCAATCCTTCCTCGTGAAAGACAAACTTCGCCCCACTAGCCATAGAGCAAGAAAGCAGCAACGGCAACAACAACGGCAACAGCAGCCTCTGCTCACATGCTCTGGGCTTGCGAGTGAAGGGGAGAGGGACGGCGAGGCAGAGGCCGAATACTCCGTGGGAGAGCGCTCTACGGAGGCTGCATCCGATCCGCCTTTCTTGGCTGCGCCTCCTGCCCTGCTGCAGGAAAGACGTTGGTGCTTCGACTGCAATACCCTCTGCACGCAGTGCACACTCAGACACAGGCTTCCGCTTTGACCAGGAACAGCCTTGCAAAGACTTTACGCCAACTCATGTTTACGTAAAGGATTTCGATGCACAGCTACGTTAGGGCTGTTTGCGTCATCACGCATGTGGCTTCTTCTTCCTTCCAGCTACCTCTGCTGGACAGAGGACGCCTTCTCTCTGTCTCTGTCTCTGTCTCTCTCTGTCTCTGTCTCTGTCTCTCTCTGTCTCTGTCTCTGTCTCTCTCTCTGTCTCTGTCTCTCTGTCTCTGTCTCTCTGTCTCTGTCTCTCTCTCTCTCTCTCTCTCTCTCTCTCTCTCTCTCTCTCTCTCTCTCTCTCTCTCTAATTAGGGCTTTCGCCACCGTTATGGGAGGCTCCGCAGCGCCTCTACCACCCCTCACGCGCAGCTGCTTACCTTACGGCATTCAATGGCCAACCGCCTCGCCTCCTCGAAACCATGTTGCTTCACAGGAAAGTAGGCCATTCGCGTTTTCCCTTGGTCGTACCACTCCGCTACAAATCTATTCCGCTGAGCTTGAAACCGCACTCCTGTCACCTTGGGAAGAGTGCTAAGTCGTTCTTTTCCCGCTGCCCCACACTCATGAACGCGTTTCTGACGTTGGAATAGTGAGCCCAGTGACAGTGACTCTCCAGATGCGGCGGCCTCAGGAAGCGGGCAGACAGCGGCTGCCTGCCAGGCCCCCTCCCTGGCAGGAGAGCTATCGGTGGTGCGAGCAGGAAGGGGGGGGGTAGCAGCGCACGGGGAACTTGTTTCTGCAAAAGGATCGTCGTCCTTGCTCATTGCAGAACCCGGTTCGGCCTCACTATGAGGGGCACTCGGGCGGGTTGCATCCATTGCAAGGCTCAAGGCCTCCGCTTCGCGCGCTTCGCGCGCTTCGCGGCTTCTCTGAAGAGCCAGTTGCAGCTCTAGCCGCTGTTTGTACGCCTGTAAGTCGAGACTGGGAAGGCATAATTCTCCCCGTCTGTCCAGCACAGTGGCCCAGGGGTTCCCCCGGCCTTCTCCGGCAGATCTCTGCGTTTTTCCTGCTCTTCTATCTCCCTGCGAAGATGCGGTAGAGCCTCGTGATTCCAGCTTTTGGGATCTGCGAGTCCCCTTCGCAATGCTCCTCAAAGAAGAACTGCTCGTCCTTGAGGAACTGCTGCTGCCAGAAGGAACGGCGGCGCGGGAAGGCGTGACGGCCTCGGGTGCGCCGAGGCTCTCCCCGCTAGCAAAGGAGTGTGGAGAGTGCTGCTCCTCTAAAGCGGTCACCAGGCTCCTCCCAAACAAGGCAGTAGGAACATTGCCACTTTCCGCTGAAGGGAGCTCATGGGAAAGCAGACGAAAATACTCAGCATCGGTCCACGCGCGGCCAGCGTGTGCATCTGAGGCCGCAGGTGGGGGCGATATGGCCATTTTAATAAAAAACAATGCGGAGGAGAGGGAGCTGGGGATGCCGCCTTGGAGAGGCTGGCGGCCGGTGCGTGGCGTGGACGGGCAGACGGAAAGTCACTCAGAAACGCGTCAATTGAACAGTGGCCAATTGCATAATAAGGCAAAAAACCTTGATATCAGTCACGATAGGAGGGAATTGCAATGCTCAGAGGTTCGGCCAAGGAGTTCGAGAAGTCGTGCGGCTCGCAGCAGGCGAAAGGAACACACGATCCAACACAGACATTGACTGCCCTTTTGCTCCCTGGACTAGCAGTCACGGAAGACTACGAAGTCCTTTCAAATGAATGGGTATTGTACTTTGGCTCCGGCGGGAAACCTGGAGGATCGGGCGATGTTGAAGAGGAAGAAATGTCCTCCAGATTGCCGCAGGACACGAGCTACAGCACACCCGGTGTCACGACGCCTGGTGAGTGGCTGAAGTTGCTTCCCAGAGTTCGTCGGGACTTCAAAAGAAGCAAAAAGGATGATTTTGTGGCTTCAGTTTGCAGTGTTCTCACATCAGCCAGCTCCGGTAACTTGCTGCTTCATTAGCTGTGCGCTCGATCGGGCAGCCCGATGTTGCGGCGCTTAATGAGAGATCATGGGGAAATTTCACGAGTCTGGCTATAACTACGAGGATCTGTTAGAGACGTTACTGCCTTTTAACGATTAGCAGAGGCAGCGGTACGCTGCCAGAGGAGTTGTGGAGCTAGCGCAAGGACGAGGGGTGAGGAGAGCTGCGCCGGGGACCACTCACTACAAGTCTAGTGCCGCCTTCTCCCGACCCCCCTCTACCTGCAGGCCCCGCGAGTCCTAGATCCAATGCCCTATAGCTCATTCTTAAATTATATAAAACGGAAAATCTACATCAAACTCGCAGGTACATAGCGACTTCACGGCAATTCTGAACTCCACCAGTCTTTGGACCACTGCATTACGAGGTGCTGTCTGTAGACCGCAATTGTGTACGCAGGCAGACCCATAACTACCCTGTGTTCAGTCAGGACCTGCAAATATTAGCTAATGAGTGCTCGTTCCCAGTGCTTTTAGAAGCCCATAACGGTGACCATGCAGACGATGGGGTAACAGTTTGCTGTCGCGGATGCATACCCTCGGGAGTAACACCTAAAGAATCACCAATCTCGCGCACATGTACCCAGTCCATCATACTTTGCTCCTTATTGTTCCTTGCCATAGCAGCCTTCTAACTAGCGTTCCCAAGGCCTCCTGAGGACGACTCGTAGAGCCACAGTCTCCCCAACACACCGAAAGGAAGGGTACGCAGAAAAGCCCCGCACTGCTTCGAAATGCGCACAGTGGGATACGCAGAGCTCCTATATTTAGTCCTAGGATAATCTCCTCGTGGTGTGCCCTTTTTATTCGCTCTCGGCTTCTTTGCAGCCACCACTTTAGCCCCTGACAGCTTGTGTTTACTCCCCGGCTTGACAGAGCGTTAAGTGGCAGGGTCTCTTCTCTGTAGCTCAGCCGTATCCGATTTGTTTGATTCTTGTCCAGGTGTTCATCACGCTTGGGTGGCGGCAACTTAGAGGCCAAGAAATTAGAAGGAGTAGCTAGCCAATGGGGAGTCACCGAGGACGGCCGGCCCCTCTGAGAGGAAGGCACGGGAGGAAAAGCGCTAGTACCAAACGGGCCCATATTCCCTTCTCGCTGCTAAGAACTGCTAGATAAAAGGGGCTCATACTGGTCGGGCTAAGTTCTAGTTGGCTGAGGGACAAAGGACGAACGCAGTGTAGGCGAGATACAAAACGCCCACTCAGTTCTGGGTGTCCCCTATACTGCGGGATTAAACGAGGGCCCTTAGCCATCCTTCAAAGCCTTCAATATTTGCCTGTAGCAGGGCACGCGGACGGGGAGTCTCGGGTCAAGTGTAGTTGGAGCCTCTAGTGGGAGCAGTGCGGGCCACAGAATGCTGGTGCGGCACTGTTGGGGCCGCATTTACGTGTCTATAGCAGCAGCTAGTCTCTCATGTCCTCCGCACGTTTCTCGGGCCTACATCCCCAAGTACGAGTTTGTAAATGCATTGCTTAGACTCCCTTGGGTTCTCGGAAAAGGGGGGCGCAAGGGCCCCAATGCTCTGTCTGCACTTGCCGTTGCAGTCCCCTGGGTGCTCAGCTAAGAGCACAAGTGACGCCGGCAGAGGCAGAGAAAACAAGAGTTTAAAGCTCCGCGCGGCAAGGGAAGGTTTCAGAGAGATTGTAATTCCTGTATACCGAACTTTAAGGGCCTCTATTCATCGGACGGGTCCCAGGTAGGTCATTTTGACTGTGGGCCTGAGGCGCAAGGAAAAGCACGAACATACGCGTAGCAGAGCATACACAACACAGAGGCCTGCTTCCCATCGTGCCCTTGGCCTTCGGTGCAGGAGACAAATAGAGCGTGAGTGGCTGCCAACAATATCAACCCCCGAGCATTGCAAACAAGGGAGCAGCAGCAAGTGGGCAGCCAACTAGAAGCGCCCTGTATGCACAGAAAGTGAACGAAAACCGCGCGGAGGGCAGACACAATTTCAAAAGGAAGGAGACAGTTTACCTGAAGTCCGTGGCACTCTGAGCTTCCACGCGGACTCGCATCTTGCTGAAGACAGAGTGCCGGACAGTATTGTCTTTTGAGACGAGCTGCTCAGTCTCCGGGTCAAAGAGGAGGTCCTTGCTAACAAACACAACGCCTACAAGCGAGGCACGCGGACGACCACACAAAAGACTCGGCAGTCGGTGGAAGTGTGTTGCACGGGGATGGATCGTGATGAACACACGAAGGCAGACAGTTTCACCAGGCGATGCGTAGGGGACTAGACACACGCACGTGTAGGTAGGTGCGGCATCTGCTGTCAAAAGAGGGGAACACACAGGATTCACGCAAATGCAACGGATCGAATAGATAAACCGTGCTCGTTTCAGTCCCTGTTTCGGCTTCTGCACGAGGCTGCCGCGTAGCGCGCGCACTCACCCTCCAATCCATATTCGTGGACATACACCAGAGCACCATTCTTCTTTATCTTCGTGATAACTGCCGTGACTTCCTGTGGCCCCTTTCCAACGAAAAAGAGGTAGACGTAAAACTGTACGGACTGGCGCCCCGCCATCTGGGCCGCGCGATGCTTCAAGTTCAGCAGTTCACACTGTTGAGAGAGCTGGTGCCATAGCAGCAAGTCATACACGGCAAATCGCAAGCAGCAAACCGACAGCTGAGGTATCTGCTTGGACTCCTGATACAAAAAGACCCTCTATCTTTAACCCCCTCCTCCCCCCACAAACACCCTGAACGGCCTTCCAAACGTAGGCGCCTCTCTAAGAAGTCAACAGGCAGCGCGTCCCCTGCACCCCTCTGCGGCTGAACGACACCGACTGCTGTTGCTTAAGAGTGCTTAGGCGAGGTCTCTAGGAGCCAAAGACGCAGCACGTGGCGCAATGTCTGCACCTGCCATGTGTGTGTGTATCTCCCTCTATCTCTTTCTCTCTCTGTGTGTGTATGTCTGTGTCTGTGTGTGTATGTGTCTGTGTGTACTCTTACTCTTTCTCTGCTCCGTGCAATTGGTGGAATGGGCTCTATCCCCAAGGTGGCCGCGAGGAGTCTGTGAACGATAACGTCTGCGTATCTGCGGATGGGGGAAGTAAAGTGCGTGTAGATCTCAGCTGCTAGGCCATAGTGATGAAAGAAAGAGGAGACAGCACCGTCTCCAGCTCCCCCTTCTTCGCCCTTCCCTGAGGTGCTGCCTGTGGCAGCCTCTGCAGAGCTAAAGTAGAGGGCCTGAGGGACCAAACAAAGAGAGCACAGAGCAGCGAAGCCCGTAACCGACGTGTTTTGCCGTGAGGCTGCGGTGGGCAAGCGGGGTCAGCCATTCAAAAGAAACACGCCCTTGCAGGATGCAACCATACAGGCATACTGCGAGAGGCCGCCTAAAAGTTCCAAAGCGATTCAGGAAGAAGTCCTTGAGATGGCATATCAAGCAGTGGCGACGAAGGGGTGTCGCCGTGGGCATCTTTTAAAAGTAACTCGAAAATCCTACGGCAGCCCACACGAAATCCGCAGTTCCGCACCTGATTCATACATCGCGTCGTCATTATGCGGAGAAGAAAGTCAAGACTCGGATTCTGACGTGCGATTCGCTCCAGAGAGGCGTTCAGCGCCTTGGAGGACGAATAGCTGCACATATATACACACATGCATACATACATACACATGGACATACATATAGATAGGCATCCCTCAACAGCAAACGCTTCAGACTCGCAAAGCACACCGAGTCCTGAGCATGTATGCGAGAGAGGTGCAACATGCCAAGCAACGCATAGGACGGTGAGGGGTGAAGGCCCTCCACAGCACGAACACCACGTAGGTAGGTAGGAGCCACTTATAAGAACCTTACAAGCCCCCGACAAAGTCTCAGAGGGGCTGGTTGGCCATTATGGTCTCTGAAGGGTTGATACAGTGGAGGCGAGCCGAAGTTAGTCGAGACGTAGCGCACTCGAAGTCTGTGACCCCCTTGGCCTCGAGGAGCTTTTTCAGGGTCTCTAGGCTGGGCGTCTTTGGGGATGGATGCCTCCTCAAGAGCGAGTTTTGCGGGAAAAACTTCTCAATATGCTTGGCGACTGAGACATTAGCGAGCAGCATGTAGTCCTCTACCTGGCACAGAGCGCGCATGCAGCCCAGAAGCAAATTAGTACTGCCGGAGTCAGGTGTCTGGGCAGCCGTAATTGAGGAGCCAGTCCCCGGGACCCTACAGGGACGCAGAGCAAGACAACGCACCATCTTGTTGGTTTCTCTCGCCTGATAGAGTGCTATATCAATTGCTTCCTGCTCGACTGTCTCCACACTAAGGTCCTTTCCCGCGCCGTCTCTGGAATGCCCCTCTGCACCGGAGGCTCCCTCTGCTTCAGAGAGCTCCTCGTTTGCGTGCTCCGCAATGGCCTGCCTGATAACCTGCACGTCAGGGCTTGCCAGCTGGAGGCCCCCCGCCTCCATGCGGCGTCTCCTGAATATCTGCGAAAGCCGCAGAAGCTCTCGCAAGTTCTCGGCTAGGGGAGACCTGCGGGCAGCCAGCATGCATCCGCACGAGAAAAGCATTGGCGGCTCGCAGACGCCAGCAGAATGCACGGCAAGGTCGAAAGGGAGACGAAAAAGTGAAAGCAAATGGAGAAACCCAAAGGACTTTCGCCTCGCCCCCGAAGACAGGCACGCAGCATGGGCTATATGTGCTAGCAGTCCTCATGCAGTCGGGGAGCCGAAGTACTGGTGAGAAGAAGAGAGCATGCAAAAGACGCCCTCAGAAATAGGTCCCCAGCAAGAAGTTCCAGCTCGTGCGAAGGCTCAAAATGAAAAATCTGCCCCCTGAACCTCCCCTGTAGAGCGTTGCGCACTTGTCTCTCTTATCGTCGATAAGGCTCTGGGCCTCCTGATACGTCAGAGCCGCAGAAGACTTGATAATCGTCTTGTGAAAGCACGTTTGCAGAATGTTTGCATCAGCGTCCATCTCCCAGAGAACTGAGAAGGCAAGACGCTCACGGCCTCCCCTGAGAGACAGCACAACAGCCGATCATCGGGTGGATGCACGTAAATCATATATTTGTGTATACATATGTATATATACGTATATATATATATATATGCATCTCGCAACCAATATCATAAGGACCCTGAAGAGTAGAAGCAGTATGGTGCGGAGAACGCAAACGAACAGACATTGCAAAGCCCCTTTCCCTTCGTACCACTAGCGCCACGCATGCACCTATTTTCTCTCAGTCTCTGCAAGTGCAGCCATCTCTTTCTTTTTTGTATTAGGCCCCCCTCCCCCCGCACCCATCACCATTAAGGGCCTCCACATACACTAATGAGCAAAGATCCGTCGTCAGCAGCGCTGGCAGCATGTCTGTCCTTCTCTCCACCAGATATACCGTCGTACAGCGCTCCGCAGCCTCAATGTCGAGCTGTGTGTCTGCAAACCCCCAAACCTTCAATCGCCCCCGATCAATCTCATCGGCCTCTCATCAAACACCGTTCGAGAAAGCTATATTTAAGAGCAGATATCGCGTCTACTTCGGCCTTAAGCACACCCCCTCTCAGATACACTTCCTCGCATAGGATCCAATTACGCTGGACGTTGCGTCTTGGCTGTCTCCACCCATTCATAGTAGCCCCTTGTTTTGTGCTTGATAGCTCCCCTACCTGGCCTCAGAAAGTGCGTCACGTCTGCAATGTGGACGCCTACGCGCAGCCGGCCATTCGAGAGCCGCTCGAGCGAAAGCGCATCGTCAATATCCTTGCAGTTAGGAGGATCAATGCTGCATGTCAGCACAGACCGAAGATCCAACCGTCGTGCTTTCTCAGAGGGCGACAGCAGAGAGGGCGTCCAGTCCGGAGGAGGCAGGCACCGCATGGCCGCCTGTGAAAACTCCCGTTGCGTAATGCCTTGCTCCCGCAGAATCAAATCTCTGCAAAGAAACCCAGTGCGAACGGAACACCTAAAACACTGCACGATACGGCGGAGAGAAGAGAGCCAGCACTCGATCGGCATTCAACCCAAGAAACAAAGGTGTACAGGTGCATGGAACCCGCAATCTTAACATAGCTACGTTGGGATGCGCGCGCGCATTGACACACAAACACCCTGCCACATGCACACAAACATACATACATATATAATCAAAGAAAGCCCTGCCCTGCCTCCACCAGTCCCATAAAAACAAAGACGCACCCCTCGGCTTTGCGGTCCCCAAAAGAGCCAAGTATTTCCGTCCAGTGCCCCTGAGGGAGTGAATCGCAAGGCAGGTAAAAAGTGCGAGTTGCAGGAGTTTCCTCCAGAGAGCCATCCAAGGACTCCTGGATCCGACTGGATTTTCAGTTTCTTGCCGCAAACACTTCGAAAGGACAACATTGCCAAGAGGACTCTTAAAAGGCTCGCAGCAGACGCTGGCGACCAGCCAGGGGGCGCGGTTACGCAGAGAAAGCCGAGCGGAGGGCACATACACAGCGAAAGACACAATAAATATGTGCAAAGTGGATTTGAAAAGGGCCAAAGGGACGCTCCAACATCGTTCTCCCTACCCTGGGGAGCCTATGATATCGATCCCACGAGTCCACCGCCACAACGAGCCGCTTGCCATCCAGTTCGCGCGACTGTCTTGTCTGCCAGAGCAACCAGAGCACCCTCAAAAAAACAAGGCTTCCTAAAGAACGGCTCCTTGAAAAGCCTTAGCAGTGGGCCTTCCCAGGGTGGACACCGTTGCTTTGCGACTCACTCGCTACTACGTGCTAGGGGCCTCAAGGAGAGGCACCTCGCGCAAAGACGCGCGAGCCTCAAGGCTTAAGTCAAAGGGCCCAAGGGCTCACCTTGATGACGACGTTAGGGTTGCGGCGGTCCGCGGGAACGAAAATGCGCTCTACAGAGGCAGATGAGGGCATGCTCAGCGCTGCAGCGAAGCGCACAGTCATAGATCTACGTGGATGAAGGGTTCCTAGAAGAAATCGTGGGGAATCTATCAATGGCACTGCGCGGCTGAAGAAATAGGGAAAAGGGACGACAGTATCGCATAGATGAGAGCGCGATACAGAGCGGAATGCAAAAGCTCTCCTGACCCTTCACTTCGTCGATGGGTCTTAACGTCCCGCAAAATTCCCTGCGTCCTCGGCGGATAATTGCCACCACGCGGCCTTCCCTCAGAGAAGAGCACGATGGTTTATTTGTCTCCGGATCTTTGACGGTTTCGACTTCCCCCTCGCCTCCGTCGTCTGCAAAGAGGTCTGCCTCTTCATTGACTTCTTTAAGTTCTGCCGAGAGACCCGCTCCTCCTTCCTCTACAGGAGGGGCCTGGGGAACCTCTGGCCTAGGATCCGCAGCCGATATCGGGTTATCTGAGATTATTTCTACAGCAACTACGTCGCCTTCGAACGCCCGATTCAAGTTCGTCCGACCGACTATACGGACTTCTTCCCCTGTACGCAGGGGCGTCAAGCAACAGAAGAGCGAGCAGCAGAAGGGGTGCATTTGCGGATTCTTTTAATGCTCAAAAGGCCCTTGTTGTGCGAGGATCCTTTGAGATGGGGCGGGTGTGTGGGAAGAAAAGGCGGGAGGAAGACTAAAGGGGTCCTCAGTCAGCCCTCCAGGGTCATTTATGAACATGACCCTTAAGGAATCAATTTCATACAGAACCCTCTCTTTCCTTCCCAGCGACCTCTCCCAATTTCTTTCCCCTTGTTCTCCCTCTTGCACTCAAAAGGCTTTTTGGCACGCCCCCTAGAGTGCACTGTGCGTACACTGCGCCTACCAGCAGCGAAAACAAGACCCCGCCAGTTGCAGTCCGAGAGCATCCTGAGTTTGCCCTGCAAAATATCCCCTCGTTTCAGGCTTTCGGCAATGCGCTGCTCCGACCAGTGGGCCTCATAGAAAGCCTTAGAAGCGCTGCCCTCAGCCCCTCCAGCGTCTTCCACGTCCTAAGGGCCACCACGAAGCACAGCCGCATGCGAGCAGGCGCATGCATCAGCACTCAACTAGCGAAGCGCGTGCAGCATGCATTCTGGACAGGAACCACTTAAAGAGCTCTCCAGCACGGGAGACCACAGGACGAGCGAAGGAGGCAAAAGCAGAGGTCGGCAGGGGACGGTGCAAAGAACGGGGGGGAAGCAGAAGGAGGAAGGAGCGCGGCGATACATCATGACTGACAAGCTGAGCCAGCTGCTCCCCAGAATTCGGAAATTCATCTTTCACACTTTCCAGGTACTCCATGACCGTCTGCACGTCCAAGCCGAGCGCCTCGGCCCTTGCCTGAGCCAAAGGAAAACGGATGCGCAACTCAAAGAGAAAGCCTTTTTGTTATTTGCACGCCGCGCGCATCCAGAAGCGCACAAACACGCGACCAATCCTTATATCCCACGCGTCGCAACTTCTCTCCACGATGCAAACCGCCCTTAGCACCTTTGTACTGCCGCCTCCTTGGCAGTACAAAGGTGCTAAGGGGTCCCTGCGACGGCAACGTTCCCCTTGCAAGTGCACACCTTTAAGCTCGGATCGTGCGTCAACACTGTTACCCGTGGTCCACCCCCCCCGACGGCTAAGTCTGCTGCCTCCTGCGGCGGCTGCGTTGCTGCAGCAAGGGCTGCCGCGTGGCACTGAAGCCACTGGGCTGCAACACAGAGGCCCCTCGCCTCATACTCTTTAAGTGTCTCTTCTGCAGCGACATGCATGCATAAGTGCATGCATACACACACAGATATAGACACGCACATAAACATAGAACAAAGAGAAAACGGACTCGCAGAAAGACTGGACGGCGCACAGAGGGACCCCAAATGTGTGCACTCCAAGGAAGCGTCGCACGCGCAAGCTATGGAAAAGCCTGCCAACCAATCATCGCCTGCGGCAAGCTGAATCTGCCGGCCATCAGTGTGAAAGGGTGGCGCAGCCTCCAAGAAGCGCGCTAAGGGGTCTCTCACCGTCCGTTGGTTGCACAAACGTCTGCGAGAAAAACTCATTCGGGAAAAGGCAAAAGCATTTTGGACTGTCGCCAGGGCTCGCGCCCTCTCCACAGAGGGCTCTGAGCCGTCCATACACCTGGAGGTTCTTGGCGCGCACCTGAAAGGGAAACCAGACATGCATTCACGCCTTCCTTTTTAACCGCGTCATCATGGCAGAGCCAGCCAGGCCTAGAGAGACACCGAGTAACACCATCGCCTCACAAAAAAGGGCGAAGCAAGGCCAGCAGCACCACAAGCAAACGCCGCGGCAGCGTCAAAGGCAGCATCGGACCTGATTGAGGACTGTCGAAAGAATGAGGCAATTCCTCATGCAGGGGTCCGTCTCCACAAAGTCGATGAACGCCAGGAGCAAGGCTGCATCCGGCACGAGAACGCGATCCTCAGCGCGCAAACTTCCTGCAGCAGCAACGTCAACAGAAGCGGGTGCACCGCTAAATTATCATCTGCTTGGTTTCTTCAAAACCAAAGCCAGCGAGGGGGCGCAGGACGCTGTTCACAAATTCCTAAGGGGAGCAACAACAACAACCGTGTGACATAGTTCATAAGATACCTGCAGCTTTGGCCGGATCCCCGCAGAGACAGCATTCTCTGAATCCGCATGGAATGTCGTCTCTAAGATACACCTCACGAACTGTCTTGCGCACCCTGCCTCGCTTCGTTATCTTGAAATATGAGAGATGGCGCGCTGCACTCTCTACGCCGGCCTCCGCCTCCATGGTTTGCCGCAGTCAGATCTTTTGCCGCCTGTTTTTCTGCCGCAGCGTCCCCTCAAGGGAAGAGCTAATTCGACACGATGGCAACAGGATGAACACGCACAGCACTGCCGATGCCTGTCCCTCGCCCCGGTGATTCAACAAGCGATGAGCGGCGCGAAGAAGGAACTCGACGACACAGTGAGCGGAGAACGGCCCTAGGGGCCCTTCGCCGTGCTTGCTGATTCGCTCTGTCTTCCTTCGGTGGCTTGCTTGCTGAGAATCGACTCTGTTGCCAGCTGCTCTCCCCTTCGTTGCCGCCGTTGCAGCCATGAATGCCTAATAGCTGCCAGTTTCGGTCCAAGGAGATCCATAAAAGGGGGAGTTCGCGGCAGAGAGGAACCTCGGGGGGCCCAACAAGGCTTGTAGGGGGCCCGCCTGCCTTCGGCGTTACACGAACAAGAATCTCAACGGTTAAATATACCGAGAAGCCGCGCTTCAGGTGCCCATTTTTATACGAAATTGGAGCAGTTCTTCTGCTTGAGGAGAAGCAACTAGCAGACAGGAGCCCAAAAAGGTTCGTGGGGTCGGTCCGCAGGGACCAGCGGGACAGCCCCATGGGGATTTCCCGTTGCATATCAGCCATCCACCGCGTCAGCAAATATCCCAACACCCTCTTGTATTCTCCCCTGACGACGCTGATTCCAGGCTGCTTCTTTACCTCGAGGAGGCATAAGATGCTCTCATCTGCCCAAAAGGGTGCGAGAGGGTAGTGAGCGTTTGCTAGCGCCACATGCAGAGGAGGCCTCGACATGATGGCCTCCTTGAGCGTGTTTCAGATGCGACTACTGCATTTCTTCAGGGAAACCTGGCACCTGGAAAGCCATTCGAATCTGTTAAAGGGAGGCTAATGTCTAATCTGTACTGGGTGACGTTCCCTCACCTGGCATAAGACCACACACAGTGTCTGGGTTGACGTCAAAGCGAACCAAACAATTCATAGTTGGCTGCACCCTCAGATTAATCAGTTTGACCATATGCACGCAGATGTGCAGACAGCCAAAGGGCAGCTCATAATGCACATCCTCATCGCACAGATATACGCAAGTCCTACACCGAGTTCAGTGCGTGCATACTCGGATCCAACGAGGCATTTCGATAACCTCTTGACCTGGTCTGTGGTTCCCCTTGTATGGCTGTGCCTAGGCAGGTAAGGACTTTGTGGCAATGGTGTGGATACCGGCTGGCTGCGTCGCAGGTCACCTAACACGGCAAAACTCCCATAGGACTGGTATGCGAGGAACTTCTGAATAGTTCGCTGCCTGTTGGCAATACGCTTTTTATATTAAGCTGCATGGAGTGTAGCCACGGCTGTTGCTTGCTGGGAAGGCGCTAGGACAACTTGAATTAGGGGCAGTCGACAGGCCCTTGTAGGCACACGAGGTGAGGTGGCCGTCTGAGGCATGTGAAAATCCCTCAGCACTTCAGGCACTAGAAGTGATGAGGATTGGGACACCTTGGTGATGAGCTAGTGGCTCCTAACCAATTATTTGGCGATGGTGGATTAAAGGGGACCTAAAACGCGACACTGGGAATGTGATTTAGAGACAATGCTGTTTGAATATGAACCGCGTTTGCTTCTTCCCTGATGCAATGGGAACATTCAGAGGACAATTGTCGAGGCATGAGTGCCCAGAAGTATCAACAACTCGAGAGTTTGTCACAAGGGGCGCAAACTCGCAGGGGCAGAAAGCGAGAAGTATTAGAGAACAAGGATGTGGCTGGAGCCAACCTCAGGCCTCCCTGCCCTTTCTCTGCACCCAGCGACAGCCGTTCTGTCCCTGTGCAGCTTGAATTAAGGGGCATGGCCCTCTGAGTTTTTGTTCAGGGAATTCCAGCTCATTGAGCCAATAACTTCCTTGTATGCAGGACATGTGGACTGATGCTCTAGAAACAGCTATAGAAATACTTTTTGCTTTGTCATGGAATAAAAGGAAGTCCTCTTATATGGCTATTTCTGAGGTGGCAAAGAAGGACCAAGTCGTTTTTTTCCAGGGATAAGTACAATATGGCAGATGTATACGCCTTTTGTATACGGCGCGTTACCTTTTAGCACATCTGCACGTTATTGAACCCACTGAGAAGACCAGCATGCGCGTGGAATTGCATAATGTAAGGCAGTATAAAAAGACACAGCGTTTGTTCTCATAGTATGAGACTGCCCCACTCTCCCGCAAATAAACCTTAAGAGCAATCAGCTAATTCATTACTTTCATTGGATTTTGGTCGATACTTCGAATGTGACGAAGAATCCCGCCCTATAAAGGATGATCCTAGACCTCGAATGCAGTGAAAAGCTCCTCGGGCCTATTAGGCGCTCGAGGGTTCGGTGTACTGATACCGGACATGGTCATGGAGGAGCTAAAATACGGACTAGTTTAATTCCAATCTGCACTACTGGGCGGCACCCACACAAAAGTCCTCGTGCAACTGAAAAGAGAGTGGCCATGCACAAAGCTGAAGGTGACAGAGCGTAGTGGAATGATCTCAAGGCTTGAGAATAGGCCGGGCCATAGCCAACCGGGCAGACTGTTTTGGTTGGCGGTATAGGGTCTCGCTGTATTTGCCATCATGGCTTGACACAACGAATGAAATACAGAAAATTGGCCGTATCATTACTGGCATGACTTCAGAACCTCCGTAGCTTTTAAGTACATGAGTTTGTGTCTACAGACACTGAGTCCCTTAAGGGTGTTGGGCGTGCCTGCGCGTTGCCATCTGCACCAAAGTAGCATAATCAGGGCAAAAAGAGGAATCCAGAGTATTTATGTATAGAGGCTTTTCTCATTCTTAAATGGAGGCCTTGCCAGAGACTGTTTTGCAGCGCTGGACAAGAGTATCTCGAGCCAATTCCCGTTGTGCACTTACGCCCACACAGATATATCTGAGCTCCAAAGGACAAATAAAGTGTACCCAAACCGGAAAACACTTTTTAATGCTGGATAGTTCACTAAAGCTGCAATTTATCTGTACAACTTTTGGATGCCTCAGAAAGGACGCGGCTCGTCTCGAGAGTCGTCTGCAGGCTCCACCATCCATGGTCACGAGAAATCTGCCAGATGCAAGACGAATACCTCTATTACAGCGTATTCATTTACTTGACTACTAAAGTATACTTCGAATGGAGCCAAATAGAACAGTCTTTCATCCCATCCTCAGTGAAATGTTATTTGTGCAGCCATGGTTTGCCCTCCGTTCATAGGCTGAATACTGCAAGAGTAGCCTCTGCTAACTTTTTTGTATCTGGGATCCTACATCCAGGATCACTGTCTTTGAAACACCTGGGTACATTGCTTTCAACAAAGTGAAACCGCATGGCAACTTGTTCTCCTAATCCTTTGGTCTCTGCCGGCACCTGGATTGTGGCGCGGACGACAACAGACTCAGCGCCGTGAAGCCCGTCATCCTCGGCATCAGACCTATAACATGGAAGATTCTGGAGAACGTCTTCGTGAAGTATCCATATCTTTGTCGGTCGATGATGAGCAAACTGGCCAACACCCACTGCTGCAACATTCTGCTGACGAGGAGAGCCAACATGGAAGCGAAGACTATCCGCCAAAGGGTGATTCTAAGAGCCCCGAAATCCAAAAGGACAAGGAGATTATGAAGGCAGCACTGGCCAGAGGACACTTGATGGCGCGTAAAGCGGCGAGAAAAGGTTATGAGAAGTCTAAGCTCTTCGTGGCCAATCAATATACCCTATTTAAACAAGACGCCAAGAGAGGCCCCAAGATCATCAGATGGATGAGTATTGTGGCGTGTATTCTCTTGCTTCCTGGAATCTTTGTCGATTTGATAACCATGGCTCTCACACTGAGCCCTGCTGAAGTGCTGACGGACATATACGGCATCCTTGGTTCTGTGCTGGTCCTCGCTGCAGAATTCTCCCGGAAGAGCACTCGCTTTGGTGTCAGAGCAATGCTCCACTATTACGTGCGTTTCGTGGAATTCAGTGCTGGTCGTGGGATGGTGCAGCTGTACGTGGCCTCAACATGCGTTTCCCTGCACAATCTTTTGAACCTCCTGAAGTTCCTCCCGGGTGTCGCCCTCCTCCTTTGCGGCATCGTCAATATTATTTGGGGCACTTACGCTGCGTGCAAACTAAATTCAATGCTTGCCAGGCTCAGAGACGCCGAGGGAGGAGATGTAGGCTCTAAGCCTATGACGGAACAGTTGGATTTGATAGAGCGCAAGTTTGAGGCCATGGATAGGCGGGGAGACGGGTTACTCTCCAAAGACGACTTAAGAGAGGCAGTAGTTGAAATGAATCTCATGATGGATGCGCTTGAACTTGATGCGGTCTTTGAGTACATGGACAAAGATGGAAACGGATTCATCAGTAAAGACGAATTCGAAAGCTGGTGGCTCGCCAATAAAGGTGTCAAGGTTCTATAGTAAATGTAACCGCATACTTCTCTCCACTGCGAGTAATACCATTGTACATAGCTTTTAATTCAGTTGTTGCCCCCTAAAATATTGTTCTAGAGCACAGTTCCTGGACCAAGTATCCCCCACCGGACGGACGACGTAGCTGTGGATGCATCTAGGCAAACTAGAGGCCTTCTACCCCTCTCGTGGCCGTATTGATGGACTTTACACTAAATTCTGAACGCCAATGTGACTGAGTTCAGCGTTTTTTTCTTTGCATGCAATGCGGGTTGGTGCATTCCGCTTTGCTGGGCAGATTCTTTTGTTACACAGCACCCTATATGAGCTTTCACATCCCCGTCTAAAATATGCAAGAGCAGATATGTTACATCTGACTAATGCTTTGTATGTGAAAGAGTGCTGCCTCCGTGTACTACACTGCAGTGAAAAGGCTTGCCGATGGTGTTGCAACAGGGAACGCTACCGGTCAGTGATTTGCCTACGTATTTCATCTCATACTTTCACACAATGTTATGCTGCTTATTTCGTATCGTAACCGTTGCCTCCTAGCGGCTTGGGGGCTTGCCGCTTGATCAACTATGTGCGAGGTGAGCAGTACAATGCAGTATCATATGCACTTGCAGACCCAGTCTAAGACCTGTCATGGTGGGTGATTGGGGGAGAAACCTTGATTTGTGCAGGGGTATGCGCCTTTGAAATCAGAACAGAGACTGTCACCGGTTTCCCAGGTGGACCCGTAAATCCATGCAGTAGTGCGCGATCTTCCACTAACAGAATATAGGTCACATTTTCGAAATACTTATATGTGTGCAAGAGACGTTTGAGCTAGTTGATACATGAAATAGCTTGATACCGTCGTAAAGCGTTGCTCAAACTACAGAGTGCCAACAGCGAATCGCCACACTGTCAGTATAGACAATACTGTTTGCCGTGATAAAGCGCTTCACTTGACATAAAGACCTCATGGGTTTGCATTACTTGGCAAAGCCCAATTTATGGCTAATCTTTATCGAAACTACTACCTAATGCGGCATGTAGGATTCCAGGAAAAACTATGTTAATTTTTTCCCTCGACTTTTGGGTTTACATACAGCTGCAATATTTGCTCCCCGACAGTTTGGCGAATTTATCGGAACCAAGCGTCAATTCAGCACGCCCGTCACGAAAATGACAGGCTTTTCCTTGTTGTATTTCATGTTTCTGCCCGGCCTTCTTCATATCTCTCGGTGTGACGCTCAAGCGGCACCAGCAGCTCAGACGGACCAACCAATTCAAAATGCAAATGGAACTGGTGCTACATCAGGTGGTGAAGCGATGGACATTCCGAACGTCGACGTTAACATTGTTCCCCAAAAAAGGTGACAATGTTGCATCTTTACATGCTTTGGCGGTATATCTCAACTGTATTTGCGACCGCAGCTGGCAATCATCGAGAGCCGCTTTAGCTGAGCTACGGCGGAAGTTCAGTCAGTTCATTCGCGATGGTAATTTTGCAGCTTTTCTTCCTCAAGATTCGCCAAAAGCTTTTAAAATTTTGGGTCTGCCACAGAAATAAGCCGTTCTGCTCATGCCTGGGCGCGCCAATTGAATTCGGCCAAGAGAGGAGGAAGTGAGGCAGCTTACACAAATGCTCTCTGAGTAGAATGTACAGGATTCTCCAGCTGCTGAGACACTTGGAGTGTTTAACTCTTTACCGGTTAGTAAAGAATAGGGGGCATGATGGAATACAAGCAAGGCTACCAGCCGCATGGACACCATGCTATTGAATGATCATTGAAACTGCAGAATTCCCATGCTAAGCAGCCACCAGTTGCACGCTTTCAAGCCATTACGCCTCTTTTTACAGGTAAAGACACTTCGAATTTTGCAGTACACCTCTCAGTAAGACACCGGGGCAGCAGACCAGCAGGCAGCAACGCAAGGACTGGGAGGTGCCGGGTCAGGGGCTGCGTTGCAGGACCTCTTCAACAGCAACAAGGTAACCGCATAAAGCTTATAGTGCACGCAATTTAGTCATATTATTGATGGGCAACTGCTCAGGCAGGAGCCTTCCTAGATAGTACTCAGGGTGTCACTGCTGGTCAGTATTTGGAAGCACTCGCCGAGGCAGTCGCACACCAGGTTAGAAGAGGCATTATCTTATTTCTTTGGGCGTTTTTGGTTAGCCCCAGCCACTTTTCTTTCCAGGACAAGAGTTCAGGAGACATTTCTGAAGTGCCACAACAGCTGCAAACGTCCTCAAGTGAAGTGCTTAGACATGATGAGCTGGTGTCTTCTAAGCAAGACGAGACAGCAAATGCCACAAATTTAACTCTTGGGCATTCAGAATTGCAAGAGGGTCCCATTGCCCCTCCACCCGTTGTGGACTAATTACTTAAACTGCTCTCATGGGCATATCTAAGTGCCACATATACTGGGAAATATGCTTTTTTACGCCCTGTTTCCATGTGTAACTATGTCACTTTAGCTGCTCCCTCCGCTCTATCATTCATTTTGCCAACAAACTGGAGTTTCTTTGTAGAAAACGGATGTCTCTTGCTATTGCCCATCGCCTTTTGTCACGGCCCTCTACTGGATTGTTTGCGTCTTCAACTTCAATGAAGACCATTCCAAGAGAGGCTCCGGTCTACTTCCCTCATCCGACACTATCCTTGATCTGCTTTAGTGTGTAGCAATGCGCACAGGACCACTTTCAAGCTTCTCCATATACGCTTCTATTTTCGCCAGTTGATCTTCATAGTACTCTTTTCTTCGAGTTTCCTGGATTGTGTCCATTTTTGACTTGAACGTCATACCCTGGTACAGGTGATTCAGCTCCTCCCACCGTGCCTTTAACATATCCAGAAGCCTCGTTCGTTCTTCTTCTGGCAGCACCCGATACTGCTGCTCTGTTGCTTGCTACAGGTAAAAATCAGAACAACAGCAGGAAGCCCACCGGGGCTGCCTAAGTATGCAACCGCGTAGGCTCAATACACAGGTATAGGTGTGCACGCATGTGTATGAAGATAGCAAGTTTAAGGAATAGAGGGCGAGCAGCCATACACTGGTCAAAATCACTAAAGAGACTGTCTAGGCACATCGCCCCACTCCAAAATGCGATGCAGGAGTGTTGCGCTCCCAAGCATACGAAGTTCAGCTAACAATTGGATAAACTGAACCCTGATTGCGAAGCACAATTTTGGCGCTGCACAAGTTGCCCGATGCCTATACAGGTTGGCCAATCAACAACACGCCTGGAGCTTCCATGTAGCACTATTGCCGACTTTCTTGAGGCCAGGCATGCTTTATGACTCGGCCCGCCAGAGATACCAATCTGCCAGTATTTTGTGTATACATGTGGTCTTTTAGATACAGGAGCAATGGACTCCTACACTCTTTAGTCATGTACTGGAATCTGTTTTTTTTAGATGCTCTCTGAATTCTTGATGCGTCAGTTGAGCTCACTTTTTCTTTGTTTCTCAGCGAAAGAATGGTGTCGTATTCTTGTTTTATTTGAGTCTTGATATCTTTTAGGTAGCTTGGGACCTGACCGTAGCCTTGCTTCTTAAGATAATTATCCTCTGGCTTTGTTTTCGGAGGGCGGGACAACATGTTGATAATCGCATTGTATTTTACGTAGTTCATGTCCGACTTTACTCCGAAAATCTGCATTTCCCAATAAGAATTTTGGACTCACACGTCTATACTATTTCTTGTGGACCCCATGGGAACATTGTTTGCCTGTACTTCGGCAAGCATTGATTAGTGTACGCTCGCACTCGAGTATATTCCTTTACACAAAATCACCATGGTTGCTGAAACTAACGAAAAAACGGTGTTTTTGTAATCGCAGATTAATGAGCGTGTGTAAAAGTGAGTGTGCTTGCCGCCATATGTTGGAAATGCCCCGTACATTATTGCTGCAATGGTTCTGGTCTAATTCAGAGCATGTTCGACGAGTATCGCCATGCTAATTGGCAAAATATACAGCACTTGGGACTCTCAGAATTTGGGGTTGCTTTCCTCTTTAGCGGGTTGTACGTGCGCACGATACTTTTCAAGGATCTTCCAGCCCTAGATTTAAGTATGCAAGTGTACTGACTGGTCTTTCGGAATGTTTGGGTATCTCAGGTTTCATCTTAGGCTTGCAACGGGAGCTAGCCAATAGATTCGGATTTGTATGCCGCAGCTGTTGCAATGTTTCAATCCTTTTTGCCTTTGAGTGCATTGTCAGGGGCTGCTGCGGAGATGCCTTTAAGATCCCAAGGGGAGGTCCGAGCATCGCAGCAGGCTTCACAAACGCGTGGCTGCCACCGCTCTCCGGTGTTGTGCTGCCTGCTCAAATCGCCGTTGCCATCAGGTGGCAATTTTCCGGATTACAGAAATTTCCAAGAGTACTTTCGACTCTCCACGATCTGCTAGCCACTAAGCTAGAATGGGGATGACTAAATGGACACGTGATTGCTTTTTGACTTAGAGGGAGAAGACCCACCGCCAACATTTTGTACACCGGGCTTGGAAGTGCCTTTTAGGCCGAAAGTTGAATACGAAGGGGGGCACTGGCCATTGTGGATCGACTTTCTTAGAGGCTGGGGATTTTTGAGCTCAACCTCAGGCGGCAGAAGAGCGAGAACATTTTCTTGAGAATACATCTTCGTTATTGTGAGTGTCAGGGCCCACAGGAGGTCCTTCCAACATGAGACATGATCGGGAAAATGCGTTCATGACATATTCTATTTCTTGATTTGGCATAAATGATATTACGGCGTTAAATAATGCCAGTATTGGCTCACAGAGGAGGTATTCCCGTTTTTTGGTCATTTACCATAGCGACTGAGGGTGCACATCCCGGCGCTGCTGAAGTGCACGATGCTCGGCTGGTGTCCCCAGCACTGTAAAAGATGAAGCTTGTGCAACAAATCACTAGCACTCCTTAATCAGAGGTTCAAGGCCAATTATTGCAGATATTTAATTAGTTGAGACTAAATTTTCTTCAGATTTTGGCCATTGGTACTCAGCGGAAACACGTTCTGAATGCCAAGCACGCAGCCGTGAAGATGCCTCATGCCCAAGTTCATACCGCTTCCTGACCGGCTACCTTTGCACAGTTTCTTTGCTATGTGCATTTTTCTAGCTTTAATCATGATAGTGAAATCAATTTTTTAATGCATTTTGTGTAATTCTTCCCCCAACTGGACCATCACCAACAGTGTTTCTAAATAAACAGAGCAGCACGTACCTGCGCCAATTCGATGCATTACGAGTACATGAGCAACACCATGCTGCCAGTTTCCGTTCACCTTGCGATGCCGTGTTTCATGGCGGCCTTTACGCAAGAGCACAAGAAAGCTGTCCAGGGCAATTACAGGGCAGGCGGCTGTCGCTGGCAGAGCTACAGTAGATTATTGATTTACGTCAAGGATCGGAGCTAGCTGCTGCGTGGCACCATGACGTGCCATGCGCTAACACTGCACTACAACCCTTGAGAAGGAAGCTTTTGTTTATACTGATCTTGTGCTCGCTGTAGCTGCAACATGGAAATGCTGCTGAACCTTCGCTAATAATCCGATGTTCAAGCTTTCACAGACCCAATCACACAGCATGTGATTGATAAAGCTACAGCCTCCGACACTTAGCACAGTACCCTTGTTGCGGAGGAGAACCGCTCATTGACACCGCTCTGTGCTGCGTATTATTCTGTGATCCTCCTACATCTCCGAAGGCCACATGGTTCTTCGCTAGTTGCGAAGTTAAGTGGTTGCTACTGGGGTACTTTGTTTACACCTGCATTCGGTCGTGTGATTTCTGCTTCGTGGGCAAGTCCTCTTCTTCCGTTCCTAAGTTCGCTATTTGGCCATAAATGGCTTTTAAAGGTGAATTAAACGCCGCAAGTACAGAGGGGCTTCAAAATGATGTGAAACGATACAAGGCGTTCAACACATACATATCTGGGCGTTTGTATAGCCCCGTGTTTCTGAGAAGCTGCTGCAGCTCAAGAGGCTTCACGGTCAGCATGCTTGGTAGCCCTATGTATTAAGCACCGGTGCTATGATGCCAAAAGTATTAGCACCCAGATTATTGTACCACCATCGCAGCTCCACTCAACTATTAGTATCCTTCCGAAGAAAGAGCTCGAAGTCATCAGGAGAAAGAATTAGCCACAGTTAAAACTTGGCCTCTTCTGGCTCCTTGAGCCAAGGCAGCCTCTCGAGCTTCATAGGATCTATTTCGTTCAAGTTGATAACGTCCCCTTTCTGTATGTGGTCGTCCGTTACTACTGCCTTGTATGCCCCCGTCTTCTCATTGAGCTCCGCCTGAACAATGTGGTATCTGAACCAGAAAGACGAAGCGTAATTCGCACTTACGAGGAGGCATATACGCGCAAAGAGTCTATCAACTCACATACATGAAATGCAACGCAAGGACGCGCACACAACAATTGCTATATGAGGGTGCATCAAGATGCATCGCACCTAACAAAATCAATGGCCATTTTTAGTTCTTTGTTCAGATCTTCCTCAGACAACTTCAGGGTGTTGTAGCGAATAACATCCCGCATTTGTCTGTAGATGGTGCTTTGCGCCTCGTAGTCTCCACGGAACGTCTTTTCACAGGCCCGAAGGAACTGACGGTAAAGCGGCGCCAAAGAACGGTAGGGTAAGGGGGGGGCCATGATCCCCCTAGAGACAAATCTTGATAAAACGAGGACTGCCGGTTAGGGGAAGATTTCCAGAACTGAAAAAGAACCACGAAACTGGCACGGAAGCTACGGGCGAAGAGTTGAATCTTTCGGGCGTTTCGTGGGGAAGGCGTCCCAGAGGCCAGATAGCCAAGGGTTGAGAGAGCACAGTGGGCACGTATCGTGTGATAGAAAGAAACAAAAGTATATTCAGAAGGCGCTGCAGAGCCAGTGGCCAGTCAGCTGACCTGCACGCTATCACTACAGGATGTCTACCAAGGCTCTCCGCATATTACATTTCCCCGAAGCAACGTAAAAATGCAAAAGTAAAAGGCGAAAGAAAAGCATTACAACCATTGCCTTTGGGTCTACTAATGTTGGGGATGCTTGCAAGTAGCGGGGCTGGCCTGTGGGGCTGGCTGCCCATACCCGCTGATTCATCAGCACATGAACGCACACTGAATGCCTTCGTTCCGGGTTTCACTGTGAACGGGGTGTACAGCGACCTCGGTGCGAGGGTACCACGTGCAGCGTGCTGCTATCAATGCTGCATTTGTCTTGCGCTAGAAGTTTTAAACTGAACTGCCGTCTTTGTAATCTGCGCGCTTTTCCTCTCCCCTTGACTACCTCTCTTTTCGCGTTTGGAACTTCAACAGAGCCTCACAAGACGCTCGACAGATCCAGAGAGCACGTTAGCGCGAGGCGCGTTGCCACTTCAAGAGGCTTCCCAGCATCGCGGCAGGACAAGCGGGTGAGAAGGCGCACAATGGCTTCCCCTTTCACCGGCGGGCTTCTCCACTGGGAGAAGCATTATGGAAACTCCACATGCGATGGACAAAAGGTAAGGCGTTGGGGCTTGAGCAAGTGTGACGGCACTTTGCCTGGGAACTCCAAGGAAGGTAGAAGATGGCTTTGTTTGTTTCCCATAAGCTTTTTTAACTTCTTGTGGATCGTTTCGCCGATCTTAGAGTCTCTGTGAGCATGCGTGTGCCCTTTACAGGCTGGCGATCTCCAAGCGAACTGCAGTGGCACTGCCTACAATGCAGACAAATCAGGGAAAGCCCCAGAAAGCGCAACACAGAAGGAAGCAAGCCGCAGCGAAAGCCACTCTCAGGCTTCAGGGTTTCCGGACCATTCCCAAAGGTTTCCTCCTCCTGTCCTGTCGACCCTGAGTCTGGATGAGAGATTTGAACGATGCATGGCAGTCGCCGAAGAATGCATTCAACCCGAGGTGAGGAGGGAGAGGGGGTTTGTTAGTCGTGAGTGTGTATCCGAACCGTTTAATTTGAGGTGTATAGTCATAAACTGTTGGGTCTCATGACCCCTTAGCTTATTGACTGCCGTCTCCCCCCAATACCCACCCCCCAGTGCGCGATAGAAGTGGTGGCGACATACGGGATTGAGGATGCGGATCCAGCGTTTTGGCTCTGCTCGTCTTCCTGCAGCAGGTGCCTTTCTGCAAGTTGCTTAGCCAGGCCATGATTAGTGAAGCACATGCACCGTGAAGTGAAACCTTGCATTTTTTTGTCGTCCTTTAGGAGCTGAGATCCCTTTTGGAGAAAAAGGCGAACCCTATTGCCTATGACGGCTTTGAGCCAAGCGGACGCATGCACATTGCCCAGGGTCTCATGAAGGTGAAGAACGTCAACAGACTAACGAGCGCCGGCTGTGTCTTTGTGTTTTGGGTTGCGGATTGGTTTGCAATGCTCAACAACAAAATGGGGGGCGATCTGAAAAAGGTATGTTCCCTCAGTGCGCTCCCGCCAGCATAGCGTGCTGGCGAAGTGCCGGTGAAGCTTTAGTGCTGCAGTAAGACGGGCATTCGAATTTCTCGGAGGCTGCAAATGACGGGCGACCTCAGTATTCTGAATGGGCAACAACCACGTAGAGGCGGAGAATACGCAGACTGAGAGTAGGCAGGAAACACGCGAACGTCTTTATTTGCAGATTCGCAAGGTGGGCGAATACTTCGTGGAAGTTTGGAAATCCGCGGGCATGAATATGGACAATGTGCGGTTCCTTTGGGCCAGCGAGGAAATCGGAAGGGCGCCAGATCAGTACTGGCAACTCGTGATGAACATTGCAAAAGCAAATAGTATTTCGAGGTGCGCGAGCATTTCATTCGGGCACGCGCGCAAACCTTTAATCTGAAATGTGGCGAATCGTCTTCACGCCCTACCTTTTCCTAATATACGGGTCTAGCGGTGCCATTCCCTAATAAACGGCCATAGTGGCATTCGGTATGACTCAGGCTTTCGAGCTGACTGAATGCATCCCATCGGAATGTCTCCTTAAAAGACTACATTCCCCCAGGAGTAGCCATTGAAAACAGCGCTTTGGATGCCTTCTATATGTGCATGAGTTGGCCGCATATAGCTTTGCTTGTCCTGGTGGTGATGTTGCATTTCAGGATCAAGAGGTGCTCTCAAATTATGGGCCGTTCTGAGGGCGACGACCAGCCAGCAGCGCAAATCATGTACCCGTGCATGCAGGTGCGAACAGTAGAAATATGCTGATCACATATATGCATGTGCGTATTTTGTTGTACTACACATAGGTAGGTAGGTGAGGAAGTCGCTACAGAGCGGCGTTATGAGGTTTCTGCTCTTTCTGCTGGTTGTGTATCCTCCCGCCTTGCAGTCACTGCTTGTTGGCTGAAGAGCTGCATGAAGCTAATAACATGCATGAATCTTAGGATGACTGAGGAGCCCTTATCAAGTGTCCTCTGCCTTGTTTGTCCTTTGCTGCAGTGCGCAGACATCTTTTACTTGCAGGCTGATATTTGCCAGTTGGGAATGGATCAACGGAAGGTGAATATGCTAGCGCGAGAGTACTGCGACGAAATTAAGCGGAAGCACAAACCCGTTATTCTCTCTCACCATATGCTGCCAGGTCTCCTCGAGGGGCAGGAGAAAATGTCAAAGTCCAACGCGGACTCAGCCATTTTCATGGAAGACTCAGAAGCCGTAAGGGTCCTAAGACCTATACGTCCCCGTAGTCGAAGCTTTAAACTTAGTAGTTGGAGCCGCAGAATTGAGAAAGTCCTCCACTTAAATCCGAGATGTTGTTCCGGGCATCACGTTGTTCGCGTGAGGGTTGGTATCTCCTCACTAGCCTTAAGTGTACTAAAGTGTTGACGGAAGCAGTTGCCCTAGTGAAGTGAGGCCGCACTGCGCAGTTTCACACTACATTTCGCATGGGAGAAAAAATGTTGTTGCCCTCAGGAGGTGAACAGGAAGATAAAGAAGGCATTTTGCCCTCCAGGCCAGCTGAAGGACAACCCATGCATTGCGTATGTTGAGCATTTGGTGTTCCCGGACTCGCCATTTGAGGTGTTGCGATCGGCGGAAAATGGGGGGAACGTGACATTTAGAACAGTAGAGGAATTGAGAGAGAGCTACGCTTCAGGTGCTTTACATCCTGGGGATCTCAAGGCTTCCTTGGCAAGAGAAATTAATAAGAGGCTAGAACCTGTCCGCAAGCACTTTCAAACGGATGATCGTGCAAAAAAACTCCTGCAACAGATCTCCGCATATCGCATAACGCGCTGAATAAAAACAGTCTGGTCTGCTTGCATCTGTGAATGTGTTACGCTGCTTTATTTGTTTTCTATCCTCGAGTCGCTTTCCAAATTATACAGTACGCTGCGGAGCCGAACTGGTTCTAGCAACCCTTCAAAGTGGAAGGCAGAACGCGGGGCGAGAAGATTTGAGCTTGAATCTGATGCATGAACGATAGGGTAGTGGTGACACAACGGACAGGAATTCGCGTGCTCACCCCCACATGGTTGAGCAGCAGTGGTTCTTGAGCGTTGTGCCCCTCTTGCTACCAGTGATTAAACTTGAACCAATTTACGTCGCATAGTCTGATACGCTTGGCCAGAGGAGCATTACCGCATTAGAGGAGGTCTTAGATGATATGGGCTTGCGCACAAAAAGGCACGTTTGCATACATAACAATTTTGCAACGGGATGCCACTAGTAGTACGAGTGGCAGGAGCAAATGCGCTCTGGTAATCCGACTATGCTGCTCTAGCATGAAACTCACAACAGTGTTGCTACGCGGGGCCCTGCCAGAACTGGTGCCCTCATACACATAGGCCAACGCTTTCATGGAAGTAAATAAGTAATACCCAATGGGAAGGGCAGAGGGGGTGAGCCAGGCCAAGGGGCACCCGTAGTCTAGAATTCAATGTTGTCAGCCTACTGATAAATAACTTTCATTTTAACTTTTTCCGCGTTGTGATTGCAATAACGCAGATGGAAACTGGCCAGAAGTGCTGAGGACCGAATGAACGTGCAGTAGGTAGCTGCGAATTACTAAGTTACCGAACAAGTCCAACAAGCACCCGTTAGAAGCATAAAGATAGGGGTATAGAGGCAGCTGGCACATTCTACTAGCTTGTATGTTTCCTACTGTTGTGCCGGAACAGAACGTATATATTACTAGTATGCGAAGAGCCTAGCTGCAAAGGGTTCAACTGCTATAAGCCTCAGTCTCTAGTTCGTAGTCAGTTCGTTTATTTTGTTGTCAGCTGCGGTACTATCGCGAGAAATGCACTCGTGTCTTTTATGCAATGAAGCAACGCATGGCACTCTTGCTATTAACTGTTTGGCTACGGCAATCTTCATCCGAGTGCTGTGCTCTCACAAACTGGAGACATTCCTTTAGCCTGTAATAATCTTACACACTTTTTTAATGTTGCTCACGGAGTGTAACTCAGCAACACGGCAATATGTCTCTAGTGAAAGAAATGACGCTCACGACTGTGGTTGACCCGGCCACGAGGTGTCTACAACGGCGAGCATAAGGAAGCCGAGTGGCCCCTTTTCACTCCAAGAGAACCTAAGAAGAAATAAAAAAGGTTACGAAATTGATGATGTTGGCTCTGTGTAGTACGAATGGCGCTCTGTTCAGGAAAAGGGAGGCCACTGGTCCACGGCCGAAGTTGTCCCTGCGCACGAAGCATGCAGCTGCCGCATGGCTTCGAGGAGCACACCGAAATTACAACTGTCGTGAACTAGCTGCTTAAAAGGATTCTATTACTGCAACGGGCATATTGGTGTGACCACAGCCCTTTTTGTTCATGTCTTCCTGCAAAAAATATTCGGGGAAACGAGGGGCCTTTAGAGGAGAGCATGCACAATTGGGAGTGTATGTCGTCTCTTCGACTCAAAACCAAAACAAGGGCTCCCAAACACTTTAAAAGCCTGAAGAGTCGAGGCTAAATGGGCTGTTCTTTTCTGTGTTCTTTACGCGACTTCCGCGGAGTTTGTTCTCGAAAAGGTCTTTAGGGAGCGCGCATGCAGCTAGGAGCATTCGGATGATCCGTGTGTCCTGCACCTACCCGGGGCTGCCATGCGGCGAGTGCCCGATGGGGAAAGCCCTGAGGAGGCCCCGAAGGGCACGACAGCGCAAAGCCAGCCTCCCCAGCAGTTTTTCGATCATAGCAGCACCACTTCAGCGTTCTTCCGCTCATCCGAGCCACTGAGAGGTGAGTCAGTCTTAGGAAGAGGCAGAGAGGAGTACGCCTCTTGTTCAACGGGCTTCGCAAATTTCGAGAGCACCCAGCCACACGTTCTCCGCAGTCCTCCTTCAGAGCGCAGCCGAGGCCCTCGCTTCAATGCTTTTGTAGATGTCGTGTATTATGACTCCAAAGCCAGTCAGCAAGAAGACATCCGTGGGAGGACCGAAGCGTCAAGGCTTTCAGAGAGCGACGAAGCTCAGAGACACACTGACTTCTCCCCCGCGGGTTCCTCCGAAGAGGCTGAGGAGTGCGTGCCCCCTCTGGTGAGGCGGCCTGCGCCTCCTAGTGGTGGATCGACTGGCCTTATGGGCCAGAGCGACACAGCGCACAGCGAGAGAGAGGGAGAGTTTTTCAGGTCAAGCTCCGACATCGAAAATGAAGGAACGCCTTTGCAGAGTGAGCGGAGATGTGTGCAGTCAGGCGCTAGCAAGGACACTTGCACCGAATGCAACGCTTTGCATCATTAGGTTTGGTTCTAGACCTTTGAAGAACTTCAGACTCACCACCCTCGACTCATCATCTTGATGCATGCGGTGTGCGACCAATTCGAACGTCTGTGACAGGGGAGCTCGACTCGATTAAGCTGCCCTGCAGCAGTTACTTGCCGCGATGTGTCAAACTGGGGCTGACCTACATCGTTGCAATTAACCGAGATTCTTTCCTTGAGACCAAAGGTCCCTACCGAGTACTCCGACGCCGTTTCAAAAGCTTGAGGCCTCTTATGTTCAAGCGCGAGAAAATTGAGTCCGAGTTCGCTGATTTAAATTCTAGGAGAATGCCATTGCAGGTGCTCCTGGGCGCATTTTTGTTAACTTGTTTGTATATAATGCATTTTGTAACGAATTTTCATTGTGTGCAAGACATGAAGGGCCTCGTTACATGCGAGTTCATCGTCAGCCTCGCACTGCTCATCGCGTGGCTAGTCGTCTGTTTCAGTTATTGCTTCCGCCAGTTTCTCGAAATTTGCATGACTGTCATTATCGCTCTAGTAAGCTGGAAAATTTCATACAATCCTTAATCCCTTGTGCTATTTAGCTAGTATTTTGACCACAGTAAAGAGGGCTTGCAGCTGTAGAGTGCTGCCTAGTCGACTAACGCGAGCTAGTGAGTTGTTGTACACAATTCAGCTCCTCTCTTCGTTGCCGGGTCCCCTTTGTGGCTGCAGCTTTTTTCATTTCGCTCAGCTGTGCGCGTGGCGATCACCGCAAGCTCTATAAAAACAGTGCGCCTTGGCACGCTGGGTCTGTTTTCTTACAACTGTATGGGCCTGGCAGAGGCTGTTGTACTACTTCTTATCCCTTACCATCTCGCCTCTATCCGGTGCGTCTCCTACTGCAGTAGGGTATTAATGTGCTGTGTCAAGCTGGTACGGACTGCCACAGAAATCACGGGTCTGTAAGAATCTTTCGGGGGTCTTTCTGCGCTTCAGCCAAAGGCACCAATACTACACTCACTCGTTGCGCTGGGATGGACTATGTCGAACTTTTTGCTGCCATCACGTAGCGCCAACTAACCATAAATAAACACATTTGGGTGTCTGCGATTCTACCATTGCACTGTAACCGCGCTGTGTGTATCCGCTTCAGGTATGCTTTCTGTTTTTGGCTGACGCTTGTCGTCATGGTTTGGGCAGTGCCCATTTGCGGCCTTTCGGCAAAATTGGCAGCTGAGATCTTTCAGGATAAAGAAGAAGGCTTCTGGTTCTGGTCTCCAACGCTCTACTTCGTCCTCATGATTTTTGCTATCGTGATGGACCAGTCATGCTTCCTGCATGAGCAGAAGAGAAGGGTATTATTTTGGAAGCTGAAGGTGAATGCTGGAGATTTAACAGCCTATAGAGGCGGGGTCAAACCAGCGATTGGCGTGTATCTTCTAGGCAGCTTTGCTCCATGGTGCGACGCTGGTGGGTGGATTGATGTATGCAGACTGCGGACGATCGCCTGGAACTCCTGGAAGACCAAATATTCCATAAACGCAAGAGGAAACAGGCGAAGGTGCCCTCAACTCCTTTGGAGAGCGTCCTTAATAACATAGATCTTGTAAGTCTGTTTGCACTGTGTTGTACGGAGGACATGTTCGAATAAGTGGGAACAGCGTGATTGTTCGATGTGATGGTTACATCGCCGCACTCCACGATCACTGAGTTCGCACAGATTCAAGGCTTGCTCTTGAGTTTCCAAGATCTAGATGAAGAAAAAGAACGTGTGCACTTCCTGTTGAACGAGGCGCGGCACAACTTGACCTTGACCGACAATATATACCAGTTCAACGCAGAAACTTGTAGCGACGTAAGACTCGTCTTGTTGCTCTTCATCCTCAGCGCCTGAGCTTGTTCAGGACATGGGTGTCGGCTGAGCTCTCTCAAAAGCTTTTCAACTCTATTTTGTTACTCGATAGTTTTAACCGATGGTTTATCATGAAAGCGCACCATGGAAGCAGCTATTGTCTTTAATCTTGTTTTCCATGTCTTCTGTTGCCCCTGTAGAAGTTCGCTAGAAGCTATGTGTCCGATCTTCGACGAGAAGGTATAAGCAGGCCTCGGACACTCTCTCGTATGACAAGCCTCGCTGCCAGGAGAAGATCGCGGCTTCATGGAGTTGCAGAGAACATGGTAAGACGCCAAAGCGAATCAAACAGCCCAATGCAAAGGCGTAGGTAAACGTAAATGCAGCTAGAGCGAAGGCCGTGAATACGTGTAGGTCTTCATGCGGAGGTGGTGGAAATCTCTGCTGAAGTACAGGCTCTGAGAGCGCACCGAGTTAAGAACGTACCGTTGAGTCGCGCCGCATGTATGGGTGTTTGTGCATCATGCCGCATGCTGCTGAATTTTTAGTGCTTCCACCGTATTTTCATGGCAGCACCCTTGTAGTGCTCGTTGTGCTACCTCCACGACTGAACTTCATCTGGCTTTAGCGCATCATCACGCCATAGTCTTCAGTATCTATGTGCATATTCGTTTTGACACAGCTCAAGAGTTGAAACGCAGTCTTTTCCTGGGTGTCTCCTTCAGACTCTGCGAGAGAGCTTGTCAAAAGTTGGGCTAGACTGGAATTTTAGCTGCATCACCCTTGGGATTATAAGCCACAGGCCCATATTTGACGTTGGATATACCATTCTCTCTCCTTTTAGCTTGTCCCCCGATGTTTCTCTCGATCGGAAGGCCCTGAGCAACTTCCTACAAGAACTAAACGACCACTACAAGGACAACCCGTACCACAATGCGCTTCACGGTGCCACCGTAAGCAGCAACAGCTTAATCAGGATGTGATGCTTCTACCTACCACACGCGAGCTCTGTGTGCGCCATGCATCTACTAGATCAGAAAGGAAGGGCCCAAGTGCTGTCCCTTGCCTTTTGCTCTCAGGTCTGTCACATGACGCTTTGCCTGCTCGAGATGCTGAGCGTCCGCGACATGTAAGGGAGGAGGTTTCATGGGAGAGCTAAGCTTTTGTCGTGCAGTGTTTGTGTGTTTATGTGTGTGTGTATGTGTAATTATATGTGTCTGTGTGTCTGTCTGTCTCTCTCTGTTTGTGTGTTTTAGTGTGTGTGTGTCTGTGTGAATCTTTCATCATCGTTGTATCGGTATTCGGGCTTTCGGACTACTACATACGGTCTAGTGTGGACTTCGACAGGTCTCCTGGCACTGTCATGGCTTGATCCGGCAATTATCGTGCGGTTGGTATGCACGTGTTTTTGCTTTCGTGCATTTAGAATGAGCGACTTTGAGGACGTTTCCGCCTGCATCGCGTCTTTGAGCCACGATGTGGTCCGTTTGCCACACCTTTTCTCTTGTACTTCTTGGGAAGAGAAGTTCTAACATTAGCTGGATGCGGTCCCTAGTCGCTTCAGTGAGGGCAAACAGGGCCACGCGGTGTTTTTCGTAGGTGCCCTTCAGCATTGCAGATAAAAGCTGCTGCAGGGATTCAGATAATCCGCTACTTTTGCTTTTTGTTTCAGGGCCACCCGGGCCGGAACAACAACTTTATGATCGCAGCTAACACCCCCCTGGCCATTACATACAACGACGAATCTGTTCTCGAGAATCACCATGCTGCGCTAACCTTCCGCATCCTAAGCAAGTAAGCTTACATTTTCTTCTGCTGTAGTAGGAGACAGCGGCAGTCATCACTAGCTGAAAACTGTGCGGCAACGGAAAGCGGACAGCTTGAGCTGGGTAGCTTATTTAGCCATCACGTAAACGGCAAGCATACACTGGGGAATGCATGATACATTCCTGCTGTTGGGCCACTCCCCTGCATGCCTTCGTTTTTGCGGTGTTTCTCACGGGATGCCTGTCTGTGGGTAGGCCTCAGTGCAATATCTTGGAGAAAGTTTCCCAAGAAGGATACCGGCTGATCAGGAAGCTGGTGATTGGGTGGATCCTTGAGACTGACATGAAGAAGCATTTCGACCACATTGCCAGCTTCAGGACGAGGCGAATGAACGCAGAGTTCAGTCTCGTCAACAATGAGGAGGACAGATCGTAAGAAGTCAGGGGTATACGGAAAGGCTCAGGGTGTAGGATCTCGGGATTAGGGTGCAACGATGGACGCACATAAAACCTGACCCTAGCTTATGCTTTTCCCGTTACCGAGTGCGCAACTTGTTTGCTCCTCGCTCTGCAAGCAGCAGCATTAGCTGGTTCCTACTGCTGTGCATTTTAGCACAGTTGTGCTTTTTAGGGTATGTGTTTTTCTTGTAACTTTCTTCATTTGTTTTTAGACGGACGATATCGATGTGCATCAAAGCGGCAGATTTGGGCCACGCGGCCACGGATTGGGAGCAGCATCAGGAATGGTGTCGCAGAGTCTACATCGAGTTTTATGAGCAGGTAAACGGTAACATGCTTGAACACAGCTGGGAGGCCCTTTGAAGCATAGAGGCTACAAGCAACCGTGTATAAACGAGCGGTTGTTTTGTTCGTAGCCAAAACTAAACTAGCGATGCGACTATTAGATAAGCGGCTGGTGTAGATTTGCAATGTAAATATATAGTTACTTGATCTCCGCTGCACTGGGGTCCGCGGCCTGTTGTTTCTGAACTCCGCTTGATGAATTACACACCAGCTTGCCTCCCCATGATTCTGTGGGTACACTTTTCCAGTACAGCAGTCGCATAGCACGCAAAACACAGCTGTTTTGTTTTTTGTACGGCTCTAGGGTGATGAGGAGGCGGAAATGGGGCTTCCAAAGTCTTTTCTTTGTGACCGTTCGGTTCACGACAAGGAGTTCCTCCCCGCACAGATAGGCTTCATTACCTTCGTTGTCAAAGTAAGCAGGTGCATTAGAACCCGCGCAGTAGCACTAGCTCTTGATGCTGAATATAAAAGTTCGAGTTGCCATGCTCCTTCAGCTTGATGCGCTTTTCACTTGGCAGCTCACCTCGACAAACATTTGGCAGCGCTAGACATGTACATGCGCGTGCTGATACTACGTAAAGCACCCGCTCATAGGTTTTCATGTTGACCGGCCGGCTGCTATTAGAATTGCAAAGCACAGAGTAACCTATTTGTAAGCATTCAACCTGGCGTGAGTGCATGCATGTGTTCGTGAATTTATGCAGCCACTGTACGAGGAGCTGAAGGCAATGGATGACACTTTGCAGCTTCCTCATGAACAGGAACTTTCCAAGATTTGCATAGCTAACTTGGAGGCAAACGTAGCTTTGTGGCAAAAGAAGGAAAAGGAAGCGCAGAGCATAGCTCAAGAAAACTGACCCTAATCATGAGAGGAACCCTAATAAACAACATATCGCAACCGTATCCTGCATATGCCGAATAGCTAAGAACGACCGCTGTAACCTTGGATTTTTGTTACAAAGCATTGCGTCGCATCCGCCAAACATCAGCTCCATGGGCTGGCGGAGTTTCAAATAGTTGAAATAACTTAAGTGAAACGAAGTATGCAGGCACAAGGTTGTCTGCACGGATCTAGCTTCTTTTCTAGGTTCATGCTGCTACGCACATAACAGTTTAGGCTAATATATGGTCTTTGCAATAGCTAAGGCTATGCAGACATGAGAAGCGTGAATACACGAATCGCAAGAGAATTGGGTGAACTTCGAGCAAGGAGCACAGGGTGTCGAAGCCGCACATCTGCCTGTCTCTGCAGCTCGCGTGAATGTACGTAACAGTAGAATAAAAACCGGGACGAAAGCAGGTGCAAGCAAGGACGCAGGGATGCAACCGCAGAGGCGGAATAAAAGTAAACGGTAGTATGAAGGTGCTTTCCCATTTGTTTCATGCCTTTAGTCCTCCTGAGATATCCCCCACAAGAAAGTGAACGATTTGCCTAAACGTGCGCAGCTTTGTTCCCTCAAAGAGTTGCCAGTGGCGGACAACGCAGCTGCTCTGGATGTTAATTTCCTGAAAATGCAGACCGCATAGCGAACGAATGGTTTCCATAGGACATTGATGGAGCGAAAAGCACTTCGAGTTATTAACAACCAAGATGGAGAGCAAGGATCAGCGGCTATATCTTGAGTCTCTGGACGTCTCATGATTCATTCGGGTGGTTTTGATACCCGGGCCTTATGCCACAAAATGTGGGCGGATTCGCTGAAGCGAGTTCTCTTCGCTGCAGATATCTCATATCCTACAGTACACAGTGCGAAAAGAAACGAAAAAAGATAAAAGGATGAAGCGACATTGATATGGGGAAAAAGGGTCACAGGATCTGCGTTGCACGCTTCGCTCTCGCATCGATTTGCTCATCCGGCGGCAGGAAAAGGGCATAAATGGATGGAAGGCGACAAGCGCCAAATGATAGGCACTCATAAGGAGCTTTATGTTGGCTGCAACTAAAACTATTTCCTTGCTTGGGCTTGGAGGTCAAAGGTCTCCGCTGATACGTCTCCTGCACACGTGCCGGCACCTTACGGGAGTCCCCAGCGATGTGTTGCAACAAAACAGCCCCGCGGCAGATATTGTCAGTTTCCTCCAGAAGTTCAGAACGAGGGAGGGAGAGCAGTGATGCGGTACTAAAACGAACAAGCACACCAGATGTTGCACCCAAACACGAGGGATGAAGTACGGGAAACAGTACCTTAGAGAGAACGGGCGCACTTTACAAGTGGCAAAAGGATTTGCCACGATACATGTGTTGACGAGGAGGTTGCCTCGGGCCGTGTTCGGAAAAGAGCCTTAGCAACAAGTAGTGTTGCATAATAAATAAGTCTGTTATTTATGAAGGACGACATGCGGGCAGTGCGCGATGCGGTGTAGGCCTCTGGATGTGTCCCTTGCTCCCCTGTACTTCAGCTCAGTCTCTCAAGCTCACTTTGCAACGCCATCTAGAGCCTGAATGTACAGATCATCGTCTTTGCTGTTCTCCTGAAGGTATAGAGCGTATTGTACCGCTCGACCCAGTGAAGGAGACTGCGTAGACGCAGCCATCTGCAGAAAAAAACGGAATGCGCCGGTAACACGCCAGAAATACGAGTACAAATAGGTGTGATTTTTCTCTAATGCACCTGAATGTTGCTGCATTACTTTAAGTGACTCTAGAGAGAAGCCACCAGGGGGCAACCGAAATACGACACCACATGAAACTTCTGCGCCTCTGACGGGCAGAAACAGACAGCCTTAGACACTTGCCCGGTAGTACTTTTCAGCGGCGGCAGGCGAATGCAGGTTGAAGTCGAGGAAAAGAGCGTATTGTTCCGTTGTCTCTGGGTCGCTAAAATGTTCGAGGGCCAAAGAATGAAGCAAGGAAGCAACCTGAGAATAAACCTCGACATGGCCGCCAAGACGGATACTAGGCGCCAAAGCAAATGAGACCCCAAACCCTTTGGTATGAACCAGCATTCCCAGAAGCAGACTGCCTTGTCTTACATCCTTCAGGCCGTGCTTTTCGAGCATTCGCAGGCCTACTCCCGCGATGTTCGCTCCGCAGTGGGGGTCGGTCCTGCGACGAAACGGCACCACGGGTTTGCAGCATCGCAAACTTGAACAACGAAATGCATCCATCTCACTCTTTACTTTCGGAGGAACCACGAATAAAGAACGAGACAGTTGCGGGGAGGGTGCACTCAGAGAGACTGGTGGAGTACACCGACTGCGGGGTGGGAAACGGATGTTATTAAGAAGCAGCATTGTTTACATCTTGCACCGTCTGATCCACGGTTCCCAGCTACTCTTTTGCATTATCTGGAGACACACGCACACAGAACCGAGAATATCGGCTCCCATATCTTTAGGTGCTTACGTCAACATACCCAGTTCACACATGAACACGTGTTTTCTCACTTTTTCCTTCCAGTTGAAGGACAAGTACTCCTGGCTGGTTGCCGTCGGGGTCTCGGTAGCGAGCTGATCCACCATCGGCTCGTCCAGCCGCTGAAGGATGGAGAACTCTTCGTTTGCATACACCAGACTGAAAAAGCGGTTATTATCAAACAGGGTCCGGAAACAAAACCTTTGTTCCCGTGCAGTGCCAGCGGGACACTTAAAATTAAACGCATCGATCTTGTCCGCAACGTCAAATACGGATGTCCGGCCTTTCGGAGGAACTGAGAAGGAAAAGTAAAGTCACATCAGACGCGCGAGACGCTCTGGAGGCTACACAAGCAATCAAACAGCATGAAAAGCCTAGAAGTGCGCAGACAAAAGGCGTATTAACCACCAAAACGCTACTGCGCGTACAAACAGCGTACATCTGCGGGCATGATGGCATACGGAAGGCCGCTGCTCTAAGCACTGCTCTACTGGCTGACGGAACGAATAAAGAATGAAGATGAAGACAACACTGCGAAATCCGGAGACTTTGGGGAAATGGGTGTGTAGAATGCATTAGGGGGTTGTCTCTGGCCAGAGCAGAGCTCGGCCTAGAGTGCTGACAGCCAGGACAAGAAATGTGGTTCATCCTTAAAATGCCTTTATGTATCCCTTTGTGCTGAATAAAAATTAGTTTTTGCTGGACTTACCAGCACACCGGAAACTGTTTTGAATAAGGAAGTCAACTTTGTACACATCTCTCAGCTGCTGGTTGTACAGCGGCATTGACGGACAGGCCGCTCCTCCGTACGTCAACTGCACCTGCGCCGAGTCAGACGCATGGTAGAAAGATGACTAGACGTCAAATCAAAGCCAGCGTCATGCCAGCTTGAGCAAGCTGCCCATGGCATGCAGTGCGCACAAGGGCGGAGGCAGCATCGCCCATCCTTCGCGCAGGCGCCACCACTTGTGAATCCCATAAGCTTGGATAAACAGAAAACATACTGCTATGCCAAAGGCAAGTAGAAATCAAATGAATGAAAATCAAATGAATGAAAGTCAAACGATAGCGCAGAGCATAATGCAGAAAGCAGAACACAAAAGTATTTCGTTAGGAATGCCGTAGGCAGTAGATACTTGGGCATTAAATTACACAAATATAATTATGAGACCTTTTTAGAAAGACGCTACAGGCAGGCATAGCAAGAGTTGGCCGTTGCTGTTGCCTTCGCAGTTTCGTGTCAGTTGCCCACCCGCTTTCGGATTACGACATTTTCGTACTGCGGATGGACGACAATTCGAATTGAGGGGAGAGCCGCCCGCAAAAAGGCAGAAGTTGTCATGTCCCCCATAACGCCAGACCCGGGTGGAATATTTTTTGAGCTGCGTGTGGACGGGAAATCACAGGTGCAAAAAGCATGCATTGGATGACAGAGGATATGTAAAAGGCGGCAAATTTCTGTAGGTGATAGGGAGGATTCGGCATAATCAGTACCCATCTTTCGCTATGCAACGATCGAAAATACGCCCAGCAAGCTCTTTATTTCCTTCTTCCACTGTTCATCTACAGCAACTCTCTAGACCGCAAACAGGATCGCCCACTAGAAATAAATTCAGGCGTAAAATCTTACAGCCACTCGACGAGCCTTTGCTTGCTGGGGTTATTCGCATTCTCCAGGGAAGGAAAAGGCGTCAGCATTTCAGATAGCGGAATCTTTATGTAAAAGGGTGTCAGCGAGAGGGGGGCCAAGACAAAAAACGCAATAATCTTAAGCACCCTCTTTGCCCTGGGTCCAACGGACCGCCGTGACGCTTGTGGAAGCCTGCACCACACCGCTTACAAACCGCAAGCCGATTTCCTTACATAGCAAACAGCAAGGCCCTAGGTTTATTGGAGTGTTTGCATTGCGCTAGTAGTAATGCCATAGCCCATAGCATGCCTTACGAGACAGCCGAGAGAAGCCGCTCTATGGAGGCGCGCCAGAAATCCGCAGAGACGATGAGTGAGGCAAACAGGCAAAGCAAAGGCAACGCCAAAACGCGTAAGCGTGCAATCAGCAGCATTAAGGCGGTGAAGCACAGCGTCTGAAGTCGTATAAAGACAACCACCACAACCCTAAGCAAGGACCCGAAATCAGATCTCGCGAAAGCAGACAAATTCCTGTACCTCTCTAAAGCCCACCGCTGCCAGCCAATTCATAATAAACAGAGCCAAAGAAGTAGAGAAAACAATGTGACGTAGCAGCAGCAAAGATGGTCAAGTCTGCGAGCTAATAGGTCACAAAAGTCTTTTACATGCCTGGAGGAAAAGATAGCAAAGGCCTGGGCACAGGGCTGCTATGAACTGCTCGTCTGGTGTCTGCTTCTTGTTGTCTTCAAAGACATTTTCGACCTCAGTGCTAGGCTTTGCAGTCTTTGCCTGAACCAGATTCCCAGCATGGAGGCACCGTAACAAGATCAATGGGTATACTCGAGTAACTGCCCAGACGAACAGCGTTGCTTTCCTCCTAAAGGGAAACAAGCAGTATAACAAATGAAGTTACCGGCTTTCGCAACCTCAAATTCTCGCCAATCAACGCTTCGAGCTTTCGATGCTCTTCGGAAAGCCTCTCATCGCTCTTGGTCTCCTCCCTAAAAACGTCGAAGAAAAGGAAGAGCATACACCACCGAATGCTGCATGCTGGAACCGTCACACAATTCTTATTTAGACCAATATTTTGACGAAAAAAGCTGACACACTGGGGTGTCTCAATAATGCAAAGAGCACATGGTGCAACATCCCTCATGAATGCTGTCCCCTTTTGGTAAGCCGAACAGGGTACCTTTGCTTTCGCATTCTACTCACGGCACTACTGCATTCTGCTTTTCATCTCCTCTGAAGCCTTCAAGCCCTTCATCAAACTGCAGAAACACTTTCCAGTTTTTGCAGGTCAGGCGGTGCAGCAGGAAGATTTCTCTTCCAAGGAAAATCATCACGATTACCGCGATTGGGCAGGAGAAAAACAGAACTCCAGAGGATTTTATGTGGCTCGCCAAATTGGCATTCAAAGGAAGAAACTCCTGAGGACATCCAGTGCAAACATTCATCAAGGCTTCTGGCATAAAGAGACGCAAATTCGAGGCCGCATTCATGTGCCGTTAAAGAGAAGAGAAGGAATAAATGAGTGACACAGAAGTGCTCAGGAGAGCAATAATGGGGTCGTTCAAGGGAAGAAGGCATAAGGCAGAGCTCGGCGGAGGTGCACGGGACGCACTGTGTGCCCAAGCATGTAAATGCTGCTGTCAAACGTGCTTTCCGAAAGACCCAGGTGATGCAACAGAATGCGAAATACGTGAGCGTCATCTTTTTCAAAACTGCGGGAGCAGCAAGCACCAAGGGAAAATGACAAAAGAGAGTCATCAAGAAATGAAACGTGCAACGCAAAATAATACTTAGATGTTCGTCGTGGAGAGCAACGAACGACCACACGAGTGTCGTAGACGCCAATCCAAGTGCAGCTTAATTCACTCGAGAGGAAAATTGTAATGACATTTCAAAAAAGCTGTATTGTATGCAGCATGTCTACAAAATGTAGGCAAGCTTAGGTAAGTGGTCTTTTACTAGGTAGCATTTCCATGTTGCTTGTAGAGAAAGTGTCTACTCCAGCTGGCTGTCATCTCTAAGGGTGCAAAATGTGCAATATGTGGGATTCCTCTTCACATTCACTTTTGATAAAAGCAGAGCAAGGGATGTGTTCCCGCCCGATTTCACGATATGGAATAGCTTGGAATTACGCAAGGGGGTTGATCGTGCAGATGCAAAGTCATTGAGAAGGAGAATGAAACACATCGGCGTACGGAATAAGCGCGCATCGGATGAGCCCGCAGACGCCCACGGCAACAGCACCCCTCCGGAAGTCCACTGCTAGGAGCCAGAAGAGAAAATTGCGCGGGGAGGCGGAAAGACGCGAGAGGCACCATAAACTGAAGAGCACCGACACTGCGACATGTGGGAAGAAGGAGAAGGCCTGTGACGCAACAGACAGTGGCATAGAGGCACGATAAGGCAGAACTTGAACAAAAAGCTTGAGGTAGTGCGAAGAGAGTAAGCAAATACGGACAAGTCAGCTGTTGAATGGGTGATTTCACTAGTGGAAAAGTGATCTAATCTAAGGGGTATACTGGAAGGGGCATATGGAAAGGGGCTACTGATGAGCTGTAAAAAAAGTGAAATAATGGCATAAATTTCATGATGCCGCAAAAAAGAGCCATCACTCTGTTTCTGTAGCGTCGGTCGTGCAGCATCAAAGGTTTTTGTATTTCTGCGATGGAACGACTCGATGGCTCTCTATCCGCATCGATCAATATTCGCAGAACTTCCAGGAACAGAGGCACTGACCTACAGCTCTTAATGTGAATGGTGCGTGTATACGTACCAAGTAATTTGGGGCAAACATGAGGAGGAACACAGAAGCAAAAGACAGTAAGTAAAAAGAAACTATGCGGCGAATCACGATCGAGAGCGGATAGCCCAGCAGACACACTCCGAAGAGTGCTGCAACCTGCAAGCAAGTGCTCACAAGAAAAAAGCCCCAGCGCACAGTGCATGAGTCCGCAGATAACGAGCTAAGGGCAGGGCAAACAAGCATAAAGGCTGTCAAGACCAGAAGAACGAAAATCCAGGTCAGCCGCACCATTAGAATGTGGTGTATTGGCGGAAATCCCAGGCGATGACCATAGCCAGGAAGATGACAGGCAATACAAAGGAAAAAGGAAAGAGAAGAAAACGGCAAATATAATATGTGGCTTGAAACAGAACATTAACGGAAAGTTGCCTGTCTTGTGCTTACTTGAGTTGTGAGGATAAAGACACCGAACTGCCATGCGAGCATTAGACCGCTAGCAGTGAAGAAGGCGGTCAGCAGAGGCCCCCATATCTACGAAATTCCATTTAAACAAACAGCAGAAAATTGCGTGAGTGCAGCAAAGAGCCAGTGTCATGGGAAACTTTTCTACCTCCGTACCACGGTGCTTAAGGTTTCATGCACTTGCATATATAGTTTGCTGCCACCGGTTTTCGCAGAACGCGGATGGTCTCGAAAGACGAAAGCAACCTAGTTGACTTGCAGTGGTCTCAATGTATACGGAGAAGGAGGGAAAGAGGGGGGGCGCATGTTTGGGCATATTTTTGTTGCACGAGGACACTGTCAGTTGGTTGTAGTGGTGCACCGAAGATGAGAGCGCGCCAAACATGATACTAACAAAATTGGCGCAAGCTCCTTGATTGGGTTGCCAGGCAAAGTTCAATTTACCTTGGCTTGTTGATTTTTCTTCATGTGTCGTTGCAGCATGACGAAGAGGGCTATCATATTCAGCCAGAGAAACGGCAATCCCCAGTGCTCGCGTAGTGCCAGTGCTGTAATCACAAAATTGTCCAAAGGGTGCAGCAGGAAGAATAGCAAATATGCTTTGTTCCATCCGCCGATTTGCCACCAGTGTAGCAGGTGGCAGCTCTTTGGTGCTAGCAAGAAGATCTCACAGCCACTTCTCCCTCTATTGGCTTGTATGAGAGTTGAACGCGTACCGTCCGTTCTTAGAATAAGACGGTGATAGAAATTTCCCATAAAAAAACCATAGCAACAGATGCCGCACAACAAGCTGTTTCCTGCACTAGCCACCCACACAAACCACCAGCCGATATTGTCAGACAAGAGGCAGCCACCGATCGCGAAACGCAATTGACCGGAGGAAACAAACACAAGGAACGAGGAAAAGACGCATTGTAAGGCAGGATTATCGGGCAATATAAGAAAAGCGTGTGGATTCACATGGGCCCTACTCTGCCTCTCCTAAGTCCAATACCAAAAGAACTGTTTCTGCGTAGTGGGGTTTCTTCTTGCAGGAATACATTACACGCTCAATCCCGTATACGTATGTTATGAATATCGGAGCCCCTTCAACCTGTCTCAACGTACCGAGGCAGGCAGCTAGCACGCAGACGCAGGCTACGCCAAAGGCTTGGAACCAAAAGACTGAATTACACGCACACTCGCACGCCCATAGGCTGAACAAGCTACGCCATGGACAGCCCCAAAACGCCTCGCTGCTGACGCTAAAGAAAGGCGCCCTAGGAGCCCTACTAGCGGCCCAAGCATCCCAAGCCACAGCAACAAAAGATCCTCAACGGCAACATAGCGACGACTAAGCGCCTGTTCAACGCCCCCCCATAACGCAGGAATGGAATCCTCTTCACGCTCAGACCACTAGGCAATGAGCCTTTGGACGTAAGGGCGGTCTAGTTTGTTTGTGTTGTGTGCCTGACTTGTCGCGGCGTAAAAATTGAAAGGCGTTCTGGCGATGAGCTCGAGAGTTGAAGGTGAGAAACAATGCCGGAGAAAGCGGTAAATCAGACCCAACAATAGTTCTGCGCAGCACATATGCAAAAACAGCGAAGCTCAAGGAGCAGCCATGAGGACAAGTTCCCACGTACTCTTCTGAGTCTTGGGTTCTTCAGCTCTGGGAAGGTAGAGAGTTGCACAAAAAACCATGAAAAAATTATCTGGGGCCAGAAGAGGACGCAACGATCTGCCGGAATCGCACGTTGAAGAGGCAGAGGGCAGAGAGAAACAAAACATAGAAGGCAGGAAGAAGACGGAATGCTAATTTGCTAGGGTATGCACTCTTATAGGACTATCAAATTCGTGAGGCTGTGGTAGGTACGACATGTGAAATCAAGTCCCACGAAGGTCAGATTTCACAGAATCCTGATCCCAGCCAAGTGCATGAGACGGTTCGTTCTTTCGCCTCAACTCTTCCTGTATCCCCATTAAGTACAAAATTTTGCCAAAATTCCGACTTCCCAACAGCCCTAACAGCGTGCTATGGCCCGAGCTTGTGTATTCAGAGACGGGAAGCCGCGAGACGGTGGAACTTGGCCGAAGGATTACCTGGGTAGATGTTGAAGCGCTCGAGAGCATTAATCGTAGTCGGGTGTTCGGACCGCTGATCTCGCCTGCCACGAAGCAAAGGGCGAAATACCTCTGAACCGTAAACTTTGAACCTCAAAGCCGAAGTTGTGGCCTTGAACTAGTGAAAACTTACATGAGAGTCGCGATGGCTTGAAGGGAAGAGGGGGCACGAATTACGTCCAGATAGTACGAATAATACATCGCGTTCTGGGGACAAGCCACAAAGAGCGGTTCCTCTTCATTTTTCATCTGACACTATTTCTGTTTTGCGAGTTTTACACTCTGGAAAGGTTTCATCAGCAAGAAATCTCTTGGACGGGCAAGAGTCAAACTCTAAGTTTATCTACAGCTTCCAAAGTATCATCGCAGCTTTTATGACCTCCGAAAAGAGTGTGAGGGGTTGCTGATCTTCACTCATTTCAAAAGTGAGGCGGAAACGCCTCCACAGGAAGAGCGTGGTTATCGCCCTGAAAGGTTGCATACATCAAGCCGACCCGCCCAACTAGACAGAAGAAAACAATCACTGAAATATTAAGGCGAGAGGTGGCAGTAACCCAAAAGCTGAAGATGCCACTAGCAACACCAGAAGATCTTTCCCATGGCGCTTGCTCGGAGAAAATACCTCTCAGAGCAGGCAAGTGCGAACGAAGCGAGCATACAAACATCCATTTAGGGCAAGCGGACTTCTCGGGGGTAGAGACGGGGAAATATGCGTATTGGCTGATCCGACTCACCAAATTACGGCGCCAAGACAGAGCAAGCGTTGCATCTTGATCGGTTTCGCGTCCAGGGATTTCATAGGTCCATGGAGCGCATCCCTTTTTATTTCGCCTGTGTCTGGCTCCTCCCCAGACGCATTCTTCTTTTTTTGCTGCGCCATTGGCTCATAGGGGGCGAAGCTAAACCGCGGGTTAGAAGCTGGGACACGTTGAGGCGTTCGCGTACTGCTTGGTACTGCAGGCAAGCAAGCGCGGAGGCGATCGCTGGACGCTGGGCACGATTTGAACCCCCCGGTTGGCGGATGACGTAGAATTTGGCTGGAATTCCCCTCTATCTGGACCAGGTTTTCATGGTGAGGAAGCGTGCGTTGAGGCAGGAAGAAACCAGTGACAATGCTAGTTAGTATGTCTACAGCCAGCTAGGGAAATGGGGTTCCCTCGTCGGACTGTAAGGAACAGGTCTCCCTGACACGGCTGCTCCTAATAGAGTTTCTGTTCATGCTCCGATTCCGGGGAGGCTGGATAATTGCGACCTGTGCCTCCAACAGACCCCTGGCAGACTCAAGACGGCCGAGCCTCGCGGGCTCGCTGCCACGTGCTGCAAGCTGACAAAAGGCGTGCACACTGGAAATGTGACGCGTATTCCTAAATGCATTATACTCCTGTTTTTATGGAGTAAACCGCGTCGGAGCGCTTTTGGCCGCACGTGTGTGCCTGCTGCCGCTGGTGTTGGCTGCATATACGCCTTCGGCCGTGGACGCCCTCGGTGCACCGTGCTGCTCTTTCGACTATGGATACCTCTGCCGCAAAACTGTGCTAGCCCTTTAAAAAAAGAAGCAAGAAGGGTCCTTTCGTAGTCTAAGCGTGTGCAAAGCTAGAGAATATCCACAATGTCGGGGGCGACCGCCTCTGCGGGTTTCCGCTCTATCGGGGAGAAATACGGCTTTTCCTGGCAGCAAACCATGCTGAGGATCAAGGATCCTGCGATTTCTGTGCCATTCTATGAAAAACACTTTGGCATGAAGCTGGTACGGTCACCATGCACTGCGGAGTGGGCCCAGTTCTCTTGCATTGCAGCTCTCCACCAAGAGTTCTGTCTTCTCGCTGGCTTGCCCAATGCTATTCTCTACAAATTAGCGGGTGTTACCCACCTTCTTTAGGATGGTTTTCCGCACCACTCTCATTCTGCCACTCTTGGTGGTTGCTGTCCAGCCAGAACGGATAACGGGCGGTAGTACAAGTTGCGAGCCTGCTGGGCGAAATGCACACCAGACAATGACTTCGGGAACGGCCATCTCCTCCTTGCGAGGTGTTCGCTCAGATTCATAAATACACGTTCGATGAAGCAGGCTTTTCCCTCTTCTTCCTAGAGAGGCCTAGGGACGGAGCGACCCTCCCCACGCCTGGAACTCGAGAATCCGAGAGATACCTGTGGAACATGAACGTAAGGGGCGAATAGATCTGAAGAAAGGCAAAGATCTGCGCAAAAGGAAGAAGCAGCGTCAATAATGTACCCAAAATACAATCTGATAGGCAGGGATTTATTCCTCTGATTTTTCTGGGTCCCTCTTCCTCAGGCTGCGTACTTCCCCCCCTCCATTTTTGTAATATATTCTCTCTCTACACACATCTACAGGTGTTTCTCTCTCGGGGTTGGTAATGTAGGCAGGGTCAGAGACGGACAACCAATAGTAAATGCTTGGCGGAGCTCCAGCATTTGAAGGCTGCGTGCTCGTGGTGCAGGGTGTTTGTTTGGAGCTGACGCACAACCATGGCAGTGAGAAAGACCCGAATTTCCGAGTTAACAACGGAAATGAAGAGCCACACAGAGGATTTGGGCATATTGCCTTTAATTGTCCCGATGTCGTTCAAGTGTCGGAGGAACTGGAGAAAGAAGGGTAAATGGAGGCGTGGCATGCCGGATTCTTCTTCTCCCCTGCTTGTCTACAGCTCTTTCCCGAAAGCAGTCTTTTCCCTTGTCTGTTGCCTCTATTTTAGTGTTCAATGTGCCCTTCTGTCCATATTTCCCCTTGTTAATTCGCTTTGGCTTCGTGAACGCTTGTGGTTTGGCATCGCTGTATCTCAGTGTGGCGTTTCGAAAAAGACCGCATGAGGGTCGCATGAAAACGATTGCGTTTGCCCTGGACCCGGATGGCTATTGGATAGAGCTCTGCAACAGAAGTCCATCTTGTCCATTCCCAGAAAAATTCAATCTTTCTCAAACCATGATTCGCGTAAAAGACCCTGAAAAGGCACTCAAGTTTTACTGCGACATTCTCGGGATGAAGCTTTTGTTGAAAAGCAAGAAAGAGGATTTCACCAACTATTTCCTTGCTCATTTGGAACCAGGTGCAACTCCCCCTGATCCTGAGGTGAGGGATATGCACGACTTACTAGATTGCTGCAGTTTTGTTCTTCTATGCATTTTCGTCGAAAGTATGTTGTTCGCAGCTGAAGTGTGCCTTTTCAAAATTTTCTCGCTCTATCTCCCCATGTAGCGCCCTATCGGTACTGTGCTGTGCGCACCCAGGGTCCCGACGCACCGTCCTTCGTGAAGAGCCTCTGGATGCCAGTATTGGAGCTAACGCACAATCATGGGACAGAGAACGATGCGGCTTTTAGTTACCACAACGGAAACGACGCCCCTCAAGGATTCGGACACATTGGAATGCTCTGTGATAATCTGGAAAAGGCATGCGAAGAACTTGAAGCGGCCGGAGTGAAGTTCCGGAAGAGACCACAAGTGCGGTGATACATATGAAGTGTTCGTGACTAAAAATGCACCCGGTCCTACGCAGAAATTTGCTTCTGTGGTGTTTGGTAATTGGGCCATCTGCGGCTATTGGGTGTTGCAGCGCTACGGCCTGCGTGCAGATGCAAAACGTGCCTTCTTTATGTTTCCCCTTTATCCCGTTGTTGCTGTTGCTGTGCTTTCTAGGATGGAAAAATGAGGGGCATCGCCTTCGTGCTAGACCCTGATGGGTACAGCGTGGAACTTATTAATAGGGAAGTATCCTTCTAGCTTCCTCCCTTATCCAGATCTTATTTTACACTTTTGGCAAAAAGGAATGGTGACACGCAAGAAATAGGGAGGACAGGGTGTCTATGCAATTTTGGAAAACGACTGGCACGAAGCACAACATTCTCGCTACAATCAGAGATTCTTCCATCTGATATCTATCGTCTGCATTCAGCAGTTTGCGGTAGTAGGGTTCCTAGGGTTTTGCTGTTCCTGTATATAATGACGGGGACGAGCGTTGTTGTTCTAGAAAGGGAGCGATATGAGCTACAAGCTTATAAGAAGGAGAAGAGAGGGGGATCGCCGCATAGGGCTAGCTGGCTAGTTAATCAGCGGTACTTGTATCCTCAAGATGATCAAACAAGCGTACATGCACAAGGCGAACCGCAAAAGCGAGCAAGGGGAAAACAGGTAACGTGATTCACAAAATCCTGTAATGACCCCACTAAGGCCAAATGCCTATTCTCGTCGGGATCAATTCCAAGCTTCACTATGAAGCAAAGTTTCTGTTTACAAATCTAGTGCAGCGCCTACCGTGCTAGCTAAAGCCTTCGCCGTTGAAACTGTGGAGAGCTTGCTACTTACTGCTATCACTTGCAGATAAGTGCGGTGCACTGCAGGTGGCCGCATATTGTATTTTTCTAGTTTCCAGGCGTTGCGTATCGAGTGGAAAAACAATGGCTGCATGTTCAGCAGAACACACTTGCCATTCCATGTTTCTGTTGCCATCCAATGAAGCAACCGAGTTCAGGAATCGTACGAGTTCCTAGAAGTTAGCACAGGAGTGCCAGAGTTCTCTTAAAAATCAAAAGGCACTTGAAACGCGCAGCAAAAAGCTGCCGGGACGGGGGGCAGGGGGAAGGCCACAGTAATATAGGAGCGATTACGGCCAGTTGCTGGAAGCAAGTAGCTGGCCAGGTAATCCCACCTACTCTGGCATTAGCTCGGCAGGCGTATTTGCTATATACAACGCACCATTTCGTCTCAAATAAGAGGGGAGTCGGCTCGTCAGCTCGTTCTGAATGTACCTGCAACGACGCAGCCCGGAATACAATGTGAAAGGTTTCTTCATTAGCATACACTGCATCATATATAAAGCGTGCCTAGACGTGCTCAGCTCGCTGAACGTATGTACCTTTCCCTTGCTGCCTCAGTCTTTGCTTCCAAGAAGGGACGGAGAGGCAGAAGTATTAATTGCCACCCCTCGTCCCGCAAATGCCTGTGCCTCTGTTCTCCAAAAGTCCTTTGGGAGAATTGCTGGTAATTCAGAAGCCACAGACAATGACATGAAAAATCTTGACTCATAGTGAACAGAAATACAACGCAGCATGAGAAGTTTAGCCGCATCTGGACAAACAACACCGAGTATATGGCAATGTTGGTGTGAAGGGGATTCAACGACTGATAGAGAGATCACAAAACAATCATTAGGATTACGGTTCTGTAAACGGGAGTGTATGCGTACGTTCCAAGGGGGAAAGAGTAGCCATGGGGTATCCCATTCGACCGCAACTCTGCTCAGAGGGTCTGAGAGTTCCAGCAAGAATGGACCGTAGAGGGAAGGGTGCAGGTAATAGAGAGCAGAGGCGACTCGCAAAAGAGGCGCATTCACATGCTGTTGCTCCAATGGAGGAGCAAAGCTGCTCAACTGAGGAGAAACCGCAGAGAGGCAAAGACATATGGGGCTAGGAGAAGGCGTACAAAGAACGCACGATACGATAAATTTGGGTAATCGCGAGAGGAAAGACGAACTCCAACTGAAGAGAAAGGCACCTTCATTTGAATTGTTCCCTGGCAGATAATGATAAAATGATGATGACAAGCCACTGCAATAGAAGGGGCCAGGACGACAAGTCAAAGCCACTCAATTCAATTTCCCTATATAAACATTATAAGACCTTCTGTAATGAAGCGGACAGACAAACCAAGTCGTGCATTGTCCGAGGCGTCAGCTTACCTTTAACTTGGCATGCCGCACTTTGTCTAGAAACGAACGAATGGGAGGACTCAAGTTCTCAAACAGCTGCGAAGAACGAAAGCGGAAATTATTTGCTGTGGCCTTCTGCTGAGATCACTGATTACTGAAATCCCTGTTATCTTTCTGTAAGCCTGCGTGATAGTGTCTACACTTCATCTCGGTCCTTCGATTCAGCCTGTTCCCGATTGTCTAGGTTATTCCTCTACGTATACTGCTCTCCATCCGATCATTTCTGTATCAGTGCATCAATGAGTCATGTCCAGTCGAAATTTTCACCATTTTTTACCTGTTGGTGGCCATGACGGATTTGCATCTCCATTCTCTTCAGAGGCAACAAGACTTTATTGACTTTATGCAATACCTCCCTCTCTGCAGGTCCCTAAAGAGGAAGAGAGACACCACACCTGCAGCGCAAGCACTGCTCTCTGGTCTGGCCTGTGCGGACTCATGAAAGGAGAAAGTGGTGGCTTCCTACAATTCCAAACACCAACGCCGGAAAGACAGCTTGCTAGTAAAGCTCACTAAAACTTATTGCCCGTGGCTAGCCACTTAGCCGCCTAAACGGTTAGTCGGCTCGCTGGCTTACAACGCAGGCTGTATGCCATGATGGTAGAGATTCATCAAAACTGGATGATAGAGGAACCGGATACGACGTTGGGGCATTGGTTCTTATTAGGCCTTTCAAAAGCGCTACCTGCACCCATCGCACGCGCAGACTTGATGAACCCTACATTGCAACTGCTAAGCTGTACAGTATAGAATCTCAGAATCCTAGTTCTACCGCTCCTGGAGGCGCTGTGTAAATCATACTGCACCAGCTAACGCCGCAGCCGAATTTGCCGCTTCAAAAGTGAAGGCCGCAGCAACGACTGCGTCATGCACCGCTTTTAGGGACCCTTCATGCGCCTGTGTGTGTTTGGAGCTGCTGTTGCTGCTATGGCTAGCTTCCTCCCCTGCTTAGTCTTGAAAGCCTTACTACATTCACGGGCGTCAAGAGGCCGTACGAAAGCAATGGCTCTCCCAGTGTAACAAGCAGTGTGCTCTCTGACAGGCCCCTGAATCTGCAACACCACACGCACTTTTTGCTTCCAAGAGTCATCGAACAATCTCTGGTGCCAAACACGTCCTCTGGTCCGCATGCACACATGCATGCAAAAACGAACAAGAGGGGATCGATGGTCACCTGACATGCAGTCAATAGCAATCAGGAGGAGTACTAAAACGCTAGTTGGAGGGAATACTTGGAAACGAATCCTACACAGACGGCCCATAGAAATGGGTAAGTGATGGACGAATATACCTCTTCCCTGCAATGACGTTCAGTTTGGCCAAGTTACTCGAGCTTTCAAAGATTTTCAATTTAACGAGAGATGGAATCAGAGTCCCTATACTCTGCAAAAGCAGTACAACACACATCTGGAAGTCTTATGGACGTATTCATTTTCTTAAGTAGTACTTGCTGCATTCATGCTGTTCGGTGAAAATAATGTAGTATATCGACATCGCAGTAAAGTTCACAGCATACCGCGAATCGGTGTGTGCGGCCGTACAGCACGCAGCATCCCCCAGAGCTAAGTGGTTAGCTGCAGCGACTATGGGCAAGGCACAGACCAAACATCGGAAAACAAACTTCCTACTACAATTCTAAAAGGGTCTACGCGAGAAATGCGCCCTTCGCGTCGTACTTCTGCTGGTAGGAAGGCGAGGTTCTTGACCAGATGCTGCGCTAGAGAAACTATGAAATCCTGACCGACGTTTTCTGCGGAAGAAACGCTAGACTGGAAAATGCGGAAGACGTGCCAAGGCCGAAGGCTGTTTAACCTGCTAAGGACTGCGCAAGCAAGCAGCAGGGATCACAGCGCACTTTTTAAATGAAGCTGCGCGCGTTGAGTCAGTGTTCGGTTGCACAAGCTAGAGTGCATGTACAGCACCTATCTCGCCAGTCGTTGGCCTCACCTTCGGAGCAGACAAACTCTACAAATCCAACGCTTTCATGGAATCCACCCTTCAAAGTAGCGTAGATGACTCTTGAGAGGCAGTCCCCATGAAGCAGGTGAATGTGTGTAGCGACGTGCCTCTGCAGCTCTGCAAAGGCAGCGCCACACTCCGCCTTAGCCACCCACCAGCCGCTACCTTCTCCCACGGCCTCTCTTTCTGAGGCGAATGCACAGCCAGTGGCGTGCCTCCTTGATACGGCGTCGATGATTCTATTTGCATATGCAAGGCCTTGGCAAGCCCGCGTGATTTCCATGGGGTCAAGTTCGAGGATTCGCCTTCTGAGGCTCCTGAAGAGCGCCCTCCACTGTTCTGGCGGGAGTATGCGCACATCTGAATCTTCGTTTCCCGCTAAATGGTTCATCGGTGCACTTGCCAGGATGCAGGCCCTTCCGAGCACGTAGAGCAACTGCTGGGTTGAGAGGTCATCAGGTGTAACGACAGCCAGCTCTGCATCCTCCATGGACTGAAAAAGTGTTTTGCGCCGCCGCTTGTCTTTCCTCGTCGTTTCCGCATTACCAACAGCACACGTTCCTGCCCTCATATTGCCTTTTTGGACGCAATATCCTGTACCAAGAGCTGAAGACTGCGACGTGGCGGCAGCCGTCTTCCTGGCTTCACTGCTGCGATTTTTCCGGCGTAACGCCTCTCTTACCGACTCCACACTGTACTCGACGAACATCCCGGCACCTTCAGAGCCGTCAGCGACGGGGTAAGCGCCGTCAGCAGCCGGCTCATCTGCGTCATTAGACGAAGTGCTTTGGGCTGGAATTGGTGAGGAAGATACAGAAAAGCTTGAGCCGAAGGATGATTCAAAGAAGCCGGCAGTGCCCCGTTTCTTCCTTGACCCCGGGAACACGGGAACAGGCTCCTCTCTGGGAGCAGGTGGCGTGAAAGTCTGGCTGGAAAACACAGACTGCGGTGGTGCAACCTGTTTGTGTGGAGCCCTGTCAAAAAGCAAAAGTACTGGGGGCCCCCTGCTGGCGAAGCTGGAGGAGCCTGTCAAGCGGTGGCAGTCTGTCCTTTTCAGATTCCCCAGTGAGGGAAGGCCATGGAGCCGCCTGCCGCCAAGATGCTGTACACGGCCTACGCAGAGGCCAGCAGCTGCGGAGCCCAGATGCCGCACGAGGGCCCCTTGATGCTGCTGCATGATTTGCATCCTCACATTTGTGCCAGGCCTTCTAAATTGTTTCTCGTAACCCCGAAGGACGAACAAACGACGCGGGAAACTCGCACCATTGGCAGAACAACGTACTGCCGTTACACCACCGCCCTGGCATTAGTGGCTTTCGGAGAAGTGGTGCGATGATACGCGGTAATACTAAGCATGTTCAGAGGGGCTGAAATCAGATTTCTGTGGATCATGGGTTCCTCGTGCCGCGCGGGTTACAGACTTCATGCGCAGCGTAGCCTTCGGTGATCACGGGGGGCCTCGTACACCTGCGGGACCCTGTCGATGCCATCCCATGAGCACTCCTCCGCTTCGCGGCGGTATATCAAATGAACAGTTGACTGTGTTTAAAATTCATAATAAGATTGATCACGGTGATCCAATGAGCCTTCCTGACTTTTTGCGAAGAAAGAGACTTCAAGCACTCTACACCCAGCCGTTCACATTTAGGCAGTGACCCCTCTATTCAGAGCGTTACACCTAGAATCAGCTTAAATTCAAATAGGGATAGCTACAGCCTTACACAGTGGACTGGAAATACATGAGGAAATAGGCGAGTTTTCCCGTTACCGATTGGAGTGACACAAGTTTACGCCAGGCGCTGCGCTGCGTGTCGACACTGCTGCAGAACAGTGGAAACACGAAGCCACCAGATATGCTTGGATGGAGGGGATTAGGTATGAGTGATAATGAAACAAAGGCAAGACATTTTTTCACACGCAGGCGCTTTCGCCCTTCCGCATGAACTGTATATACAACCCAGCGCATCAAATACATTTCAGATCAGAGAGTTGAGGGCCTTTTTGTCCGGGAAGCCTCGCCTGTTCCTGTAGATATTAATGCAAATGAAGCTACTTATAGGCGCACTTGCCTACTATGCTGGAGGGAAGTCTGTGGACGCCATCCTTGCAAGAGGATGGCTTCCTAGTGAGCCGCCACCGAGCACAGCAAAGCTCGAGCAGGAAGTCGAGTCATTAGTAAGAGAAATCACGACTCTCTTCTGGGCTTTGAATTTTATTCATGCGCCTTTAGAGTTCCTCGGAGTTGTTTTTGCACAGCTTCGAGAATACCATTCATAAAATGCCACTAGCAGAGCAACAGGTTGGTACCAAAACTTCTGCTGTGGAACCGACAAAGATGCACATACTTGAACATAGAAACTTGAGTCTTCGATCTTCCAAAAAGCAGAAGAAGAGGTAATTCAAAAGCAAGCAGCTTTCCAGCATTTTTTTTCATGGCATCTGGATGCCTTCGACATGGATCTGCAGATGGAAAAAGATGCAAAGGAAGCGCAAGGCTGCGTGCGTGACTACTCGTACGCTGCCTAATACAGAGCAATTCCCTTGTAACCCATGCAAACGCTACGCTTTCCACAGGGCTGCATGCCCTCTGTCGTGGCTTCCAAGATCAAATCAAGAAACGTCCAGCATGTACTGCGACGCACCCAAGTAAGAACTGCAAACTCTCGAGTTCTGTCCCACATTGCAGCACATCTGGATGCCCAATACAGAGACTATAAAGGCTCGTCATTGGATTTTTTGCCACTCTTTAACAGTGCACACATACCGCACCACTCGTAAACAGGCTACTGCGAAACATCCAAGTCCTTCGAGTTCTATACGGAAGACGCGTAAGCATCAGCCTTGGCAACAGCTCGTGCATTCCATATATTTCAACCGTTGTTATGCAGGAAGGAGGACTGGGCAAAGTCCTGCGATGTAAGGCTTTTTTCGTGAATGCCTTCAATCGATTCAACATGCTCAGTGCATCTCTTCTGGGATGTGGGTGTCTTGACAGGTGCAGTGGCCCTGCAGGGGAGATGACGCACACTCCTGTCCCACAGGAACGCGCGACTTCGCACTGCCTTGTCCTGAAGGATTTGCAGTGCGAGAAGACGGGGAAACTTGTGAAGCCGGTCAGTTGTGGATACCCCTTGCCTCTTGCTAGGGATGTAAAGAGCTCTCTCAGTTCCAGGACAGTATGCAGGAATGTGCCCTCTAGTGGCGAATTTCGGCGGCTTTAGCGATGCAGCGAAACGTGCATGGAGCGTACGTGCGACGCCACTTTTTTTTGAATCCTTCATCACCATTCTGTGCATACTAACACTTCTCTCCTCCCTGTCCCTTACAAGGCAACATGTGGAGCGTTTTGGCCATGTACTGAGGACTGCGTGGTAAGAAAGATTTAATAATAACGCAGGGAAACCAAGCAGAAATCTTTATCTCGGTGTGTAGTCTGCGTATAATGCAGTGTGTCCAAGCGGTTGGTGCGGTGCTCCGTGTGTCATCCTGCAATGTTTTTGTTTACCATACAGTTTACAGGAGACGTGAGGGATCTTCATGGTGCATTGCTCCACCTGCGTATACTGAAACGGCTCGATGTGATGCCCGTTGGAACTTCAAGGTATGAAGCGGTGGCTCCTCCCAAATGTGCATGCATCATCTGCTTCGCCTCTCCTTGGCAACATGCTCTTATTTGGTTTGCAGTATTTCACGAAGGAGATGAAGCGCGCATTCGAGGTGGCTTGCCAGGCCCGCTTCCCGTGCGAAAATACGTGCGAGAAGGAATATACTGCTCCTTGTCCTGAAGGTTAGGCTGCGTGGGTGTGCGGTGTCTCGGCAGCAACAAAAGCAACGTCTGGCGTTTGGCTGTGTTCTACAGGCTGGGTGACGCGAGGAAAAAGCTGCAATGCGCCGGAGGGGTCGTCGGCATGCGGGATCAACATGGTGTCTTTCGCGCTGATGTCCCTAGCTGAGAAGAAGAACTTTGAAAGGTGCAGGAGGCTGCGTTTTTTGACTGGTGCTGCTGCCCATTGGTATTTGTATCTTTTGGATGTACAGGGAATGCGACGTCAGTTGGCCTTGCAGAGGTGAGGTTTACCCGCGCTAATAGGTTTCCAATTTCGCCTTCGCACTGCTGCGAATACTCAGCTGTGGATGCATGCCAGAGGGACTGGAGTCTCCCCTGTCCTGAAGGTACATCGAGCCGAAAGGCAACAAGCCCCCAGAGCTGCACTCGCTTTTCACGGCCTGCAAACAGGTTGGAACGTAATTCCTGCCCCTGGGAAGACGCTTCAGCAGATGCTGATGGAAGGCAACTGGTTGGTAAGGCGCGTGTTTTTGCGCCCTTCTTGCTCGCCAGTCAAGCCCTAGGACGCTCGTTTTTTAACGCCACAACGCACTTCAGGGTGCTGTGTGCGAACCCCCCCCTGGTGAAGCCTTGCCGAAATGCGGAGGCACTAAGGCCTTTTTATCGGAGTCCGACAAAAGAAAATGGGCCTCTATGTGCGACAAGACGTGGTTAGTGGGGATGACATTTGCTGGTTTCTATGCGCATGCAGAACATCGTATCGTATCGTACCGCCGCGCGGTCTTTTGTTGTTGCAGGCCCTGCATCCAGCCTCAGCTCCTGTACGTCCCATTTTGCGGCATTTCTAAGTGATGAAGATAACTGTGCAAGAACAGAAGCGGGCAAGGCGGAGCAGAGGTCAAAAGAGTCGCACGTGAGCTGCCTCAGAACTTCTCATGCCGTTTCCTCTTCACTTCCCCACTGTGCCTTCCCTCTTGCAGTTCTGGCACCAGGGCCGCGGTAGGCGCACGAGACTCTCCCTAATTTTTTTTCGAGTCATCACTTTTCGCACTCCTACAATTCTCGCAACTCACGCAAGGCCTCCATCCCGCGTCATCGACGCTCGGTAACCCACGCGGCAGAGCATCTTCCTCCATTTGGTATCCTGTTCATTCTGCGCCTTTCTTGCAGAGAGATCGGGAAGCACGGCCCTGTCCACGACCGTAAGAACACGCTTTCATCTGGGCATGCCCCTCAAAGTCCTCCATCCATCTCTCACTGCTCCCGCTGTATTTGCTGCCTTCAGGCACCGGCGAGGTGTGGCCCCGCCGTTCTAAGAGCATACTCCCTTTTACCCGAATTGTTGGAGCCGAAAAGAAAAAGGAAGTACCGAAGAAGCTCCCGGCAGTCGAGCAACGCATTATCCAAGAGTCTGAAGCGCAGGCAGTAAGATTGCAAACGCAACGCTGGGGAGTTGCGCCGAACGAACGCCCTTCCGCTCTCTCCCTTCCGATTCATATTTTGCTCATATTTCGTATTTCTGTTTCAGCGCCAAATGCTGCCCTCTGAAAAGGCACACTCAGGTAGGCATCACGCCCCCTGACTCCTGCACCTCCAATAGCTCCGTGCTAAATGTGCATTCGCCCCTTTGCTTTTGCGCTGCGCAGCTCACAGAGGATATTACGGGGGTCTGGCTGTCGGATTTCACCTCATCGGTAATTGGAAAGGTGTTTGCAGTGTCTACGTTGACACAGTCGCTCATGCCTCTTTGTGCACTCTTCAGGCTCTTCTACATGAGCCAGAAGCGGCAATTCCTCAACGCAACATGATACTTTATGAACTGTTTCAGTCTATCGTGCCGCTACGCTACGCCAGCATGTGCACTGCCCAACTCGAAATAGGTCACGAGATAGGAGAGTGAAAAAAACACACTTAATTATGGAGCATGTCCCAAGGGTGTCACATTTCCGTTAAAGGCGTTTCTTCGCCCGGCAGCTGAATTAAGAAATGTTGGAGGCAGATAGCAAGGTGCCTTTCTGTGCACTCACGCTAGTCTTAAACTAGGGTGCTGCTTTTTCATGAATACATGGGAGAACACTGCGAGTCCGGCATCAAACGTGGCCTCGTTTCTGTCTCTCTCTGCCCCCAATGTAGTCTTTAACTCTAAAGCAAGCCACAAGGTTATGAAGAAAAAAGATGAATTCGAGGATGGAACCTGCAGGGGTAATGGCAAAGAGCGACGGTACACCAAAAGAAACAGGCTCGCTTACACTGTGTCCGGAGGACATCAACCCTCAGCGAATGGTTTGGCACACATAAAAGCGTTGCGTCACACGATAGCTAAAGCAGATAAGGCATAATACAGCTTACGTCTACTGTTACTAGGGAGTTGTCATGGTATGAAGTGATTTCTCCTACAGCTCAAGTGCAAATGCCACGTCTAAGCAGAGGCGGAACTTAGGCAGAAGCTGTATTGCCGAAGAAAAATAAATTTCTGCGTTAATCATGTGGGTGCACGATGTCCCTACAAGCCTGCGCATTGCTGCTCCTGCAGGAAAGCGCAGCATTTGCCACTTTCGGTATTTTTTCCTGTTGTCCTCCCTCCCCTTTTGTACTCTCGTTCACATGCTTACATTTTTCAAGTGTCTCGGGTGCCGAAGGTAATGATCAAATTTTTAAAAAGAGGAGTATATGCTGATAAAGAAATCCCCTTTTTGCGTCTCATTAACGCAGTTCGTCCGCCTCTGCGTAGCCGCCGAACTACGAGTGCTCGATACAACGGGGGAAGCTCGGAGATTATAAACCTGTTTTCATGCCATTTGGTGGGTCCATCAGGGCCTTTGATAAAAAGCACATGTTTTTGCTTCTGGAAAAGCTGAAAATAATAACCAGTCACAAAGGATAGAGAATGGGCAGCAACGTAGAGAGCTACACGGAGACATCCCAGTACTTTAGTTGCACCCAGCAAGCACAAATGACCGGAATATTCAATACAAGAAAATGCGTTTAAGAAGCTGCTTTGCACAGTCCCGTCAGCACGGCCGTTTAGGCTCCAGGTGGTTTCGAATCGCGGATTCAGATGGACTATGTGCTTGTAGGGGCTGTAGGGAGAAATGATTGGATCGTCAGAGCTGCTTTGGTGTTAGGTCATTTCTGGTTGCTGTTAAAAGAAGAGGGCGTGGAGGAAGCCTTTGTTGGTCTTTCTATAGGGGCATGATGGTAGTCTCTTTCCTTCCTTCGAAGCAGCCTTCAAAGGTTACTACCCCTTTCGGTGTTGCATTGGGGAATGGCATAAGCCACCTTATCGACATAAGCATTAGAGGCTTCATATTCAGCTTCGATTTCAGTCACTGCTCAAGTAATCATTTCGTTCACATCTATCTACTCTTGATCAAATCTGAAGGTACACAAAAATGCACCTGTCTGCCGTGGTTCAGTGGCACACATACTAAGGATAAGCAGCAGTCAAGCAAGTGTTGCTGCTTATCGCTGTGTTCGCAATATGCGGGGTTACTGGCTTGCACCTAGTGGAAGAGTATTTCTAGCGTTACTATGCTTGTGCGAGTTCGTGGGCCTTCCTGCTCGTTTGCAAGACAACTTAACCACACATTTACAGCGCAAGCTAATGGCGATCACGCAGTGTTGCATAATCACTGCAAAAGCCAACCCGCCATGGACAGTGTCCTCTTGAGCAGGTGGTGGATCAGAGGTGCCAGAAAGATTGACGCACTTGCGGTGATCCTTTCAAGGTCTGCCTCCTTTGGCAGGTGAAACAAGGAGAGCTGTGATTGGTTTATTGGTGAGCTCAAAATATAATAGACGCAAGGAGAATTTCTCTAGACAAATGATTATCTGAGCTAAAAGTCACTGTCACAATGCCACACTGCAGCTGATTGTGACCCAGCGGTATTGCGTTGTCCGCCCGCGATAGTCTACGCAAATCACTCCCCTTCGTGCTTTCCGAGCTCGCGTCTAATGCCAGGTATGTCCCTTCTTCCTGTTTGTTGTGGCATTTTGCGTTGAGATCTTCACATTAGCGAGCGCCTCTCTAGCGATGTGAAGTCGTGGAAAAAGCGGTAAACCCCTATGAGTACTCTAGACACGAAAGTACAATAACAGACATTATAGTGCGCACTCATTTTACGAGTGCCGGACCTGGAAGAGCAAAGTGGACAATATGCATGCGGTCAGAGGCGTCGTTACGTGATGCCACGAAACTATCCGTTCTAATGCCTAGGTACCCGCTAACGTCCCGGCGGCCATACGTATCTATCATGCCATATGGAACTAGCCAGCAATTGACAACCAGCCGTCCATCATAAACTCCGTGGCATCAGGGGTCCTTGGAGGCCGCCTCAATGTGGTTGCAGTGTGCATGCACGGACCACTGGGGTCCAGAAATTTCCGAAAGCTAAGAAACATAGACTATAGCGTTATTATGGAAAAGGTGAAGTGGGAAGCAGCTCAAAGTCGTGGTGCACTAGGCATTTGCAATGAACTGAAGCACTGCTCTCGTGTTTTGGCCGCTTTAACGACAGAAAAAACGGCAAAATATCACTCAAGGCGCTGGCGAGACATTATATGTGCTGTATTACCTACACTTCTTACCATCCTATCCTTGGCTTCCTCCCTTCGTACTCGCATTCTCCCTCTCGACCGCAACGCGGCTTTCCAAACACATCAAATAATGGAAATGTGGAGAGAGAGAAGAAGAATTATATTTTTGTGGATAGCGCCTGTTGTCAGCGTGAGACCCGTGAAACTTCCAGGGCAGCTAACTAAAGGCCACAATGCAAGGAAAGAGGACACGCGGAGAAGTGCGTGCAACCAGCGCAGCACAGACTGGGGGGGGCCTCCGTATAATAGGGGTCAGAAGAGCAACACATTAGGGGAGTCTCTTTAAGGTCTTGTCTGCTATTTTGGCAGCTCATTACGAGCAGGCACGGCATAAAAACGATAGAAAGAAACAGTGCGACAGGAGACCTCCGGTTTGGGAGGAAAAAGGCCTTTGGCGGTAGCTGCAGCTGGCCATAGCTCCTTGTCGAATAGAAACGCCGCGGCCCTCGTGGCCTTTTCTGTCTCTCTCGATCTGCTGAGCTCCGTGTTATGGTTATCTTTCATTTATCCTTTTTTGCAGCCGTATCTTGTCCTGCATCGTACAGGTATTTTCTTCTCTGTTTCAGCATGTGATTGTACAGCTGCACGCTGCCCGGGACGTACAAGCAAAGGAGAATGATATACGCCCAATAGAGACTCAACTGAAAGTTCAGTTTGTTTGGCATCGGAGTGGGAAATTGTGCGAATGCGGGGGAGGAGCGCAGGACCGAAAGGCTTGAGCACATGCAGACGACTTCGCTGGCAATGCCGATAGGATAAAGAACTGTGAAGCCTGCAGGCAGAACGCAGCCAAGATGCCAGACGAACAAAACGGTAAGGGGGGAGGCAGTCAAAGATGGGCTCAGCACGCCCAAGAGAACGCAGCACAAAGGAGCCACGGGTATACAACGTCAAGACTGCCCACAATGAGCATTCAAGGAACGCTGCGATGACGCCGATAGAATGCTACGCCATAGAAACGCGACGACACTAAAGACACAGGACTCTACAGACGACCGCCCCGAGACGCCGCGCTTTTAAAGGGAGGACCGCAGGTCAAATTTCTTACCAGAGTATCGCAGCCACTTGAGTAGAAATGGCACTTCCCGAGGGGAAGCCTCTGACCCTAGTAGCAAATCAATCAACATAAGCAGCTGCTGCACGGCGAAGAATGGAAACCTGCACATACACATATATATATATACACGCATACATGCACATACACACATATACACACATACATACACACACATACACATATGTGTCCCTACAAGATGTCGGAGGCTGAGGGAGATTCGACGATAAAGAAACCGGAAGAAGAAGAGATTTTTCACAGCATTGGCCGCCTCATACAGGAGAACAACTCGCAGGGCAGTGCAAGAAGACAACGGCCTGCGCCCTTCTGTCCATGCAGCACTTCACTTGACTGGGTAAATAGAACAGTATCCGGGGAGCAAGAGCACAAGGGGCACTGCCTCTGCACACTGAACACGACGGCGCGTCTCGAAAAGAAGGCCGTGTGTAGCGCTCGTCTTACCGCAGCAGCTCGGCGCAACTCCATGCTGCAACGCAGGTAAGGAGAGCCACGCTATTGCGAGAGGCAGGGACCAAGGAGAAGAGGAGCCAGACGAGCTGCAGGCGCGAGAATACTTGCATGAAGGTGGTTGTCACGCTGCTTCTAACAAGGCCTGCACAGGCGGTCGAACATCGGAGACACAAGCGGGGGCATGCACGCGCGCGGTGTGAACGGGCGGCCTTTTCTTGGGTAAAGAGGCAGAACATTCTGAGGGATTTGTAACGCGACGCCTTTCTGCAAGGATCTGATTGTGAGCGTGAAAGAAAGAGATTTCGGGAGTCCATAGCCAGAGAGGGGCATAGTGAAAGGAAGGGTTTGTGCAGATGCAGAGGCGGCGTAAAAGGGGAGGGAGGGCTAATGCTTCCTTTTGAAGCTTTCCACGCGCTTCCGCTTCCCTCGCACACGTGCCACACAGACAGACGAGTTACCTAGCAGGGAGTGCCCGATCTCCAGAATGGCGAGGCTCTGGGCAAAGAAGAGGGGGTGTTCAAGCTCCGGCCACGCATTGGCGAAGAAGGCGCCAGGCAAGCTGTGCTGCACGAAGTGCCGGATCAACGCGAGAAACACCACGCCCCAGGCGTAGGTGCACAGAAGGTTGAATCCCAGCATGTACAGACATCCCAAGACATTCCTTGTGCTTGAATTCTTCCCAGGCAGGGCGCCAGTCCGAGCGCTTGTGGCTTCCATCTCACCCGATGCGCAACCTGCCATTTGTGGGACTGCCCGGGGGCAAAAAAACAGGAGGAATACAAACAAGCGAGCTATATAATGGGGCTTTCTCTTCGTCTCGGTTCCCAGGCCGCAGAGCGACAGACACAGGAACAACGTATTCGCACGGCCCACCCGGAAAGAGGGTGTACTGATCACGGTTTGCAGCCAGAACCCCTAAAGAACCGAAGGGTTTTAACGGAAACAGTGTGCTGCTGCCCACAGAACTTGGGCTGCCACTGCTGGCCTCACACTTCGCGCATGCTGGAGAAAATCTGCTGCACATTCAGCGACCGTTCGGCTTCCGCCTGTTTACCGCGGAAATCTGTCTAGCTAGTTCGATAAACTGTAGATAAAAACCCAAAAGAACCCTGTACAAGTGCTTGCTTTCATGAGAATCACGAATCCGAGTTGTTTTGGAGGCAGAATCGGTCACAAAAGCGAACGACCCATCCATCGCCCCAGTCGTAAACACCCGCCCCCCGGTAGAAGCTTCTATGCGGTAGTCGTTAGAGAAGGCGTTCCCCTAGATCCTTCATCTTATTTCCCTAATCTCCTTTTGAGCTTGCAGCAGCTATTGTTTGTTGTCTTCTTCGTGTGTGTTTACCCGCCTGCACTTCCTCCTTGGCCTCCGCCAGCCTAAGAACTCACTATTTATAAGAGTCGTGCCGCAACTGCCACCCCCACCCGCGCTTCCGCCGCTTCACCTCGCTAAAAAGGGGGGACGAGCAGAGGGCGTGCCAATACCCTTCACATTGCATGGGACGAACGCCTCTCTGCGTCCTGTTCTCAGCCTGGAGGTGCAGCACATACAGCTCCCATTCCAGACTGCACTGCATCCCTTCTTCCCTAGCATCTCCTTAGCACCACCACTGGCCGCAGCAACATCTCACACTATGCCAACAAGCTGCAGGAGGCCCTCAGAACTTCATGAGATATACGCACAGGCAAACCTGTAAAGGCATCTCTCACCCCCTGAATGCACTCCTCTCCACTCTCCCCGTCCTCGGAAAGGGACGCGAGGACCAGTGAGCCATGTCACGAGCATGCGGCTCCAATGAGTTCTCATTCTTTTGAGTTGTCAGATCCCGCCTCGGGAGCTCCGGCAACACCAGAAGGCGGGGAGGCTGCCGAGGGGAACGGTGATGATCTGCAATGCAGCGCTTACAAGAACCCCAGACGCACGACACCCTCGCCGCCTTCGGAAGCCCATACAAAAGTGGCAGGGGATGCAGCCTTCATCCCCGAGGACTCGATTCTTGTCTTCTTCCCCGATGATCTGAATGCCTCTGGATGCGCCTTGCGCTGTGAAAGAAAACAACAGGCAACGCGCTATCAAAAAGAAAGCAAAGTGACTTTTTACGGACCTTTAAATGAACCCCCGACCGTTATAAGAGAACTTGAAGCTTCAGCCGCAAACGCCGAAGCGGGGGAAGGCCTTTCTTGTCTGCCTAGGCAAATGGAAAACTTTCTGGATTGTTCCAACTCCTGCCCGCATGCTGAATCTAGAGCTCAACACCAGATCGAACAAAAGGCTTTACCGGATCGGGTGCACAGTGCGATGGCCGCTTCCCCGGCAACTTTCCGTAAGACACAGTCCCCTAGGGGTTCTAGCAGTCCACCTGAAGCATCTGTAGCTACGCATGCAGCACCTACTGACGCACATCAAGCATCTAAAGCTGTCCATACAACCCTTACAGAAGCACCCACAGACGAATCTGCAGCTGATCGGCAAGCATCTTGTGCTACAGCTCTTGCAGCACCTGTAGATGCACAGGAAGCATCTACAGCTGCACAGGAAGCATCTACAGCTGCACAGGAAGCATCTACTGTCACACAGGAAGCATCTACTGTCACACAGGAAGCATCTACAGCTGCACAGGAAGCATCTACAGCTGCACAGGAAGCACTGACAGCTGCACAGGAAGCATCTACAGCTGCACAGGAAGCATCTACAGCAGCACAGGAAGCATCTACAGCTGCACAGGAAGCATCTACAGTCACACAGGAAGCATCTACAGTCACACAGGAATCATCTACAGCAGCACAGGAAGCATCTACAGCTGCACAGGAAGCATCTACAGTCACACAGGAAGCATCTACAGCTGCACAAAAACCACCTTCAGCTGCACAGGAAGCATCTACAGCTGCACAAAAACCACCTTCAGCTGCACAAAAACCGCCATCAGCTGCACAGGAAGCATCTACAGCTGCACAGGAAGCATATACAGCTGCACAAAAACCACCTTCAGCTGCACAGGAAGCATCTACAGTCACACAGGAAGCATCTACAGCTGCACAAAAACCACCTTCAGCTGCACAGGAAGCATCTACAGTCACACAGGAAGCATCTACAGCTGCACAAAAACCACCATCAGCTGCACAGGAAGCATCTACAGTCACACAGGAAGCATCTACAGCAGCACAGGAAGCATCTACAGCTGCACAAAAGCCACCATCAGCTGCACAGGAAGCATCTACAGCTGCACAAAAACCACCTTCAGCTGCACAAAAACCACCTTCAGCTGCACAAAAACCGCCATCAGCTGCACAGGAAGCACCTACAGCTGCAGCTCTAAGCGTTGCAGCCATTGGTGGGGAGTCAGCATGCGAAAAGGATCTTGCGGTAGAGGTGGCGAAGTTGAGGGCATTGGTTGCGAGGCTGCGGGCAGAGAACGAGCAGCTGCAACAAGCGGCTTTAAGCCATGGACGATCGTGCAGCGCCAACGACTCGGCTCGTTGTGCATGTTCAGTTGTAGTTGGAGGGAAAGGCAGCGGCGGTTCGGAAGTCCAGGGAATTCCCTCTCTTCACAGGCCGTGTGCCAGTGTCGCATCATGTCCAGTTGGGCGGAAGGAAGGAGGCACTGAGGCTTCCAGCGAGGAGGCCTCAGTGCGGAGGCGCGGTGCTGCCCCCGGGGCCCCTCCAAGTGGAAAGGGGCCCCCCGGGAGGCCTCCCGGGGGGCCCCCCAGCCGCGCGGAAGGCGCTGCTGGGGGGGGCCCCTTGGGCCCCCTGGGGAGGAGCGGCGCTGCCTGCCTGCTGTGGGGGCTCTGTCCTCCGGAGAAGCCTCTGAGTTCGCTGCGCCGCTGCTGCGTTGACCACTTGCTGCTGGGGGGCAGCTGCCTTGCGGAGGAGGAGATCCTTGCAGGCAGCGGGGGCAGTAGCGGCGTGCTGACGCGCGCGAGCGACGCGCTGCTGGATGTGTCGTGGCTTCTGACCATGGAAGCGGAGGTTAAGAAGACTCTGGGGGGCCCCCTTGGTGGAGTTATTGAAGGCCACGCCGCTGCCGTCGCCTCGAGGGACAGAAGCGCTGCACAGGCGCTCCTAGAGTCCGTGGTCAAGGAGATCGGCTTCTCTGGTGAGAAAACACGAACACTTGCGTGCTTGCATGCATGCGGTCATCTGCTATGCATGCATACAGTTGGTACTGCGTATCGAGGAGATGCTGTGCGAAAGAACCACGCTACCAACCAACCAACCGAGCACAAAGGCAGGAAGGAACCTTCGGGGTGTCTCAAAGCTCGGCGCGGCCTCTCAGGCATTTTTGTTTTTGCAAGGCCTTCCATTCAGTGTATTATTGGGGTGGACCGAAGAGGCTGGGGAGAGGGATTCTTGCATATATATATATATGTATGTATATATACAGATGTATATATATGTGTGTATGTGTATATATATGTGTATATATATATATATGTGTGTGTATGTATATATATGTGTGTATGTATATATATATATATACAGCCGTGGAGTGCATTGCCTAGGGTGTCGTGTGGGGTGCTGCTCGCTTGCAGTGTTGGAAATGCGGGAAGAGGGGCAGGAGGCCTACACAGTCGCTCAGGATCCGCGGCTCATTGGATGGTTTTCGAGGCCTCAAAAATCTTCAGGCGGCACCTGTCTGGAGGCGAAGACTCCTGGCAATGGCAGGATAGCGGCAGGGGGGGCTATTGTCAAAGAGCACTCGAAGGGGAGTTTGCCGCCTCAGTCGAAGGAAGCAGCGTCGCTACCTCCCTCCCTCAGAAAGAGCATCAGTAAGTTAATTGATTGGTCATGGACTGCACAACACCCTCCCGCAATCTCTCTTGTTATGCATGTCCTAACGCCTTTCCTAAAGGATGGGCATCGAGACGCCCAGAGAAGAGAGCGGCCCTCTAATTGACGTCACCGACATATTAGCACATAGAGCAGTTAGTTCTTCTCCGCGAGGAGAAAGGGGGAAGAGAGGAGACAGAGACACACAGAGAGAGAGAGCTGTACGTTGTTAGAGAACGTCCCACGCGGCCCCTATTTTTTCTTCTTCAAGAAGGAAGGAAGGCATCGCTTAGTGTTTTTCTAGATGCTGCTGAACACCCCCTTCGCTGCAGAACCTCAGTGCTGGGCATCCACGTCGAACGTCTGTGCAAACTGTTTTGCTTTTCCTGAGATCTTGATTTTCTTTTTTCCTGCATAGGGAAGGGGAAGCCGCTCGACTAGCTGGCGTGCCTGTGCTGCCGGGGCTGCTTGCACTCTTACGCTTTGTGTTGGTGGTAGTATGTGGAAACCTTCTCTAGGCATCTCGCTCTCTGCGTTGCGTCGCGGCTGCACCGATCGCCGCAATTTCTTGAAGCGGCTGCAGTCCGATATCCTCCAATGCTCCCTCAGCACGTCTGCCATCGAGCTGCTGCTGTAAGGACTTTTGTGTGCCTCCCTCGTTTCTTCTTTTAGTCGCCTCACGGGTTCGCCTGAGCCACGCGCCCGGCACCAAAAGAAAAACAGACTTTGCGCATAGAACGGCGTGCAGCAAGGGAGTGGAGAGTGGGAAAAGAAGAGACAAGGCCGTGCTATAGGGGTTCTATTTGTTGCTGTGGACGTAGGGAGTTGGTGCCGGCCATGCATCTGGCCAGCGACAGACGGCAGCTGTGGATGGATGCGCGGGAGATGCTCTCGAGACACCGCGAGCGCTCCACACGGCCCCTCGATGATGATGAAGCCTTCACCAGTTTTGTAAAATAACACAATCATGGGAGACAGACAGGATGAGGGCCAGGCCGCGTTTCAGGGCTGCAGAATTCCTTTGATTTATTTTGTTTGGCTATCCTCTTTGTCCCTCGTGCGAAAACTTGAGCGGCTTCGCTCGCAACACACTCTCTAATCGTCCGGGCGTCGCCACATCCATCTTGAATAGATATATATACTTTTCCCTCCATCCCACTTCTATCCATTTTTCATGAAAAAGAGGGGCGAAGAAGCGCCTATAAAGCTTTCCGGACATAAATATAAATATATATGTATTGATATGTGTGTATGCCTGTGCGTGCACCTCAGGTACTTGAATTTGGATCTTTGCATCAACGCCTCGAGCTGCTGCTCTTTATGAACCGCAAAAACCTAGAGACGCATATTTCTTTGCTTCTGGCGGTATGTATATGTATGTGTATGTTGCATCCATGAATGCCGTATTTATGTATGTATGTATGTGCATCGTATGTAGGTCCTATGTATGTCGAGTGTATGTCGTAGGCATGCGGTATGTGTAGGCGTATCGTAGTGTTACGAGCGCTACACCGTGTGCAGGTATACGGCAACGGCGGTTCCCCCACCCAGCCCTTGCATTTTGCCTGCGTTTTGGGATGCTGTCCCTCCTTCTCAGCAAGCGCAGGTGAAGCTTGACTGTCTCGCAATGTTACGTCACCGTGCCGGACGGCTCGCTCGATGTGTCCAAGTAAGAAGCTTCCTTATTGACCCTCTTTCTGCCGCAGCCTAGCCATTCGCCTTCTCCCTTTTACGCACTTCTTAACTCCGACATGCGCTGCTTCGGCGCCTTGAAAAGTACCGCGGCTCCATGATCTTCTGCTGCGGAGAGATGGTGGGGAAGAAGAAGCTGCCGCCAAGATGCTGCATTTGGGGTCTGTGTGTCGTGCCCCTTTATTGCATGCGTTCTGATTAGGTTGCCGCTACGGCCGCAGCAGTCGTCAGCGGCATTCGGCCCCCCACCCCACGCCACCCCCCCGAAAATGCTGAAGCAAAGGCCCAAGACTCTGCTAAAGAAAACAAGGCACCTACTTCTGCTGCTGCGGCGCATCGAGAAGAGACTGAGGGAGATTTCAGGCAACAAACAGCAGCTAAATCTCACACTGCGACCGAAGATCCCCCGAAGTTCAGGTGGCCGTTGCTTTTTGAAATGGTGCGAATGCAAAACGAAACGCACTCCGTTCCCAGAACACGGCTGTCTGGAATGGCGCCGCGTCCCTGTATCGATCCATACATCCGTATTATTTTCGGTGGACATCTTTCGCCTCCCATGTGTGGGAGAAACAGCGGCTAGCGGCACGTCGTTGAGCCAATCCAGGCCAAAAGGCGACGAGGGGCTGAGGTCAAGGTGGCGCTGGTGCCTGAAATACATGCTTGACGTAACTGTGGAAAGGAGGCTTGCAACGCAACGGCACTCTTAAGGTTCCGCATCGTTGCTTAAGTCTATCCTCTACTTTTTACATGCTGCATTTGAGTTACGCCTGCTCCACCTCCTAGGCTCTTGACCCTTTAAATTTATATACATATGTATAAATATATAATTATATATTTCGACGTGTATATGCGCTGCCCACCGGATCGTCCCCTCCGTTACGCCGTGCCGTTTTTCTTCCATCCGGCGTTTTACACGCTTGGTGCTTCTTTGCAACAAGCTTCAGGACGTTCAAGGCCGTTCAACATTTCCGTAAGTATGACCCTACATGTGTGTTTTGCTGTCGCTTCAGGTGGAAAAACACTGCAGCTTCGCGGCGGATGGCTCTTCGGATCGGTCTCGCTCCCTCCTGGAGGTTTTAGCGCCACACATCGGTGCGTTAGCATCCTAAAGTGTGCTTGCTTGCCATTTTCAGATGTTGCCTGTGGCAAATGAGACATACATTACGATTTCACGCGGCGCTGTTGGGAGTGTGCTAGGCGCTCTTCCCCTTGAGAGCACGACCCGAACAGAGACCTTTGCTAGGCCTTCCCCCTCCTCCTCTGCCCTTCCCTTGCTAACGGCATTGTGTCTTCCCTCCGTCTGAATCCTTTGAAAGGCTCTTCGCGCGGCAACGGCCGCTTGCGTTCGCTCTTCTGACTGCCGCGACAGGCAAACCCTTGGACGCCTCCGAACTCGCGTTACTGAAGAGGGCAGCACAGAAACCTTTGGCGGCTCTGCTGGAGCAGCAGGCGTCCCTCGTTCGCGTCCTCCTGTTGCTGCATCGCGCCGCCTCTTTGGCGGCGTCCCCTGGATTTCGTGATGCAGCAGGAAGAAAGCAGGAGGCTGCTGAAGAAAAGAACCCGCGAGGGAACCCTGTGCGCGCTGTGGCAGTCCGGCTGTTGCAGTGCTGCCGATGCAGCTGGGACGACGACGCGCCTTCTTGTCTGGAGGAGAGAGAGGGAGAACTGCAGCAGCAGCAGAAGAAGAAGTCGGAGGGGATGGCGTCGCAAGAGGAGACGGCAGATTTGCTTCTTTCCGTCATTCCGAAGCTGCTGGTGAGCCTCAAAGAAAGGTTGGAGACCTTATCGCGTCTCGTGGCGCAACTTCTTCGAGAGTACGCAGCGTTTGTGTGCTGGATGGGAGACAGCGAGTCTTTCCTGCCTATCGAAGGGCTGCTGCCAAGCAAAACGGACTGCAAGCATCCCTCACCAGGCGGCCTCCAGAGCCCCCCTTTGCCCTCCTTCCTTGCCGCAGTCATCCTCCCGAGTGTGCAGGAGGTGCAGCAGCAGGCGCCGTCAAAACTTGGACCGGGGAAGGTTCCTCCGAAAATGGACGCCTTTGAGCGCTTAAGCGCGTTCTTAGAGAAGGTGTCGCACCACCACACAGAGCCGCTAGCCGCCAGCTGTTCATCCCGGAAGCTTTTGGTAAGAGGCCCCACATTAAGTAGGGCCTGGAAGCGGCGAATCTCCACCAAGTGTGTTGCGCCTGCTTCTCACTTGAGCAGGAACACTATTTCTGACTAGAGCGCTGCTAGACATGCACGGATAATGCGCAGACAGCACGAGGGAGAGTGTGATGTGCGTTTGGAGGCGGTGCAGTGGGAACGGCGATGCGGCAGCAGTGGCAGCAGGTCAGGAAGCCCCTCGTCCTCGAGTTCTTCCTCGCTGCCTCTCCCATCTCCTGGATCGTCTCCCGAAAGCAAGAAGCACCCAAAGATGAGTCGACAGAAAGGCTTTTTGGCCATGAAGGGGCAGGCGGATCCTCAGCCGCTGCGCGTCCAGTGGCAAAGAGAGAGCTCTGCGCTGTTGCCTGGCAATGCTGGTGGACTGACACCCGGGAATCTCAGAGGACTCCTTCTTTCAAGGGACGTTGCGGCGTCACGCCAGCAGCGAAGCCATCTGGAGATCCTTCCAGCACCCCATTCAGCACCTGCAAGTACCACCAACAACTCAGCTGCCACTCCGAAAGCCCTCTCGACTCCCCGCGACGTCCGCCTACGCTCCATGCACCGACTGCTACCTGGAGGAGAATCGGCAGCAGCAGCGGTTCCTTGCTCGAGCAGCGCCTCCCCTCAACAGGCTGCTCGTGCAAACGCAGATGCGCATGCAGAAACATTCACAAAGTGCATGCGCATAGGCGGCGAAGTGAAGGCCAGCAAACCGAGGAGCTGGGAACTCGAGATCACCGCTAAGAGGCTGCGGAAGGTGCTGCGTTCGCAAGGGGCCGAGGAAAAGCAGCCTGCACCTTCCGCGGCGTGTAATTTTGAGGGAGGAGCCAATGCCACCATCCCCTGGAGTACACCACTCATGGCACAACGCCTAAACAGCAATGCGCAAGGTGGGGGGGCGACCCCTGCGTTGCCACTACCTCTGTCCGGAGAGCGAAGCTTTCCAGAGGCTGCAAGAAAAATCCACGTGCCTGCAGAACAGGAATCCAAGCAGAGGAGCTTCTCGCTCGCCAGCAACCCCTCGGAGTTTTGCAGAGGCAGCTTCGCATCCGTCTTTTGCTCTGCAAGTGAAAACGCCTTTGGTAAGGAGGCAACAGCGCTGGCAGCCTGCCTGCCTGCCGCTGCCGCCTTGTCCATGGGTGGCCCACCCCATGCACGCGTTCTCCTTCACCCTCCACGAATGAGTTTGACGATGTCTCCGAACATGCCTTTGCCCTCTGCCACTTGTCTGTCTCTATGCACTTCTTGCAGCCTCTGCAGTTCGCGTAGTACCCCTCAAATCAGTCCCAGAGGCCGCTGGCGCCTCTGGAGGGCCGGATCCTCCTCCCCCTTCAGCACTCCGAGAGCCGTCTCTGCATCGCCATGTCCAAAGAGGGGACACTGAAGGCGAGGAGGCGGCAAGCCAAGGCGCGCTGGCCTCCTTGAGTCGCCCTTGAGAATACAAGGGGGACGAAGAAGGGAAAGGGGGAGGACGCAGGGGGGGGGGCGGATAAGGGCCAGAAGAAGCCACGAAATCCCGAAAGTACTACACCACAGGGGTAGCGAGGTATCGCCGATTTTTTGATGTGCTGCTAGGGCAGCTGGCTATCACTCCCTCTAAGACTGCGCAGCAATTAGTGAGCCATCCAGCGTTCCAAAGCTGCACTGTGCTCCTAGCACACTCGATGCCTCAAAGAGCTACCAAAGCGTTGTCTACAAGGCGTGCGGCCGAGGCCTGTGAGACGGCTCTTCCGTACGATAGATTTAGAGCCAAAATATCGTTCGAAAGCGAATGCTCCGGCTTGCTCGAAATCCAAGCAAGCCCAAGTATTCGCAGCGTGTACTGCTCTCTGCTAGCTGCTCACCAGAACGGTGCTTACAGCACACAGAAGGCCCAATATTCTTCCCCTAAATGGAGAAGAGTGTTGAGCTTTGTTTCAGGAGTCATTCTGGTTATCTACAGGCCTACCTGCCTGCTACTACATATAAAGAGATTCCCTAAGGATGCATGTGCCAGCCCAGTGTCAGCGCTTAAGGCTCCCAAAACACACACACATAGACACACACGCACACTCCGCAGCCTGCAATTCTAGGCCCTTAATTACAGCAAAGGCTTGTAGTAGAGATGCCCCCCGGGGAAGTGCCTTCTGTTACCCTCGCCGTAGGGCTAAGACGGGCGAAAGGCGAATTTGTCACCTTGTCGCAACAGTCTCAGCTGGTCTCGGCAGTTTACTCCTGCAACCTTTCGATGTATATTATTACTCGACTGTACAACAGTGCAGCTCTTGCAGCATCTTGCACAGTCAGGGGGACTGGACGCCATCTATATGCAGTGCACAGCGCGTTGCCTGCCTATTCCCCTAGACCGATGAAAACAGAAAACCAATTCCCCCACGCAAATAGTAGAAGACTCAAAGGCTCTACAGGTCAGGAAAAGTAGCGTAGATACCAACACGCTGAGGGAAGAGAAGTACTGGGGCATCCGCCCCTCTCCCTGACACTGTACACTTGCGAAGGCAGAAGCCAGTCTCCTTAGCACACTGCACTCCGCGAAATGCTTCGGCGTATCGATATGAGGCCGTCCGCTGCTCCTGTGTTGCATGCGAGTCATTGACGCAAGCGGCTTTCAAGCTGAAGACAATGTTTGCCATGGGGGTCGTGTCCAGCAAAGGGTGCCTCCCCCTCTGTCTCTCTTGCGTATTCCTCCTGTTTCTAAGAGATAGCCTCCAAAGCCTGCTTTTCTTCTGCGGGCATAAAATGCGGGAGAGCAGCTGTGTCTCGCCAGTTCGTAAAGAACGGTCTACATGGCCTTCGGGGAAGGGGCCGTCCCGTCGACTGTGCCGCCTGATTCCGCTGCATCTTCTCCGCTGCTATCTCTGCAGGTCCATAGCTTTACAGTCGCGTCCAGAGAGGCTGCACGCAGCGCAGAGTCGCAGGAGGAGGCCTTCACAGGTGCCTCTAAAGGCGTGCAGAGACATGCCACGTGTGGCAGGGGAATGCAGAGACACCCACTCAAAAAAATAGAATTGCTGCTTGCTATGTGAAGCAGTAAAAACACGAGGTCTGCAAAAATGTTTCTGCCCCAAGGGGACCTAAAACAGGATCGAGTAGAGAGAAAATTAGAAGAGCAATGGAGGAGTGAAACAATGCAATGGCAAGCACCATACCACTGGCCAGAAGATCGGCCTTTGCGTCGTAGGCTAGGCACGTAACGAACTGGGAATGTGCCCTCTCTATGAGCCGATCGCAGTGCCCTGCAAAAAAGTGCAAAGATATCAGCCAGAAAAGCAGCTCAACGGAGATGAATGCTGGAAAGGCTGAGTAATTTCAGAGCTGCGAGAAAACGGGGGCAGGATTAACGTTTGCGCATGCGTGGACATACGCATTCTACAGCTTTAATCAAAACACATATGCTTGATTCCGGTGCAAAAAGCATTTAAAAAGAGTGCTAAACGGACGATACCGGAACATGAACTCTCCTGCATGCCGTAGGGCTTTAGAGAAAGTACCTGTCAGCACGTTCCAAGTCCGGATAGTCCTGTCATCGCTGCATGATATGACATGCTCGCCAGTCGGATGGACTACCACTTGACGCACCCAATTGTCATGACCTATCTGAGACGGAATCATCGCAGGAAACGCCATAGAAAACAGCCATTCCACGATCCGCATGCACAACAAATTTCGTTGGATGAAAGCATGTCGTTTTTTTTCAAGTTTCAGGCAAAACACAGGCATGTCTTTCTTCAAGCTCCTATGTGGCGCCCCTCTCTGCTGCCGATCTCTAGATGCTCGGCTTTTCATGGGGAAGGAAGCGTACGAGGGTCTGCATGCAGCTGCCTCCAATAACATCCCAAATGCGGATGGTTTTGTCGCGGCTGCTGGAAATAAGAACAAGGCCAGCAACTCGCAGAATATGCGACTCCCTCTCTTCGCGTTCCGCGTCTTGCAGAGTCTTTAAATCCTGAACAAGATTAGGAGTAGGATTCAACACACAAGGGCCCCCTCCCTATGAGTGACTCGCACTCACAACCTGTGGCATTGCGGTGGACATCCAAAGACGCCCCCGCTTTCGATAGTTCAGAGGCGCTATGTAGGATTCATCCGGCGTGTTCTTTTCTTCCACCCCCTTAGTGCTAGCCCACGAGCGCATGCACTGAAAAAGGATACTTATACTCTGCCAAAAGATCCGCCTTACGCCCTGACGAGCGACTCCGCTTCCTAAGCGAGGAGGGCATTATACCTCGCTTAGAGACGCTTCCATGTGAGCTACTTTAGCCTCAGAAAAAATAACGGCTCACCAGCATGGAGGCGGGCAAAGGGGGAGGCGCCTTTTTGTGCGCATGCAGATGGCGAAGCATCGCCTCCGTTGCAAATGTAACTGACTCAATCACGTGCTCGTGGCCCGTGAGCTCGCGGACCGATGAGGAGAAATCCGGCCGCCAAATAACAATCCTGAGCGACACAAAAAAATAACCGCATTCACACATACATACATACACATACACATATACATACATACACACATACACATACATACACATATACAGTGGAGGGCGAAAAAACGAGAAATCGACACAAGTTAAAAGGGCAGCTGCCACGCAGCGCGGCCGGTGCACTGCAAGACGCAGGCAGCCTTTAGCAACTGCGGATGAGGTCTAGTATGCATATCTTGCCATGAGCATCCCCACGTGTGGCCTCGTTCGGTTGGGGGAACCTCTTGAAACCAGCGCTTACCGAAAGCACCCATTCCACTCAGTTTTACAAGGGCCAGTGAGCCACAGCAGCTAGAGCAGGCTCAAGGTTGCATAAAGGGGCGGAAGGCTTGCCTTTGGTCGTTCCCGCCAGAAGCGAAAAAAGGAGCAGCTCGCAGCTTTTTCTCTGGCACGCAGAGACAGCGCAGCCATGCGCCTCCCGTCCCCAGCCCAGACCCGCCTCCCCAGCCACCCGAGGAGTCTGAGGACGAGAAAGTCTTGAGGCAAAGGGCAGACTGCGCATCCCACAGCTTTATGCAACCGTCGCGGGAGCAAGAAAGGATGCACGCGCTGTCTTCAGACGCTGCACCTTCAGGAGGAAGGTGGGGAGATGACGTCCCTCTGTTGGAAAGAGAGCGCAGCTCCCCCGGACGCGATGCAGCCGCAGACTTGTTGCTTTCCATTGTGAAGAATACGACGGCCTGAAGGACAGGGCAGCAAGGAGCACGAGGAGGCCCTCTCCAAATATAACCCTCTCTCCATCCAGAGCTAAACGACGCATGCAGGTTGGTACTTCTGCGTGAGAGGCGAAGCCACGCGCAGCCCAAGGAGTCCGCCGCCGCTCGCGTAGGCAGAGGCAAAAGGACCAAGGAACCCCAAGCGCACCGAGACTGAGTCTTCGTGACCTTGCAAAGTTTCCTTCAGTGTGTAATTCGTCTGGACGTCAAACAGACGAAGGGTCATATCACTTGAACACGTTGCCAACCTGCAATCCAACACGCCTCACCACCACACGACGGGGCGATGCATCAGCGCAGCATCCATCCACACCTCGTGCCAGCACACTCACGAGGTTTCTTGCTTGGCGTCCACTGAACTCGTGAAAAAAACCCATTAAGAAGCAACAACCCTATGCACAGGGGAGGGGCTGCATCATCGGCGGCATGCAAAAGAAGCAGCAGCGTCCCAACAAGCAGCCGCGTGTGTTTCGCCATTCTTCTGCAGTCTCCGTTGGCTGCGAAACACTAGGCAGCTGAAGGGCAGTAGGCAGCAAAACGCCGCGGCCCCGTGTATTTTTCAAAAACAAGAGGCATCGAGTCGTCACCCCCGGTTTCTCTTCCTGCTAACAGTTGCATTTTTCGTCATGAGAGCCATCATTAGCAAGCAGCAGGCAATATGTAGGGAGTTTTTACCAGCGGCCCGAAGGGTCAAACGCCAGATCCGTGACAGAGGCGCTGTGGGCTCTGAAGGTCTTGGAGATGGTGGCACTGAGGTTCCCCTCGATGTGTATGACCTAAAGGCAGCACATGCGCTTTTTGCATTGTACAACGAAGCTTAGTGCATGGGTCAAGGGGGAGAAGCGGGGAAAGGAGTAGCCAAGGGAAACCTCATGCGCTTCGCATCCGCTTTCAAGATGCTCACACGAACGTTGCCATCGTCTGCCCCCACCAAAAGTTGGGGAAGAAGAGGGTGAAAAGCGCAACTGGTGACGGGCTGCCGTTGCGCTGACAAGACGTAAGAAGGCTTCAAACTTGGGAGACCCGCAGTCTTCTTGCTGCCCGACCCAGCGGCCGCAGACGTGAAGAGACTCAACTGTTGCTCTTGCTGCTGCAACTGGCGCTGCAGCACCGTCACACGAGCCTGTAGACGCGCAGTAGCCGCCCATCGCTTGGGGAGAGTTTCGCCGTCAAACTTTTCCTCCCCGCGAGTGGTGGCGCTGGCAGCAGAAAACTGCGCACACCAAAAACACACCTTTGCTACGGGGTAGGGGCCCCCTCCCGAACGATAATTGGCTGCTCTCTGCTGCCTTAAAGGCCGCGAAGGCCTACGTCGAGTGCAGGAATGAGGGCTCAGTTAGGCCGCACCGCCCATCAGAGGCGGCTCAGGCAGGCTGGGCTTTCACGCGTTTTTCACCAGGGGCCTACAAGGCGTTATAACTTGTAGGCCTCAAAGCAGCGTTACCACGTGTGTTGATCCGCGGAAACACACACACGCACACACACAGCCGAGACGTACGTCGATATGTGCCTCTCGTTCAAAGACCCTGTAGGCCTCTGGAAACTTCGACTCGAGATAGAGGGCAATGGCGAGGTGGAGCTGCTGCTCCTGCCGTGCCCTGAGCGCCATTTTCCACGCTTAGGCGCGGAGCCTGCGCTCTGGAGGCGCACGAGCCCCTCGTGTGTCTACAGTGAGTTGAAGAGCTGCAGATGTCCTTGATGGTATGGCTGCATGGATGGACTGGGTGGCTTGCTGCGCTGCGGAGCAACGGCAGCAGGGAGATGCAATGTGCGAGAGAATCAAGCCAGAGCCTCTATTCAGACCACTCTGCGGGAGATGTAAGGTCAGCGCATTGCAACCCGGAAACTTCGACGGCCGTGTGATGACGCGAGCACTGCGCATGCCGTTGGTTGGTAGCTGCAGCACCTCTTCCGTTTCTTTAGAATCGTGGAGCAGCACACACCCCCAGCAAAAAACCAGCAGTCCAATCAAAGATGAAAAATAAGAGCAAATAACTTTGTAATTGTGGACCCTTACACCAGCTTCCTTGTGGGATGTGCTCTAAGAAGCCCCTAAACGGCTACCGGTACCTTAGCGGTCCACCCCCATCATCCCGTATATTCCTAGGCGCTCTTCACACGTGCGCGTCCCCGAAATGCAGCTTTTGTGGGGGCTTCCATGGCAAGCAATGTACTCCTGGTAGTCTTTGAGAGGGAATATCTGGCCAGTTACACCACAAGGCGGCAAAGAGTCTCCCCATTCCCATTACCCCGTAGTCTTCCTGATGTTATGACACCCTAGTGAAGTTTTCGGTTGTCGAGCTTCGCATTCAGCTATGCCCGAAGCATGCCTTAGGGGAAGTGTGTTGGCGCCAAGGCGAGAAAGTTGTAAGTGCACCTCAGCTACGCAAGCATGCGTGTTATTTCACCACATGGCCGTTGTGGTTTCGGTTTTTATGCCGGCGCATTGGGTATAAGGAAAATTTGGTCACTCACTCATGTCACCCAATTTTTTAATCGCTATGAAAAGTGAATCTGTGCTCCTATGTCCGAGCAGACTCTACCACGACTCCTTCACAGAGAGTGTCCACAAACATGTAGAGCAGCACAGTTGGTGTACACAAGGTCCGTGAAAATGATAAGTACTTCATTCCGTTGGGCTTTTTCCTTGGTACTAAGCAAAACAGCATCCCGCCGGAAAATCTATCTCTCATCTAGGGTCTCCGTAGGTGGACATTTGATCCAGACTCGGTAGGAAACCTGACAGGTTATACAGCGGCTTTCCAAAAACTCTGGCCTCGCGTTCTGTCCCCACACCTGAGGGTTACGACATGACGGAAGAGGTATAGTGCACTCAGCTGCATCCTGTACGCACTGCAAGCATCCACACCAAACTGCACATATAATCATATGCACACGCACACACCATTGCGTTATCTCATATCGAGCGACGTTTACTCTGCAATAATTGGATGCAGAAAGAGAAAAAACTATCAATCAATTCATCAGGAAATGCTCGTTAACTATTAAGTGTGTAGTTGCGGCTGTAGCAGGAAGCTTAGCGCACAACAGGATGCGTGAACCAGCCATCATTAATCGGGCGCGTTCTAAAGCTTTCTTTGCGAAGCTGCATTCCATAGGCGCTCAAGTTGAGACTTGCTAGATATCTACATTTATGCTTTGTTGCATGGCGACGTAAAGGCACAGACCGGCAGCCCATGCAGGATGTATTTCGAGGAACACCATAACCTACTGTAACTGCCCACTTCATGGGCATACATAGATGTGCATTTCTGTAGACTTGGGCCTTGTGACATGTTTATCTTGATGCTTCTTGTCCATTTCCGGAGTGCTGTAAGGAAGAAGCCATCGTACGAACACCGCCAGCACTGGAATTCAGCCAGCGGGACAGCGGGACGTCGGAGCCTCACTGGAAGGCCCACCAAAGGGGAAGGAGAAATGACCAACTGGGATCTGAATCATTGCCCTTTCGTTCTTCGGGCTACAAGCACCACTTTTGATCGCTGGGCCGTCCACTTAAGGCCAGCAACGTTCCTCTATTGGCACTCTCCATTGCTAAGAGCCTCCTTGCCCGCAACGGAATTGCTACTAAGTAGCTTCAGCTAATTTTCATTGGAAACTCGGGCTAACAGCAGAGTCTAGATATTTCTTAAAATGTGAAAATGCCCGTCGAAGTGATAAAGTCACATGGTGCCGGTGGGGGAGGGAGGGCACATTCATCAATAGCAAAGCAGAGTCCTACCATGATAGACAATATACATTTTATCCTTTTGAGGCGTTAAGCAGCTCATAAGGCATTTGGCGCTCCCATCCATACATACCGCTGTCATCTCGATACTTCGGGAGTCGGAAGGCACCTCGCCGGCCAGCCGGCCCCGCCTACGTGCGACATCTTTAGGCTGCCTCGCCAGCTTGCCTAGAGACCGTGCCTGCTTCGAGCGCTATAAGTCGCAGTACCAAATTCATCCTTGGGCCAGCTGCGATGAGCGCGGAATTAACCATATGAGCTGAGTACTTGATAAGGTGTTCAGTGATTAGGGGAGCAGCAAGACCCGAGCCATAGTCTGCCTCCGGCACCAAGTCTGCCATAATGGTGAGAGTTGCGGTGTAGGAGAGAAAGTGAGTAAGCATCGGATTCAAGAAAACAGAGTCCACATCATTCATGTTGACCAAAGCACCGAAAGTGCGCTTCAGGAAATTTCCTGGATGAAACTCCTTCCGAATCCACAACTGTCCCGAAAAATCAGGATCCACGGGGTTCGCTGATGCGACTACAACCTTTTTCATATCTTCAAGCATTATCTGAGGATCAGTGAAAACAAAAGATCCGCAAAAGGTTGGGATTTAAGGTTGTGAGGCACGTGAGTCAAAAGGCAATGCCCAAGTGCAGCGCATACGCTTAACCGAGGCATCCCCACAACGAGTCAAGTGATTTAAAATATCCGTGTGCTATATATATGCAAACACTACGGTATTCTAAAATGTACTTTGTGGCTAGAGGCAGAACCCTAAGTGTAATAGGCATATGGTTCGGGGCATGACTTGCTGACTAGGGGAAACAAGGAGCTGATTGTTGAATGCACACTGTAAGGTCTGTTATTGATACTTTGTTGAAGCACGAATACGGTAAGCATCTGCTTGCTAGCACGGCAGCGTTACTCTGTAGTGGTATGGTTTTCTCCACTGAAGTCCATGACCGAGTCCTGGTTCGCCGTTTAGTGTGGTCACAGGGTCGACGCTGGTTGCAATATCGTGTGCAAGTACTCCCGATGCCACGAATTCTTCGTAAGCAGTTTCGTTTCCCCACTGTTCACAACACAAAAGGCATGCCCCCCGCCATCATATGCTCCTGAAACGCTCATGAAAAAGGGTCTGAAACAAGGTGGCTTCCTTGCTACGGACCATCGGCGTACTCAAATCTTCCCCACTTCCTGACTCACCGCGGGCGAGCCGAACGTAACACATCTGATTTGCAATAGGCGGCTTTGCACCAGTGCACGCGCCTTGACGGCGTAGTACCAAGCAGTGATCTGGGCGACAGCTGAGCCCAAAGAGTGGCCGGTGAAAAGGACGACCTGTCGCCTTCCTGTTGCGTTGATTTTTTCTGTAACTTCCTCAATGTCTTCATCTATTATCTTCTTAGCTGCCCGCTTGAACAGAAACAAAAAGCCGGAGTGGATCCTAGCTTGCTTGGAGGGAGATAACTCCGGATCCACAACAGTTTCCCACATCGTGTTGAGAAGCCAGAGCTGCACGTGCCACACCCCCGAAGCGCTGATAAACACACCACTGATAAATATGTATATACATTTGCCTCTGCGAGAATTTTTGCATCAGGAAGGGGCATGTAAGGACGCATTCTCAGCATAGCACGCCGAGCAACCATTCAGAATGCCTTTAAGTAAAAGGTGCTCATCGGAAGGGTGGTGAAGGTTATAATGCTTTACTGGAGAGCTCAAGCACTCGTTTGTTAATGGAGGCATCAGTATCAAAGAGTCTTAAAGTTTATGCACGCATTGGTATAGATGATGAGAGTATAGGTAAATGGAATACCTTTGGCAACGCTGTGCCTCTAGCAGACCAAATCCTGTCCACGTAGTCGCTCTGCGTCTCCTCAGTTTCCCAGCTGACCCAATTAGAGTCTCTCTCGAGCCGGAAAAGCCAGGGTGTTTCTACAGGCCGAAGGTATGTTGCATCAGAGCCACACGTATCTGGGTTAACCAGAGGAGGGCACTGCACAACAGTTGAGCTGACGGGGCATTGAGGCTCTTTTTTCTCCAAGAAGCCAGTAGGGTCCCACATCCCCATTCTCCCCCATTGCGCCGTAAGGCGCCCCTTGGGAGCTTTCACCTTGTCAAAAAACTCTAGGTCTGTCAGATGTTGGGGGCAGGTTGCATATTCCTGTGCTGTTGGAACCGCTGAGGGATCCACATGAAATCTAGGGGTGAGGTTGTCGTACCGCAGAGGCGCTGCGAACAAAACGGCGTAGCACCTCAGGGGTTTTCAGTATTCTAGAGTCACTTCTACGAGCTCGCAGACGGGGCAGAGGGGTTCCCCATGGAGTTACTTCATGATTTTGCGGATACTCCGAACGTGAGCTTAGGGGTCTTTACCGGTACACGAAATACCTGCTTCGGCTGTTGTCATGGTGGCCACGCGCGTGACCCTCCAAGGCTTAAAAAAGAAGGTGTTAGCGTTCATATTTTGGCTCCATTGCCACATATATCCAGTATCGTACATCATTAGCTGCAAGGCCCAAAGATTGTGCCATGAATTGTACACTTCCTTCTTCCAATTACCGCGAAAATTGAATGTATCGCGTTTTCCAGCGGTACGCCGCGTGGTTCTGTTTCCGTCGTATATGCGAGGTTGCCAGTTCTCTGGGATTTCTTTGGGAAATGACACTTCAGCCCCCACGCGTCGCAGATAGTCATAAATGGGGTATGTTTTGTACTCTGGGCTATCTGGGCTAGGGTAACGGTGCGGATCCTGCCAAGACTTCTCGGGGTAGTCCTCATGCGTAATGCATGTAGTAGCTGCGAATTAACAGGCGTGTGCAGTAAGATTGTCTCAAGTAGCTCTTTGAGGCCGGAAAACAATGCTACGAGTGTAATGCGTAGGAGAAACGCCGGCGGGCCGCAGCTATCTAAAAGCAATGCGAGCACGATTGCACAAATGAGGGGGGGACGGTGAGACAAACCGAATTGAATAAGGTCCTTTACGGGTTGTAGCAGCCGCAGCTCGCTCAATACAATGTGGTTTATCGCTTCGCCGACATTGGCATCCAGCATGCTGATGTGCATTTCCGAAAATCTCTCGACCAAGTGCCAGACCAAGCGCAAGCTTCTAGAGGATATGAGTTTCATGATCCATTGCTTCTTCTTTGCAGTAAATGCAAGATTAGCGGCTAAGACAAGAGCAAATCTTAGTCGTGGGTGTATTTCTCGAAGGCTTTCGATGTCCAGGCCTTGTATATTGGATGAGGACTCGTCCAGCTGACAAACAATGCACACGGGGTCCGACGAATTACGGGTAATTCCACTACTGGAAAAGTAGAAGTTGTTGCATACTTGCAGAGAATCATACGCTGCTTTGCTATAGTTTACGTCTAGCCCGAGGTTCGTAAGGTCCGCCGTTTGCTTCACGTCTTTCAGAGTGACAGTAGGAGGTAATGCCTCTTTTTGTGCCCCCTTGCTTCCGTAATACGGCGTCTTGCTAAGAATAGACTTGGGACAAGGAGGGGATGGGCGACCATGTGGGTCCAGCGTAATCACTGGAGGTACTTTCACTGTCTGCGGATGAAGAGAAGGACTCAAGTCAGAGCTAGTAGGAGTGTGAGCTCCCGCTTCCATCAAAGCAGAACAGTCAGATCGTGTCTTCCCTATAGCCACTGCCGGTACAGCCGAAGCTGTGTAATCCATCAGAAACATTTCTACATGGTTTTCCCCAGCAAATTCATATAGAAGTTTGGCAGCTTCGGCTCGCGCCCTCAGGAATTGGTAATCGTGGGTCTCCACTTGGCCAAGGGACCCTTGAAAGCAGTTAGCACAGATCAAGATGAGATAGGAGGCTACAAAGAGACATGTAGAGGTCAGCTGCTGCATCATTGCGTGCAGGAAGCGTGTGCAAATGTGAAATCAGCAACCATAGCCGCAAGGTCACACCTGGTCCTACCCAGGAAGATATAAACTAACAACCTCGCGAGAAGCCTTTATCTATATCCCAAGAAAGCTTGTTTTTTTCTTCTACAACGGAGATGAAAGTTTCAATAGAGAATGATAAAGGCGACGGCAAACTGGGGGGTCACTTGAAATGGGAAAAGACAGCTGGGAAGTAAGGTGTTTTCCTTTGTGATTTTGATATGATCGTAAAAAATCAATCTACTGTGAATTTCTTTGAATTTGAAGGGGCAGGGCGCTGAAAAAAACGCCTAATATGCCGTCTGGCTGGAGAACGTAGAACAGTAACAGCGCCAGCCCCGCCTAAAAGGATGGCTAACTATTTTTGGATATTTTCTGCGTTTTCCTATGAAAAATATCCAAATAAGATCAAATATATGGATTGTTTGGTCTTTTGTGTATACGACTATCGGGAATTTCCTTGATCACATGCAAGATCCAAGTTTCGTGCATTCTGATCACCGTCAAACAAAATCAAAAGCTATCCAGGCTGTGCCCCGTATACATACTTTATGAAATCCTGAGAAGCTCACACACAAATAGACTTTTTCGGCTTCATTTGCCGTTGTCGTTCCTTAATGGGTGCAGCTGAATGCCGGATCCCCTTCACTAACCTGGTGTGGCCCGCCGGGTGCAGTGGGGAGAAAAGGGGGTGCTAAGAAATCCTTCAAGATATTGGATGCGAGCTTCCGAATACCTCTCAAACGCTAGGTAATTGCCATATTGGGGTTAAAAGCATGCGGTTAGATGCATATATATACTCACGTCAATGTTTTCTTTAAAGCAATAGATTGTGCACACGACAACTCACACCCTAGGACCGCATTCTACACATTAACTATAAATTGATACATACTGCACGTAATAGGGTGCGTTTGTATGGATGTAGCCCCCAATTCGTAATGCCCCCACAGTAGTTTATTCCCAGTGCTGTAGCACACGCATTTTCAAAAACAACTTTACCTGAGGGTTTAACAGAGTGCTGTGGCTGTGCACAAAGTGAGTTCCTTGCGAATTATGTTGATGGACCTCATATAATGATCGGACGTGTGTACTTACAGGATGAGTGAACTATGTGCAGATGCCTAAAACCTCAGCGGGTGCTGCCAGCTGCACCCCACCATGTAGTGCATCTTGTAGAGCCTTCTTACGGGGCCGCACAACCATAAAAATCATATTCGTTCAATAGGCAATCATCGCTTGCTACTTTCTGAGTTTTTTCATTCTCACCTGAATGCGGCGTGGCAGGAAAGGGGGAAGCTGGGGCATCCACCGTTGTACCCTCTAAAAGATTCCCAGCAATCAAGCCCATATGCATGAAGCAACATAGCCCACAGGCACATCCAGATGTTGTTGTGGTATGAAGCTCATAATTCTACAGAAATTGATTGTACGAGCAACAAAACGAATCATTCCTATCTTAACAAATTATTAATTACTTATTACGAGCTAATAATAAAGTGCATAGTTTAAGTTGGACCCTCACAGTGTCCCTTCTCTTCTAGGTCCCTCAACTGTGTGGCACTGGAGAAATGTGACTCGCCTATTATTCAGGCTGCACGGTCTTCATACAAAGATTCAAAGGTGAGCGCTTTTGCCCTAATGGGCGAAGGACTGAGTCCCGCTTCGGCACCGAGTCACAGTGTACAGAAAAAGAGTTTCCGAATAGAACTGGGAAATTTGCACTAATTTATTTAAAAAATAACAAGTTGCCTCACCAAGGAGAGCGAAGGACTACTGCATACTATTTTAAGGCCGTTTCGTGTACGAAATGTGAAGCCATAAGTATGCATGTCCTTCAAAAAAGAGTTGGTTGTAATCTTTAGCCGTAAAAGAGAATTCAGTGAAATCTTTGCCAACCATCGAAGACAAAATCTGCATAAACGTACGTATGTAATATTTTGATAGGATAGGGCAGCATTTATCCAGGACTAGCTTAGCCTAAATGATGGCAGCTAGTCATCGAGCAAAAACTATGCCTCTTTTCAGTAATTGGGGGGTATCATGTTGAAGGTGCTCACGTATGTCTGTATTACATCACAATTACCTTAAGACTTTAAAATACATCGCTCTTACATGAAGAGCTAAGATGTGGTAGTAGCTGGGACATCGCACCACAAGGGGCAACTAGTGGTGATTAGTCTTGTAAATGACAATTCGGAGAATATGTAGCTTGGTTTGAATGTTGTGTGGTCCCCTATTTGACGTGCCAGGTACTTTTGATTGCGGCCCTGCCTATTCGAGATCAAGGCGAGTCCACTGCTTACCGAAAAGGGCTACGTCTAGGTCGTCCTCAGATCATTCTTTGATATCAAGGCAATCGCACGGTAGAATAGTGCCCTGGGCTGTCCACAATTGCTTGATTGTTTTGTCGAAGGCTGGGGTCACTGGAGCAGGTACAGCAGTATTTGTGGGAGAGCACAAAGCAGTAACACAGCACGGAAAGGAGACTAGCCTGTTCAGTTACTCTCACCTGCCCGGCACAGACAGCAGAGGACAAGCAGCAAGGCAGTATGCGGGCCGATAACAACTGCACGAAGAGGACCAACAATTGACCATCTTTCGATTTGACATGTGCAGTCTGCTCCGTTTCAGGCGAACGAACTAGAAAGGCCAGTGAAAGCATGCTTCATCGAACAGTATGAGCACATAAATACGACGCGTGCAAGCATCCATTATCCTAGCACCTGTCAGACTACATCCTACTGACTTTTGCAATTCAGATTGACTGATATATTGTAATACATCAATAGGGCAGACGTTTCATAACATAAAGGCCATTCATTTTGTGTAACTCAGATTGTGTGCATGAAGACAGAGATCCTAAGGAACGCTCTAGCCAACAATGTCGGATGAAGAGTTGGAGTCCCTCTATCCCATGTAAACAGAGTGCAAACAGAGTAGCACCTCAGGCAGTGATATTCTCGTAACTGGGTCGTCTTGCATTCGTTCCCCAGCCCCCACATTTTCTAGCAACGATGTGCGGGTATGCCGGGCGCTGTACAAAAAAATCGGTTTGAATCTGTCGGACCAAAATAGAGAGGGAAGTGAAACGATACATGACAGTCCAGCTCACCCAAGTTTTTTCTATTGAATAAAATAAAATAAAATTTTTTTGGACTAATGAGTGCAGACGCGTATCCGTTTGAAATTCGCTGACACAATTACAATCGATCTGACTTACCCAGCGATTTGCGCTGAACAACTACTGCCTGTTGTAGTCAGCATTTTACAATTAAACCATGCTAGCTCTCTTTTTCTTGCTCTAAAGTGATGCATGTACAGTTACGTACACGGGAATATTCTGATCCAGCGTTCGCAGAGGGGGCAGTGAGCGCGCAAAAGCAGCTTTAGACAAAGGTTGTGTAGGAAAGGGTGAAACTCGCGCCTTCCAAACCATCGTTGGTTCATCCTGTAGGACTTCAATAATACATACACTCCACGCATTAGATCGAGTGTTAACAAGGTCACCACTAGGAGTTTAACGGTTGCGTACATATGTGCGGTCTCGGGCAAAGAAACACGATTTGCCATATTACACAATATTTAGCCCACAAAAACCTAAACAAACAAGAAAAGGTTGGTGAAGACGTAACCTTAGTTTAAGAAGTGTACGACGTTAGCACCGGGACTTCGCGTACAGTCTCTGAAGCACCAGGGAAGAGGTGCAGCGCAAGTGAGATCGAGTTTTTGCATCCTACTGATTCCTTTAAACCTACCAGCAAGAAATATTTTCAAAGCGCTTGCTTAAATTGGTTTTGCCGTGCATGAGAGCAACCGATCGAGATTTAATATATCATCAGTAACTGGTTTTCATGGTTGCTTCGGCATAGGGCAGCAAGTGAAGGGTGGCCTCCTTCGGGAGTGCCATCTGTTAAGATAGGAACGATACAGATAAGATTAGCATGGTACCTGCAAAGGCTTGAGGGGTTCCTGAGTGACTGATTATCGCTAGATGGACGCAGGAAGAGGTAATTTTCTTGTCATCAGCATCGAAATCCTGTTCCTCAGAGCAACACTGCTTCCATGAATGACCACAGCTTCGGCACTCACAATTGGTGGATAAAGTGCACTGCAGAGGAGGTGCTCCACGTGAAAGGTGCAGGACAAGAAAGAATGTTCTTGTATTTTTCGTCCGCATGTGAGTTTATAGGCGGAGTAATTGACTGTGCACTTTTTGATAGAAGAAGCCCTCACTGGAAGCAATGCCAAGACTTCTTCGCGAATTACTCGTCGTTATCCACCGATTTCCTTATATTCTCAATGGCTTCTTACCTGAAAAAGCCAACGCAGAAGCAAAATCCTGGGCAATTCGATGTCTGCGCAAGTGCATCCTAGGACAAGGCTGTAGCGATTTCCACTGCCGGCTGTGTTCGAACCATTGCACTACCGTTCCAGAGAGTGCTAAAGAGCCATAAATTTATCATGCATCATTGTAGGTGCAGCTACGGCCACAATACCTTTCGAGTTCCTGTTCCACTATATGGCAAGGTATGACGTATTCCCTCGAAATTTGGGAGCTGTCACAATCCAACATATCTTTGTTATTTTCCGCTATGCCTCCTCTCCAGGAGTTCGGGTAGCTCAGGGTTTCGTCGTACCTACAATTTCACTTATGCACCCCTTTTGTGCATTACGGCATCATGCCTTTGATTGACTTTAGAACAACCGAACTTCGGTTCAGGAACATTCAAATGCGTATTTTGGTTCACATTTGAAGTCCAAACATTAACTCTAACATTACACACTGACCAACGAGGTGAGAGCCCTGTTATATGCTCAAAAATAAGCCAATTGAGTCTTTGTGAAGATACGGGCGTTCTGCGAATCGTTGCCTGGCTGATTGCCTTCCCTCAATTGATCTTAACCTCACGATTTTGTCCACTGAAGAGGCATGCAGCAAGATTGGCTGTATTGCACAACGTGATGTACATGGATTGGAGTCACTGCAGGTAGATTGGGATAAAGACACTTGAGCATTCTGGAATCAAGAAATTACTGAAGTCCTAAGTACCTTGCAAATCTGACAATATAAACAGTCTTATCATCACGAGCGATGTAGTACCGCCTTCACATGCGGTGTCCCTAACTTGCCTCCAGGTGACAAATATGTAGATGCCTTATGAGCAGATCAAAGGACAGAAGATCCGAACTAGTAAAATGCAGTAACTGCCAAGGCCGATCCACCCAAATATATTTACCGTTACGACTGCATAGTCAACCTCACGGTCTTCTGTATCCCTCCACGGTGCTAAACCGGTAGCAACATATCTAAAAAGCCGAACTAGTGCTAGAGTTGCCCCGTGTAGTCTGGATGATAAATGGCATGCACGCACAACAATGCCGTTTTAGCTAGTGATTCTAGTGACGTCGATTAGAACCACATGCTATACGCTACGAACTATGTAGCTGCTGAGGCTTTTGCGAAGTCTGAAGACTTCCCTGTCGAACTGGATGTTGCAGCGCAGCTCCGCGGGTGGATAGGGGTCGCCATGCAGTCACAAGCCATGTTTTCTTTATGAGGCCCCATTAGCCGGATTTGTCTGAAGTAGAATGTGATGAGAAGAAGGAAGGCAATACATTGATAGCTTTAAAAAGGGCGGAGGTAATGCTACACTAAAATTAGGGTAGCTCGATTGCAAATTTGTGGCCACACACCCTCTTGCGCTTTAAGAAAAGCCTCTCCACCCACAACAACAAGCTGGCGCTTGGCGCGAGTCAGCGAGACGCACAAGTGGTGGGGACATGTAAGAAACCCTGAAGCACCAGAAGGCATGCTTCGCTGTTCGAGGACACCGTTCTGCGAGGTTGCTAGCATCCTCACGAAAGAAAAATAACTTCCCGGTCAGATCCTCGAAAAGCGTCAACATTTGAAACTTGCACCAAATCTGCCAACTTTTTTGGCAGGACACGAAAATGCTGCTGCCTGACTTCAGTCACCTGAGCACGATAGAAGCAGATGAAACCGACATCCTGCGGGCCAAGCTGCGGCACTTGAGGGCGCCAGATTTCCTCAGGGTTCGTTGATTCTCCCGTGCAAATACGCAGCGCAAAGCTGACGAGACTGGCTACTGCCGCTATATCTGGTACATTGACAAACAAACACCCTGCTCTTGAGCCCCTGCTTTTTTGGACAACTGCTACGCATAAGGCGACCCCCATAAAGGAACGGGAGGTTGCCTCTGCGCAGCACTGACGCCACGAGTAAGGCAAGAGCCGTAAAATAGGTCTGATGCAAGCTGTCCAAGATATGGGTGGCAACGATACTGTATATGCATCTAAAGGGATTGAAAAAATGAGTCTCCACAAGATTGATGGACCCGGTAAAGGTCTGCATACTTGCCCTCTCCACCAACGCGTAGCGAAGCACTTGGCCCCAACGTTTCATCAGCACCTAGTGGCACTGACAGGCGGAGGAGACGAGTGAAAAAGGGAGGAAGAAAGTGCTGCTAGTGGACCTAGCAGCCTGGTGACTGGTGGAAGCTGGGGAATGTCGCCCAAAAAAAGGCAACTCACGGGCCGAGCACACGTCAGCACAGCTGCTGCCAATGGCTCTGCAACTTGGGAGGCTTCGCCCGTCAGAATAAGTGGAAGAACATTCCCTGTCGCGACTCTCTGGGCAGCCTCTGTAGACTCGCCACCAAAACAAATGCCACTACTGACCAGCAGGCTGCACGTCGTCGCCAAGATGCGCCGGCGCTTCCACTGCTGCAGCACAGAAAATAGCATTTTGTACGTGGGTGCAAATAAAAACAACAAGGATTATGAGCACTGTGACATGATGCTCTTCGACTTCTTAGCGGAATGAAATGCACGCAGTCATCTTGCCTGACGTTACTTCAAGAGCGATGTGTACTACCAACCACGTCCGCTCCACGGGGGATGGCGTATTCACGAGAAGACAGCTATTATTTTCAGTCGCCTAATTGCATAGAAGGTGGGAAGATGCCACAATTTATGTCTGCGAGAGGCCTTTTCGCCATGACCACGTGGCGTGAACGGACATCCGAGCCATCAAGAAGCTTAGTCAATATGCTCTGGGACTCCTGAACCACCGTACTGCGGATAGCGCTGCTGCTTACGGCATAGGGCAACAGTGCTGGTTGCATCTCCGACAAATGGCCAAAACGCGCAAAGTTGCAAAACTCAAACTGTTCCAGCAGCCGCAGCAACACGCCATCCACGGCAGCATTCGTTGCGCAGACCAAACGAATACCCCTGGCTTTTCGCCCCATCTAAAAGCCTGCATTATATGCGCAAGATAAGAGTTACAGTAGCTGAAATAATAACAAATCGCCTGACTTGGAAAGGTCACTCACGATCGGGTTTACGAATGTTGTTTTCAACGATACGTAGCATGAAGTGCTTGGGAGCGACAATAAAAGCAGATGCAGTGAAGGCCCCTACCTGCATAGGCGTGCCAGGCATGCTGAAAGAAGAGTGGTCGCTCCTCCTCTAAAGACACCTTGAACAAGCAAATAGGGTGGAGATGACGGAGGCGTACATGCGGCTACGGCCTTCAGATATGGCCCAATAACGGAGAGGCAAACGGGGCCCTCCAATTTATGGGCCGTGCCTGCTACCAAAAGACGAGCAGGAGCGGCGCGAGGGGTAATCTGTTGCCCAGAGTCAGATTCTTTACTCGCTGAGGCTTTGTACTGCGAAGAAGGAAGCACAGGAGATGCCACTCGCTCTGCAAAGGCAGGCGTGACTGAAGGTTCAGTGCCAGCAGTGGGCAGAGTCAGGGAGCAAAGAGCACTATCCAGCCCCCCATATCGCGTAGCGTTTCCGACTTCCTGCCATTGGAGCCTTCTTGTAATGGCATGCCTCAGCCAATACTGGGAATTGCCTGCTCAAGAAGTTTATGGCTCTGTGGACGGCTGTCAGCCAGAACATCTGAAAATCAAAAGGGTTTTGATAACCTCTTGAATTCTTGGTTGGTGAGCGCTGCGGACCTGATACCGAGGCTAGTCTCGCCACAGAAGGAAGCGCCGCTTAGAAGGACTGTGCACCTCTCAGGCGTTACAGATGTATCTGCAGGCCTTTTAGCCGTCGAAGCTGAATGCTCGCCATGAAGGGAGCTGGGTGAACTTGCGTACTCTGCCGGCATTTGTTCACTTGGTTGCAAACTGTGTATTCTGTGGATCCTTCTTAGAGGATTTCCCCTCTTTCAAGAGAACGATGCTCTAGGCGGGGTGCAAATGGACGCCCGCCGTCCGTGTAGCTGAACCAGCGTGCAGCAGCACGAACGTACAGAGAACCTTCCTTATTTTTGTTGCTCAAGTCCTGCACACGCAAAGCAGCACTGTTGATAGCCGCGAATCGCTCTAGTACCATGAACCTACCTAATGACCCCAAGACGCTTTAAAGTCGAAAGCGTTCAGGAACTTGCCTTAGACCGTACATCACTGCGTGACTACTCACCAGCTCAAGAAGCTGCTGGATTGCAGCGTCTGCGCCTATGCTGGCATTGGCCTGTCCGTCGTGCGAGCCAAAACCAATAATTCGGGCAGTGCAAGCGTCACCAAGTTCCCAAGTAGCCGCACTGGGGCACTTCGGTGAAATAATATTCTTTCCCACCAACCCATTAAGGGCAATCTTGGCCTAAGACCAACCGTAAACCCTAAAAGCAACACATGAGCACCCCATAGTGCATGAGTTGTTCGGAAAGCAACCTCCTTTACGGCTTCCCAATAGGAGCGGAGAGTAGGCTCCAGCGGTAGAATAGGCGCGAGTAGCAGACGGTGCCAACGATGCCGTTGATGCACCTATTTGCGCTGCGCGCTTGGGCAAAGGGGCGTAAAACGCTTGTGACGCAACTTCATAAGTCGCTGACAAGCTTCAATCAAGAAAAACTCATCTTGAAAGTGTCCACCCCACAGAGCCCGCACTCTACCGATGGCCTGGCATCCTCCCCGCAGAATCTGTCTAATGTGTAGTAGCAGAGGCGGTAGGAG